CAGGAAGCCGGAATCCCAGTGGAGAAGTCGAACGCACTTGTGTGATGCTCGGAGGATCTCGAATTCTGTCGGGCCCCGAGCGATTGCAGGTTGAGAGGGAGGTGGATAAAGCGACATGTGCAGACGCAAGATGATTCAGCTTCGGCCCCATCTGATCATCAATCCTGGGTAGATGCCGGCCGAAGCACTGGACATCAGATGGTGACCGGATGTTTCCGAGTCGAGAATAACTAAGCATGCAGGTTGAGGCAGAGTGAAGACGGAGACAGTGTCTTGCTGCGATACACAACTTATATGCTTATATGCACTTGAGCAGGATTTCAGCTGCTACTCATCAATCATGAACTTAGGCAATACTCTGTTCGGATTTGAAAGTACAGACTTGCACGGATCCGCCAAATTTGATATTCTGTCTTTCAGCGAGCTGCAAACCAGTGGCTAGAAAATCAGATAAAGACAGAAGCTTCCGCACTTCAAATGTTCTAGATGTAATGAGCCGGCAATGATCCTTCCAGCTTCTAGTTTCGGTTTCTGCATTCCGCGCTCCGAGTAGGCAGTGTCCGCAGCAAAAAGCAGTGGAGCAATCTCATCCTTCTGCTTCACCGCGGATGGTGTCACATCCTTATTTCGGCTCACATCCCGGTTTCTATTGGCAAGTGGGTCAGAGGTCAGACTTTCATCTGGGGCTGCACTGACGACATGCCCATGTTTTGCCAGCTCGGAAATACTGTAGTTGCCACGGTGCGGGGCCGTACTGCAACCAAGGTATCTCGAAATGCACGACGGAAATGTCTTCCGTGGTGTTGCCAGGTGGTCTGACACACCTCGCTTGAATCAATATACGCGACTTCACGTGGTGTGACGACAAGAGCCTGACCCTTCTATGGACGAGATGGATGGCGCTACTGAACTGGCTTGCTGGGAGTGTGGTGGCGGAGGGGGGAAATCCATCTTCAGAACAGCAGGAATGCTCTAGAAGTAGCCCAGATGTGCCTTGGCCTCGACAGATTGGCAGCAGACACCGGGAATTGGAGACAGACGAGAATGAATTTGCCGAATGGGACGATAGCTCTTTCCGAGGATTGGGCGGAGACGTCTGGCATGCAGCTCGTCGCTCGAGCGAGGTACGTCCCATTGACGACGATCGGCGGCCCGGGCGCGTGTGAGTGAGCGGGCGCAGAAGTTACCCCGTTACGAGGACGCATCTCCGAGCGCAGCCATGCAGACGAGTCACCGGTGAATGATTATCTGCCAGAGATTATGGCAGCGACGAGACGTTTCCTGAGAGCTAGTCCACCTCCACCCTGAGATGAGTGCCCGATCAGCGTACGTGACATCCGGCATGTGGAGCACGTCGGGCTCGCGGAAAAACATGTGAGGCAGTAACGTCGTGCGCGCAGCGTCCATTCACCAAGTTCAACTGCGAAGAGGAGGGTTCGCGGAGGTAAGGCGTAGCGCCAAGGACGTGGTTGAAGCGGATGATATCATCCTGCCATGCTTCGATCGCATTATTATATATTCAAAATTTGCCACGCTCTGCCACGCCAATCAAGCGTTTCTGATCGCGACTCGCCCACGTGAGACAGGAGAACGCCACCTTCCCCGCATTCCCCCCGCAATATTTTTGAATTGAGTTGACCAGAAATTGACGGGGAAATATTGGTAGAACGAGGCAAGAGAGAGGAAAAGGGAGAGAGCTGTATTCCTCGGCACGGACATGCCCATCGCCCGGCGGCCACCTGTGACTCTGCTTCTCATCATTTGACCCATCAAGAGAGACCATCAGGACGCATGATCGGGGGCTTCTGTTTAACCTTTATAAATTCCCCACAGCAGCTCATCGGAGATCCGTGTCGGCAAACATCACCTACAAGTTACCGCTCTTTCTCTCTCTCCGTCACTTCCTCTCTACTTCCAACATGGCTGAGGTACTCGAGCCCCCCCAGCCGCTATTTGCTTCCAGAGGAGGAACCAGCATCCGCTCCTTCAGCAAGTTCCGGGGAAGCTTCAGTACAAGCTCCAGTCCTCCATCCATCGTCGACAGCAGTGCTTCCAGTCGAGGACGAAGGATATTTGGCATGGCTAGCTTGTTGGGGCGCCGAGCGAAAGAACCTCAGGTTGCAGCGGAACTCGTGGCTGAGAAGCTTCTAGCCATAGAATCCAGGTCCGTCTTGGTTTTTCTCGTAGCGCGGTTGGTGGAGCTCATTCTTCTTTCTCCCTCTCTCTCCCTCTCTAGCGAAAACCAAACCCCTAGCATGCCTCCGTCTAAAAACGATGCGACTCGACGCGCTAACGACCCTGCTGTGCTTGCCGCAGATCCCAGCGCGCTAGGCAAATCGCTTCCGGATGAACCGGTGCCCACAAAATCGCGCACCATTTTCCGCAAGCTGACCACTCGCTTCAACCGTCGAGGCGGCTCATCCCGCTCTCCTTCACCCGTGGCCGTGTCTCGCCGACGTTCTCTGGCTGTGCCTCGGGTTCCTGTAGCGACAACGCTCGCTTCGCAGGACTCACGTGCGGCTGCGCTACGCGAGCGAGGGTTACTGCCTCCTCTATCACTAAGTGAGCAGGAGGCTCGCCAAGACTCCCGGATTGCTATCGTCACGTCGCCGGAGCCTGCCCCGCAGTCCAGTCTGGAGCGACGACCGACGGCGGCCAACCAGATCAAGGCGGAGTGGGAAGCGAAGAACCGGGCGCGACTGAACGAGTTCCGATTCGGAGGCAATTCGCCCTCGAGGGAGACGTTCGCGTTGAGGACTTTGGAGGAAGTGGACACGCCGTTGCCGTCACCTGTTCCATCACCTCATGAGGGAACTGATGCCGCGCCAAGTGTCAAAGCACCGCGTGGCCCGCCGCCGACGCTCAATCTCGAGCAGGCACATGATTTGGCTGCACCGCTGCTGCGGGCATGGTCCGGCGAGGGCCCCGCGGACGCATATACGATCCCGCTCCCCCCGTCCCCCAGCCCCAACACACTGATCTCTGCGTTCGCGCACACACCTGCAGCCGATGCTGCTTTCACACCGCTTTCCCCGGCCTGCATCCCGCTGCCGCCCTCCCCTGCTGCCTCGCAGCTGACGTCGCCCGCACCGCGGCAGGACCTGTCCGAAAGTGAATCTGCGCTGGGCGTGCCCTCACTGATGGTCGACAGCGAGTCCCAGACCACCGTCAGCAGCGCGGCCGAATCGCTCGGGAGCTTCGGCCGGATACGGACTGCTGCGCAGGCCAGCAAGGTTCGCAACAGCACGATTGACGAGTTCTCCGCGCATCACCCGATCAGCGTCATCGTGGAGAGCCCTGGCGAGGACCGGGAGCCCGTCGTTCGGACAGAGTCACCTGACGGCGATGTGATTGAGGTGGGCGGCTATGCGACGATGCCGGTCGTCAAGGTCGACGGCATGGGCCCGCGGAGACGAGACACAGAGCCGATCACACCGAAACCCGAGCGCCGCAAGTCGACGCTCAACATCTTCAAGCGGGGCAACAGCGTCCGGAGCGAGACGGGGGCTGGTGGCAAAGCGGGCAACCGGCGTTCGACGTTGTTTGGGGGCCGTAAATCCACGGGTGGATTGGTTGTGGGATTCGACTCGTCGCTTTTGCCACCGTCTCCGACCCTGCCGTCGCAATTTGCTGCGCAGCAGCAGCAACAACAGCGCTCGATGTCACCCACGGGACTTGTCGTCGCCAACCCGACGATTCACAGCCGCGGCAGCATCATGTTCGAGACCAGCAAAATCGAAAACGAAGAATCGCGGCGCGTCACTGAGCTTGCATTCATGTAGTCCTCCCCACTCTCATTACCCGGCGTACGCACCGTATTCACTATTTCCTTATTTGGTACGCGCGAGCGACCAACGCAACCAACCACCGTCTTTTGGGCTTTCTTCTTGTAGTCAAACAATATCCACGTGTATCTCTATCTCTACCGCTTTCAGTCCCTCACCTACCGCGATGTATCATACAATCTCATTCTAATCCAGGCATCAGTCAGCAGTACCCTCCGCCCGCATTCCTCTTTGGGACCATGGGCGTTGTCAACGGCTATCACGAGCCGGCGACAAGCGCCCCTTAGTGCTCCCACAACAGCCACAGCACCCACATCCGCGGCAGCCACTCCATCAGCGCAAACGCCGTCCCATGAAGCCCAGGCGACATCTGAAACGGCGGCCGCGGCGATAGAGTCTTCCTTGTCTGCGACGAGCCGCGCGAGGATGCGGACTTGGCCGGGGTACGCGGTGTACAGCGAGCCTGGATGGCTGGCTGGCACTCCGTGCGCTGGCTCTCGCCGACCAGCTGCACCGTCCTCTTAGGTAAGGAACACACGCCTGTCCAGGGCGTCGCGCCGGGCGTTGCTGATCGGCGACCGGGGCTCGCGGAAGACGAACCGACATTTCGCCCACCATGGAGCCAATGTTGATCAGCGCTGAGCCATGCTGCAGAAGTCGGCACGGGAGACGCGTAGAATAGAGAGGACGTTGGTGTCGTAGACATCTCCTGGGCCTGGTCAAGTCACTAGCCCTCCAGCACTGCAGCCTACACCAAACACAGCCAGCTTCTGGCTGACTGGGTCACGATGTCCCAGTCTTATTCAAGCCGGCATCAATCTTGTCCTCCTCGCGGATGTCCTGTACGACGACATTGGTTGACTCGGTCCTTTAGGCGTCTTGGTCACATCGTGGGCAGCGGCATTATCATACACCTTGCTTGAAATGGATCATGGAACTCCGACACAGTATAGATAGCGCTATAGCATACATCATCGTCTCGCAAACTCTCCATACCTCCGGTTCAAGTCAGCCGCCTGTCGACAGAGTAGTCTGTGAAAACAGCCGCATCATCAAGCCCATCGCCCTCAGAGCGGCCAGTGATGGGGACGACAAGCATGGTGCTTGCGTTTACGAGTCGGTGGTGCCTTGCTGGATGTTCGGTTGCTCTTCCGTGACCGGCTAACAAGTGAGCAAAGTAGCAACGCGACTGGGACGCGGCGTTTGATGGCCATACGGTCGGCCGATTGGCGTCGATTAGGAACATGCAGAGATGAGGACTTCGAGCGAATTCACATGTGTAAGATATACATATATACAAGCGCGCTAAGACTGAACAGGCAGTAAGGCACATTCACAGATAACCTGGGCGCGCCGCACCACATTCTCAGCATCCAATCAGCATTTACTTATCCACGGATAGGCAGAAGCAGCTCACATGTTCGCCGGTCAAGCCGACCTTGACGAGGCCCGGAAAGATGGTGCACCCAACCCGGTCGACCTGGCCCGCCTCGTGCCTCAAGCACCGTTTGACAAGCTCGTTCTGGCTGGGGTACAGCGCGCTGCCCAGCTCAGGCACGAACGCGCGGTAGAACGCGTCTCCCGACCCGGTCGTCCCGTGCAGCATCCGGGAGAAGTGGTACGCGGCGTCCAGGACGGCGGACGGGAGCGTGCCCGGGAGCAGGCGCGTCAGGTGGGGGATCTGTTCGTTCAGGATGCTGTCGGCCATCTCGGGTGTGCAGGTTTCGACCGCCGCAGAGAACGTTTGCCGGCGCCAGACGGCGGCGACGGTCGGGTCACCTGAAGCGAGTCAGTTTTTCGCACGCAAATGCTATGGGTGTAGTATACGCTCACTTGCAAATATGTGCTCGTGGATGCGCGTGAGCTGGACATTAGCCTCCTTAGAGCTGGTGACGATCATGCAATTAATGAAGCCTTCGCAGATCGTTTCGGCCAGTGCATGGCGCATGAGAGACTGAACTTGCATGGAGCTCCCTTGGAAAACAGCCCCAGCCTCCCGTCCGTTTGTGACGTCAGAAAGCGCGGCTTCGTAGATGAGGTGCAGGGGGGTGGGAGGGCGACGGACAATGTCCGATGCCCAGCGATTGATGAGTTTGTCTAGCTGCGCTGCTCCGTTCTGCCTTTGCCAGGAACATGAGAGTCGACGATTGCGCATTGTGAGACCACGCACCTTGATTGAGAAATCATCCACCGAGCCTCCGCCCGCGGATTGCGGCCCGGGAACACCTTCCAGTAGAGCAACACGGTCCTGCAGCTGCGCGATCAATTCTTCCTGCTGCTTCAGCTTTCCTCGCTGCTCCTCGACCTTCTTGTGTGCCAGTGCCTGCCCACGACGATCAGTCGTCCTCTATCCCACATACACACTCGGCGCAAGACCGCACAAAGTTGTTCAGCACATATTGGTATTCGGGAGTATCTTCCACAAGCACGACTTGGGGTCGCGCAACCGGCTTGGAGCGAAACATGGGAAGAAACCCGGCGTGGACGGCGCGACAAACCCCGTCATCCCGGAGAAACAAGCGATCTTTGCAATGCTGTGCTGCCGCGGCCCGCGCGGCCGAGACCCGCTACGTCTATATCTGAAAGATTCCTGAGTCACCGCATACATCGATTCGCGCCCGCCATGCCTCTCGCGCAGCCCATCAACTTTCCGAAATGGCTCCAGGAGCACTCCGATCTCCTCAAGCCCCCGGTGAACAACTTCTGTCTGTACCAAGGCAAAGACTTCGTCGTCATGTGCGTCGGGGGACCGAACGAGCGCAACGACTACCACGTCAACGAGACCGAGGTGCGTCGGGGCGGATAATGGACCGGGCACAGACTGATTGTGAGGCTAGGAATGGTTCTACCAGCACAAGGGCGGTATGCTTCTGCGCGTGGTGGATGAGGGCTTGTTCCGGGATATCAGGATCGAGGAGGGCGAGATGTTTCTGCTGCCCGGCAAGTCCGCATAGTCGAGAGCGATGCATCTCACGGCTGAGGCGTCTCTGCGCAGCCAACACCCCGCACAACCCAGTCCGTTTCGCGGACACCATCGGCATCGTGCTCGAGCGCGTACGTCCTGAGGGATCCCTAGGTAAGTCGGCTCGCTTCGCAGCCACACATGATATTATCTCACCTGTGTTCCAGACCGCCTCCGGTGGTACTGCCGCTCCGACGTGCACACGGAGCCCACGGTCATCTACGAGGAAGAGTTCCATGTGACGGACTTGGGCACGCAGCTGAAGCCGGTGATCCAGCGATGGCAGGAAAGCGCCGAGCGGCGGACATGCAGCGTGTGCGGGACCGTTGCGAGCGCCAAGTAGAGCAAGTATGTCTATGGGACACCTGAACGGTGCTCAAAGTGCAAGGAAACACAGGCACGTGATGCAGCGGACAAGCGAAATGCCATGCCGTTGAAATGCTCTCAATACTGTAACACCCGACGCGAGAGATAAGATCGTTTCCTACTCGTACACAGTCTCGGGAGATGATCGCCCTTGGATTCCAATGATCCCCACCTCGAATTTGACCTCCGCAACCAGCTGCCGTCGTTGGCATCCCTGCTCGGTCGCTCGGCGTATGTCATACCACACCCGACTCAGTCAGTCGACGATCGATACGTGCTGAGGCCAGCACGATCCCTGGATGGCTCTCGTCGTCGTCGAAAAAAGCCAGCAGCTTCGAGGTACACTAGGCATGACATTTCGTGCTTGGTCCGGTTAGGCATTCAATCCCTTGAATTGTGCGAGGCCATGCATGCTTAAGTAGATGGCATTCGCAGTTGCCATAGACCAAAGGCATCGAAAGCCGAGTATAATTGATCTCTGGGACAGCAAAAGAGGGAAACGATGAAGCCCGGGTCCGTGGAATGTAGCGAAGTCCTGTATTCATACACTTCACGGCAGGCGCTCTGCTTCAGACACAGACACTGCAGCAGCGGACGCGATCGCAGCTTTCAGCCCCGCTTCATAGTGCAGCCTTTGCGCCTGTTCCGAGGGTGTGAGGCTCGCTTTCACCAACTTGTTTTGCTGGCGCCATGGAGCCCCTCTGTCTTTTAGAGATGAGAAGGATACAGGCAGACAAGGAAGAGAGCGGACAGACTGACTACTTGCGCAGGGGCCAGCCTCCCGAAATCCGTCGATCATTGCCGAACAAGTCCATATAAAGCGCGCCTATTGAGCGCTAAAAGGGACGCGGAACGTTTTGCTTGCAAGTGGCAACACAACGCTTGTGGGCCCCAGTCAAGTCCCGATTCCACCTCGGAGGCAAGGGTTTGGCTTCGGCTGTGACAGTGTTTCGCGGCAAAGGAGGCTTTTCAGTCTGCTTTGAGCTCCGTCATCGACACAGAAGTGAAAGAACACGGGTGAAAGTCAATCTGGCCTGGCTTTCTTGTCATGGCCGTCTAGGAAACGAGAATTTGATTGGGCATCACTGGGAAGGACATGATGGTATTGTGGTAGGTCGAAACAAGACTCAATAAACTCAGGGTTGGCTTTAGGCCTTTGCCACTCGCGCCCACTCCCTCAACGGACGCGACGTGACGCGCCGAATTACTTCCTTGGAAAATACGAGCGATGTCGGACCAACTATGTCTTTCAAAACACGCACTGCATAGCATCGACCTGAAGCTGGCCGAGCTCCAGGCCCAGAAGGATGCCATAGCGGGCTCGATCACGTTCCCCATATTGTCGCTCCCGGTCGAAATCACAGCGCTCATTTTCACACACTGCCTCCCCGACGACCCGCTCGAATCCGGATCCGAATTCCCCGCGCTCGTCCTTAGCGCCGTCTGTGGGGACTGGAGGGAGATCGTGCTCGCACGCGCGCTTTTCTGGAGTTCCTGGTCGTTAGATATCGACCGGCCGGGCGGGGCGCGGGATACCGCGTTCATACAGACGTGGTTGCGGAGAGCGCGGTCGAATCTCATCAACGTACGGCTTTATCATCGTGATTGTCCGGGCCAAGACGACGAGTGGATTGACGATCCATGGTGGGACCGCGTGAATGAGCGTTTGCCCGCTGCTCTCGACGTCGTGTTTGGACTGCGGGAACGATTGGAGAGTCTTGAAATATCATTCCCATTATCGACATTGGCCAGATATCTCCCTGACGAAGTCCCAGCCGACGGGTTCCCTGTCCTGAAACGGTTAGTGCTTGGGTCTGCGGCTGAAGCTGAGGGTGGAGGGAACCTCGCAGACCACGAACACTTTCCGATCACATACTTTCGAGTAGCGCCCAAGTTGGAGTGTGCCACCCTGATCAGAAGCGAGGATTGCACCTTTCTTGACCTCTTCTTCATCGAACTTCCCTTCGAGCAACTGATGGACTTTGAAGGCGCGATGTTCAGTGCGTCGGGTGCGCTGGAAGTGCTTCGAACGACACCAGATCTTGTTCAGGCGACGTTCCATCTTACGCGAGGATCGCCTCTGTCACGGGGGGAGCCTTTCCTTCTCGCTCGAATGATTTCCTTGTCGCTTTGGTCTGCCGGGACGGGCGCAAGTCCCACTGACGTGCTTGATTACCTTGTTCTGCCAGACTTGAAGCTGCTCGCGATGGGTAAAGAGACCCAGCCGAACGTTGAGCACCAGCCGTCCGTCGTAGAAAGCCTGGTCGAGCGGTCGGGTTGCTCCATCACCCATCTTAGTCTGGCGTCGTGGCCAGCGCGGTCTGTTATGTACACCCTTCTCCATCTTCCGTCTCTCGAAAATCTGGACCTCCACGAATACACGCAACCGCAAGCGGAGGAAGTTCTGCGAGCGCTCGCGTGCTGGATGAACGACACTTCCGCAGAGAGTAACCACCTCGGAACCCGATTGACTTGTTTCGCGCTACATTGCGAACGGCGGCGCTTCGATCGGCAGTTCTCGTACAAAGCTATGCTGGATTTCCTCTGCACTGCGACCGACCGACCGGAGGGTGTGTTGACACTGAGGTCTTTCGAGATGGAGTGGACGGGGATATTTCCGCCGGCTGGACCCAACCGAGATGTCCTGAGCAAGCTGAGGGGCTTGAATGCACTTGGCGTAAACATAGACTTGCACCCGTTTGATATCCACTCAGAGTAGCTATTGGTTGGGAGCTGCAAACATCATCTAGTCCTTCACATTGTCCAAGCCCACTTCGGCCGAAGCCCCGAACTGATCAGATCATCACTCCCACTGTTCAGAGAAACGACACCATCTCTAAAGAAGTTTCAACCCAGGTGAAGTGCTGTGGACGGTCTCCATCGCCGACAACTACGCCAACGTTGAAACCCATGCATCCTGCTCCAAGCCATCTTTCAAAGTGCAACCAACGTTCCCTGATTCACGTGCGTCCGATCAAGACACGTTCTTCGCGATAAGGCCAATCTCCCTCCGATTGAATGTCGCTCTTCGCTATAAGCAGTCTTGGAGACTCTCGACCCATCCCTTTCTCGTTCCCTAACGGCTATGCGACCTATCGGCCCGAGTGCCTCACTCGCCGGAACCGTCGTTTCAGGTCCAAACAGCCCACGAGCGCCCCGAAAAGGCAAGAATAGAAGTCGAGAAGGGCGAGGAACGGTCCCAGATTCGGATCATCATCAGGCCTGCTTCCAGCTTTCGTCTATAAGATCAGCTGCGTTGATTGACGCGTGCGTGCCCCCGCCCTTTCTGTCTGCACCCGTTTCTCTCCTGTCTGTCTCTTTTCGCATCTTACGACGGACCTCCCAGGCCAGACATGACGATGGACACGACCATGGCCGTGGAACAGCCCATCGAGCCACTCCGTGTAGCGATTGTCGCCGGTGAGTGCGGCGCTATTCGCGGTCTTCGCTTGCAAGCTAAGCTTGGATGCGAAGAGAACTTCCTCCCCAAGATCGACGGGTCGACTATCACCCTCGCGCACCTCCTGGAGCATATGCAGGCCGTCGGCATCGAGGCCATGCTCTTCGGGCCCGAGAGCGGGATGGAGGAGTACGCCGGCGCGAAGTTGTTCGGGACCTACGGTGTTCCTCTCAAAGTGTACCCTGGCCTCAAGATCAAGTGAGGATCTTCCACTCCACGCACCGCACCTTGACTCGACGACTCATTCGCCCTCTCTAGCTTCCTCTCTCCTAGCTTCATCTCTGCGCTCCGTAACTTCGCTCCCCATGTCATTCATTTGGTCGATCCCATCTGGCTCGGGGTACAGTCGCTCTTTGCCCTCCGCGCCCTATTCCCCGATACCCCGATCGTGACCTCCCACCACACGAACCTGCCGACGTACGCTGCCATCTTTGGATACCCGTATTTCCCGGCGCGGACATGGAGTGTGCAGGCGTGGCTGCACTCTTTTGGACAAGCCGTGATGGTGCCGAGTGCGAGTACAGGAAAGGGATTGGAAAGTTGGGGCTATGCCGGCGTCAGAGTCGTTGGGAGAGGTGTCGAGACGGGTATGTTCTCAGTGAGCCGAGTCCCCCGTCTATCCATCTCGCCGGCTAACTCGTGCCCCGCAGCCCACGTTCCGCTCGGCTGATCTGCGAACATCGTGGGGCTGTACACCCTCCGTGTCATCTTCGACCGCGGCTGAGAAGACTGTCATCCTGTCTGTCGCGCGTATCTCCCCGGAGAAGAACCTGTCGCTGATCGTCGACGCGTTTGCCGCTCTTCCGCCCCGTGTGCGCCAGAACGCGAAGCTGGTGTTCGTCGGCGATGGGCCGTACGAAGGCGTGCTCCGAACCCTGGCGGAGACTCGCGGTCTGCGTGCGGCGTGCACCAAGAATGGCGCCGGTGGTGCGGAGGATGCTGATGTCATTTTTACCGGCCAACTCACCGGCCGTGCACTGAGCGAAGCATTTGCGAGTGCGGATGTCATCTGGTCCGCTCTCCTCAATCGCACTGTCTGTCCACGCTCTAATCCATAACGACAGTGCTCCCTCCCTCACAGAGACTTTTGGGCAGGTGACACTGCAGGGCATGGCATCTGGATTGCCTGTGGTTGGCTTGTACGCGGAGGGAACGGCCGATGTGGTTACGCATCTGCAAACTGGTCTCCTGCTTGACGTTTACGGGGCAGCCTCGGCGTCTTCTCCGTGGTCCCCCCTGTTCCCCTTGGACGATGCCAAGGTGGCCCACTGGGGCAGTGCCGATGTCCTGATGCAAGAGGATTCGGGTGCCCAATCCTCCTCTGTCTACCTCGCCGGCCGCCCCTCCGTTGTCGGGCGGTTCGCAACGTTGATGGAAGTGCTTATCTGTGAACCGGAGATGCGCCGAGAAATGGGCCAGTGGGCTGCACAGGAGGCTTTGGCATGGACCTGGGAGCGGTGCACCGGCAAAATGGTGGAGGTCTACTTGGAGGTTGTGAAAGGAAGCATAGCGGTCGAGGGCGGAGGTGTTTCGGTTCCCGTCGGGGATCCACAACTGTCCTCAGCCAAGCTTGGATCGCTGATCCCGGGATCCGCGCTGCCTCGTGTGTTGACCCATCGCCGTGGATCAAGCTCGTCCGCCTCGAGTGTGTCGTCTCTGGTATCGCCCGTGACGCCTCCGTTTTCGGCACTTGCCTCGCCGACGACAACATACACATCAGCTTCCGTGTATCCCGTCTCGCTCCCGTCACCCAGCAGCTCGACCTCCGACCTTGCGTCCCCGGCACTGACGTACGCGTCCTCGGTGCTCTCCTCACCCAGTATTGCCTCTCCGCTCTGCTCGCCTGCGAGTGCCATCTGGTCCCCGGCGACCGTCTTCGCGATGGCGGGATACAGCATCAAAGGCAAGGGCAGGGATCACCAGGATCCGGCGCTCTCCGAATTCGCGCTCCCGCCTCCCGCTTTGAGCTTGGGGCAAGCGCTTGCCCGGGTCGAGACCTCCGACTCAGCCAGGAGTGGGCTGGTCGCATCTAAATCCCGCCCGTCTGGGGTGCGGCGCAGCCACCTTGTAGTCGACGATACATGGACGCGGCTGGCGGTGGATATCTCCGTCGTGCTGCAGGCGCTGGTCGGTGCGACGCTGACACATGCGGCGTACATGCTTCCCACCATGTCGGATGTGTTCGGCGGCCCGCGTCGGTGAGGGAGGATAGATTGTGGCTGGCCGCTAGATGGCCGCCATTCATGACTTTTTTCTTCCTATCGATGCTAATGAACGAATTCTTTCCCTTGCATGCACATCCACTCTCTGTTCCCATGTTCCCATGCATCCATGTTACAGTGGCATATATTTATATGCGCTTTGTTGTATCTTTAGTAGCTTTAATGGATTTCAAGTGTTGTAGACGCAGAACCCTTGGCGCGCTTAAGCTACGTGATAGCTGTGGTATATTGGTAGATTGATAACCGGCCCGTGCAAGTCAGTGCTGCATGTTCGTTACTAATACCTTTAGCTCATGTCAATGCCCATTACCTTCACCCACACCGGTGGATCACACATAACACGGCCCATAAAGAATCAATTATATTCCACATATTGTGTCCCAAAAAATAAGCTGATCTGATATGTTACATATCAGCGCAAAAACGTCCTGATACCACAGATATCGGGTGCCGGGTATGATCCGAGTGCTCGATATGTCACATATCAGATCCCTTAGCTTTTTATACCCCAATATATAGAATATAATTGATTCTTTATGAGCCCTGTTATTCGCAAACCCTCGGTGTGACCGGCTTCGACCCTGCGCGAGCCCTAGGTCTTACGTTAGCTCATCTATCGACCATGATGCGCGAAACTATCATTTTCTCCATCTCTCTTCTCTTCTTGCCGCCACCATCCCAATGTCAGTGACTGAGCTCAAAGCCGAGGGCAACGCGCTCTTCAACGCGAAAAACTTCGCCGCCGCGGAGGCCAAATACGCAGCGGCGATCCTCGCCTCCGAGCAGGACTCGGACGACAAGACGCGCGCCGTGCTGCACGCGAACCGCGCCGCGTGCCGGCTCTCGCTGAAGCGGTAAGCCATCGTCCCCGTCGCGCGATGCGCGAATATGATATACACGGATCCTGAGCGAGTCGTGCGTGGAGGTACATGGACGCGGTGGACGACGCGACGCGCGCGACGCACCTCGATCCGACGTACGCCAAGGCCTTCGGGCGGCTGGCCTCCGCGCAAGTCGTCAGTGCGGCACACCGCCCCTCTCTTCCGTCTCCCTCTGCAGCTGCTGATTGTTCGTGGCTGCAGGCGATGGGCGACCACACGGCGAGCCAGGCGAGCTGGCTCGGCGCCCTCGACGCGCTCCCGAAATCAGGCCTCACGCCCTCGGAGACGACCCAGAAGCTGCAGTACGAGGCGGGGCTGAAGGCCGCCATCAAAGCGGCTGCCTTATCTCAGACGTACGATACGCGAGCTCACCTCGTCGCGCAGAACGACGCAGGCAGCTTCCCGTGGACCGTCGCAAGCCAGATGATCCCCCGGCTCAGGGCGCAGGCGCGGATGAACCCGGATGTGCTGGCGAGCAGTGTGTGTCTGCTCCCTCCGCGCGCTGCGATCTCACTATTGACGATTATCTGGAGGCCTGGGTCATCCACTACGCGTATGAGGCGAGTGGGATCAGCAGCAGCACGCTCCTTCGTCGGGCTGATCTTTTCACAGGAGTTCGCGGAAGGTGTCGGCAAGATGAACTTCATGCGTCCCTACGAGGCATCCGATAACGCTGGAGTCGCAGGCATGCTGGGTGTACGTGTTTCTACCACTACTACGAGGGGAGGCGATGCGCTAATCTGATTGTGCCCCAGGCACTGGCAGCTATGTCGAATGGGATCATGCGCGACGAACGGGTGATGCACATCAGCGATCCACAGTTCCTAGTCAAGTTCAACAAGCAAGGTCGGTGGTCGCCGGTGATTTGCCGCGGTCAAGCAGTCTATTCACGAGTCCGACCATCTCCTAGTCATCTTTGAGGCGAACGCGGTGAGAGCGTGGACGCACGAAGGCCCGGAACTCGTGATACAGAAAGCCTTGGAGAGGCAGGAACGCGATGGCTGGAGATCCGTCCGGCATGCCTTAGCGGTGACTGTCCGGTGCGTGTTCCAACCGCCGTCGAGTCAGCTCCCGCTGCCATCTCACGGTGTGTGGATGTCACAGAGCATGGATGATGCGTGCCTTCATGGAGGGAGGCTTGCGCGCACAACACACTGTCTCCGTGGACTTCTACAAGAACTGCCTGCTCGTCATCCGCACGCTGCGAGACAAGTGGTCGTCCAGCTCGAAGGACGACCGCGGCGTGATCTTTGAGAAGACGTTCGAGTTTGGGATCGCGAAGATGTATCTGGAGGCCATCATGCAGGTGCGGGTTCCGAGTCGCCAGAGGACGTGTTCGGTTGGTTGGTTGATGTCATTCACACAGGCGTATAATCCGAACACGGCTCCTGAGATGCTGGACTTGCTGCAGACTGAGGCCGATCGTCTCATTCGTGAGATCGAAGAGTTCATGGCCTTGCCGAAGCCACAGGAACCGCTGGACCCCGGTTTCATGAGCTCCTTCTGCTTGTATCCCAAGGGCCAGGCATACTCGTGCGTCGAGTTTTGCATCATCATGTCTCCGAACGGGTCTGACCCTGTGCCACGCAGCATGCGCGGGTTCCTCCAGGTTCAGCTGATCCGCCTCCACCCTGAAGATGCGCAAGAATACCGAGCCAAGGCGGCCCCTGAATACCTCAAAGCCGCGGCGTGTTTCCCGCCAGACGACGAGAAACACACGTGGTTCCTCAAGGTGGCGCTGTCGAACCAGCAATCCTCAGGCAAATTCACCGTGCGGGAAATTCTGGACACGATGCAGAGGATCGCCGAGAGCGCGCCGAAGGCGAAGGCTATCTGGGAGCGCTCGGCGTTGGGGATGAGGGGCGCCTGGGAGGAGCTTGCGGGTGTTGCCAAACAGGAAGCCCATCTGCGCCAGCTGGTGGCTCAGGGCAAGTTTTCGATGGACTCGTGCGTCAGCGTTGAGTGATTCGGTGGTTCATTTTGTTTTGTACATAGATTTGGATGCTCTCTTGTCTTTTTATCTTCATAGATGTTCTCATTGCTGTTGGTTATAGTTGCGCCAGTTTTGGAGCCTGTCACCTGCATCATTTATTCTTGACTGGGCCGGTGCCATCCAGCCGATTACCAGAGCGGCTTGCTCCAGAACGTCTGTTTAGGAATCCCTTGGGTACACTACACAACTAGTCAGTTCATTGGCGGAATTCAGAGCTTAAAGGATGTCGTTTTTCTTCCGAGACTACGAGAGGGTGGGTCATTGCATCATTTGATACGAGCTATCTAGTGCTTTCTTGAAGGCGCTGCAATTATCCGATATGGTGTAGTGGCTAACATTGCCGCCTCTCAGCAGTGAGGTCGAGTGCGCGGCAGCCCGGGGTTCAATTCCCCGTGTCGGAACGTTTTGATCCTCTATCCTTTCATTATTACACCGCTCCCATTCGTTTTATCAGGTCAGACTTGCCAACTGATATCTTTTCTTCTTAGATAGTACTTCTCGCAGGAAGTGCATCACTTACCCAAGGCCCCGGCGTTTCGCCTTTCTCAGCCGAAGCGAAGCTCAGAACACGGACCTAGCTTGAAATATACAGACTCAAGATGTTGGTGTTGTGTTGCAGGAGTTCTCTATGGATGTATGATGCTGCATTACACTACCAACAAGGATGCCAACGTCGCCTGCGCCTGCACGACTTCGAGGGCCTGCTCAACCTCCAGCCGCTTGCGCGCAGCATCGAGCCAGTCCGCCAACAGCAGCTTGGCGGTCCCCTTGAGCTGGTTGAGCTCGCGGGCCGCGCTGTCAAGATCCTTCTCGTTGAGATGGTATTCGGCCCGCGCGAGGACGCTCAGCACGTCATCGCCCGCGACCAGACCTTGGCGGCGGAACTGGAGAGCGGCGAAGGCGCGGCTCGCGAGATGCGAGAGCAGCCCCGCATCCTGCTCGGGCACGAGCGCCACATGCGCCACCTTCGGCGCGACCTCGCGTGCGAACCACGTCGCCAGATCGGCGAAGGGCTCGACGCCGACGTCGGGAACGTCCGAGGCCTCGAGGGACTCGAGGGCAGCGGCTACGACCTCGTCGTCGCGGGCGGCAGAGATGTGGCGCACGATGCGCAGTTCCTCGCGGAAGGGTTTGCGCACGGGGCTGCTGATGGCCGAGGCTGTCAGCGCGCGGAGGGCGGACCACAGCGCGTGGATCCGCAGGTTCTCGTCCAGGTACACCGAGTTGTCTAGCGCGATCCGCTCGAGCTTCTTCAGGTTGGTCGCCAATTCCTCGATCTTCGCCAGTCGGCCTCCGCGTTCTTGTTCGACGTGGACCTTGACCTCGCGAATCCAGCGGCGTTGGAGTTCAATGCCCTGGGCGACGACTTCTTCCTTGAGTCTATTACTGATGAGAGGGAGAAAAGAAGAACAAATATGAGCCCAACGCACCGCTCGTTGATGAGCTCTGTCTGAGTCTCCAACTCAAGCTCCAGCTTCAGTCTATACGCATCGATCAACTTGGCCCGCTCTTCATCAAAGAATCGGCGGAAGTCCTGTTCCTGGCCATCCAGCTTGTCCTGCGCCTCCATTTCGAGCTCCAGCAGTTTCACAGTATACTCGCGCGTCTGGTCGTCCAGCTTGCCCTCGAGCTCCGTGCGCTCCGTCTCGCGCACTTTCTCGATCCGCTCCACGAGGGCGGTCAGGTCCGCTTTGGCGGCATCGATCACGGGAGCAGCTTGCGCCGCAGATGCCGGGTTCGCCTCCACGAAGGCGGTCAGGTTGTCGATGGTACCGGCCAGATGCGCCACGATGGGCTCAGAACCTGTGATGGAAACTAGGGCAGGCGTGAGACGAGGAAGGGGCTCCATTGCCGGCTCGGGCTCTTTCGGTGCAGGAGGGGGAGGCGGACGTCTGTAGCCATGGGGGAGCTCGAATCCAACGGGCAAAGGAGCGTCGTAGACATCAGGTGCGGTGTCTCTTGAAGCGGGGGGAGGAGCCGAGACGTCCGACTCCGTAGCGAGAGCAGCGACCTCTACACCCTGCGTCAGGGCGTTCTCCGCATCGCGCACGAGCTCCCTGATCTCGCGCGTGAACTGCTCAGACTGGTGCTTCACGACCGCGCTGGTCTCTGCGACGTCCTTCTTCACCTCCGTCTTGATCCGGGCGGCCGCTGCGTTGGCGCGGTCTTTGGACTCCTGGACGATACGCAGAGCAGCCTCCTTCGTGTTCCTCGCGACGGCCTTGGTGTCCTGCACGGTGCCCGACGCCGTCGTGCCGTTGATCTTGTCCGTGACGAAGCGCTGTGCATCCTCGAGCATTTTCTGTACGTCTGCGAGCACGGACTCGGGCGTGGCCTTGTTCCAGTGGTTGCTCTCCGCGTAGTCCATGACGGCATGCCCCAGCGGGACATTGTCTGTGAAAAACTCGTAGTAGATCTCGTTCTTGAATGCGAGGAAGGGAGAGGCAAGGTAAAACGTCCCGACGAGACCGGTGCTCGTCAGGAAGAGGTTGCGGACGATGTGTCGCTTTTTCGGGGCAGGCGCGGCGGGCGTGGGCGCTGCCTCGGTGGCTAGCCGCTGTGGATGGAGTTGTCAGTCAGTTGGTGCGCTGCTGATGCGGCTGCGAGGGAGATGTTCGCGCACCCGTCTAACGACCCGAACCGCCCCGCCCGACCCAAGACGCCTTGTCGGCAGCGTGCGGTACATCCAGCTTCCCAGAACGACGTAATGGCGTGTGCACAAGTTTTGAGAGTAACGCCGGCTGTTCCCGGAGTGACCCGTGCAGGTGTTGACCCTAACCCCGCGTGCGGCATGATGTCAACAATACTTTTCCGCACACTTACCCAACATCTCGGAGACAGGTGTAGGTCGTCGGCTTCTATCCTGATTTTTTATTGTACACCTCAGCCCTAAAACAATTGATATTTTCCAAGTTTTATTTTCCTCGCGTGATCATTTTGACCGTGGGTGGAGCGTGCCGAGCGCCCTTCGCGATTGACATGCTGACATGATATCTTATCCTCCTTCTCTCCTCCCACCATCTCAACTCTGCAATGTCTGAGATGGACGAGAAATCGTCGCCGAGAACCCCTTCAGCGGAATTGAATCCCGCGAGTTCGCGCGCACAGACGGAATGGACGACGACGCGTAAGGAATTGTGGGCTTACTATCTCTACTATGTCGGGAACAACGGGCTATCTGGGTATATGCAGGCGCACCTCCAGATATGATCGGACCCGCTCACCTGTCGACAGCTTCAACTTCGGGCCATCTCAATTCCAGAACCTCCTGTATCTAGCAGGGTACGATCCGACACAACCACCTTTTGCTGCTCCCTGCGGCGCTAATGGGTGTGTTCTGCCCTATCTCGGGCGCGTGCGCGACAGTGCGTGTCCTGTCTCCCGTCCGTACCAAACGCACCATGATTCCTAAGGATTCAACCAGTCAACTCGATCGTCCTAATGAGTGATTCCACTGCCTCCACATCCGCGAGACCGCGCGCTCACGGAACCCGGACAAGCTAATGGGATTTCCTTCGCCGTGCAAGCTGCGCTGCTGCTGATCATCGGCGCGTGGGCCGACTATGGCACGTTCCGGCCGAACATCACCGTCTTCTTCACGCTCCTCGCCGTGGCCGTGTCGTTTGCCTGGCTGGGGGTGGAGGACGCGTCGCATTGGAGAGCTGGGGTCGCGCTGTACATTCTAGGATGTGAGTGGGATTTGGGGACAACTTGATCCACAGAGTCCATTGATGCACATTATCAGTAATCGCTTATCAGGTGCTGTTGTGTTGCCTGCCTGAAAACAGTTTCCGCTGACTCGTTTTGCAGGGATCGTTGACGTTCTGGACCGCCGCGTTTGCTGGCCTGGCACGTGACCTGCCGGAAGTTCAGACCAGCTTGGAAGAAGTGAAAGAAGGAAATAAAACGTGGTCCAAGTCGTCGTCAAATCTTGTAGATTCTGACTAAATCCACTCAGCGTAGAAGAACACGCTGATTTGACTTCACTGTCTCGGAACCGAATTTCCAACATCTCATTCACGGTGTCCTCCCTCGGCGAAATCATCATTCTGGTCGTCATGGTCGGAATCATCAAAGGCCTCAACGCAGGGGCCAGCACAGCGAACAACACGAAAGCCTTCAGTGTGCTGATCGCGTTCTCGGGCGGAGTGTGGCTGCTGTGTGCGCTGCCCTGGTTTGTCCTGGAGAAGCGGCGACCGGGATTGAAGCTTCCCCCGGGAAGCACTCTGCTGACGATCGGGTTCAAGCAGACGTATGTTGCGTTTCGGGAGTGTCTCCGGCTGAAGCAGACGTTTTTGTATCTGATTTTCTATTTCCTCATGTGAGCGGGTCGTGTTATGTTGTATTTGGTGCGTGTATTGACTTGGATTTCCAGGGGTGATGTCCTGAATACAACCGTGTGAGTTTTCGTGTCTTGTCTCGATAAATCACATGCCTTATTAGCTGCTATCCAGGACGGTCATCGGCACGCTCCAAAACAGGTGCGTTTGATTCCTGTTTATAGTCGCGTCTGATCTGGATAAAGTGTCGTGGCGTACTCGACCCTGCAACTGACTCTGCTTCTGATAGTCGGAATTGCCGCCCAGGCTGCGGGAATATAGTCAGTGTGACATTTATGCTGCGATCTGACCGGATAATTCACACACGTGCAAGTGCATTCTGGGTGGTGCAGAAACGGTTCCGAATCAGTACCAAAGCGGTCAGTTCGCATGCCGCGCTTGCTGGCTGATTCTTAGACTTGCCCCAGATGTTGTCGTTCAACGTCTTTTGGATCATCGTGAGTTCTTTGTGTGCTGATCAGACACTGACTGGGCCGAAATTCCAGGTTTTGACGATCTGGGGACTCATTGGAGTGCACACAGATAAGTTCGGTTTCAAGCATGTTTGGGAGATCTGGTGTGTAGATCGATGTTTTTTTGCCGTGGGACTGAGAGTGAGCCGTGAACGGCAGGGCCTATCAAGCCTTCTATGGATTGATGGTCTGTCCCTGGTATGCCTACTCGCAGACCATGATCAGCGAAGTCTCGCCGCTACCCCAAATGTTTGCCTGTTTCTTTCGCCGCGGCCTATTCCAACTCTCACGCGCGATACACAGGTTCCTGTTCTTCGCGCTGTTCTCCGTGGTAGGCCGTGCACAACCACCACGAGGCTCAGCGACAGCGCAGCGCTCACCATCTTTGATCCAGGTTGGCAAGACATCGGCTTTCATCGGCCCCTGTGAGTCACTCTGACCCATTCCATGTCGAAGGACGTCTGACGCAATGGTCCCGGATAGTCGTGTCTTCTGCCATCATCACGGCCTCGAACAACAACGACAACATGCCTTTCGCGTTTCTGTTCGCGCTGTGAGTGCCCGATGGCGGCCCGGTCCCGCGCCGTGGATATTGTGTTGGCTGACCTGGCCCAGCGGCACGTTCAGCACGGTCTTTCTCTGGCTGGTGGATGTGGACAAGAGCCGCGTCGAGTGCGAGGCGTTCGTCCGCGCCGAAGAGAGTGGGAAGGCGTTTGACGTCGATGCTCAGGTGACAGGCGAAGCGGGACGGTAGAGTATGTCTGTTCGCTTATACGGCATGCATCCTTGGCAGCCTGCGCAGCCCTGAACGTGACTGTTTCTGCGCGCACAAAGAAAATCCGGCTCGGCCCGTCTGCATGTGTGGTGAACGCGCAGATGGTTGTAAGTATCAGATGATCTGAAGATAAAGTCCTTGCTGTATCCAGCCCTCGTTGGGGCCGGTCGCGTTTCCATTTCGGCTTCATATCCGTAACAAGATTGTGGGTGTTGAGTCCGAGTCCGACATCCAAACGCCGATACTGTCCATGTGGTATCGCACCCGCGCGCGATCGATCTCCCAGCCCCAGCCACGAAGCGGATTGTTCCCCGTGGCTATCTGGGCCCCGACTTTCAAAATCCGTTCATTTTGAATCCGATGTTCAAGCGCCGAAACATGTGGGACGTGGGACGTCCCTACCACGAAATGGTCTGTAAATGGGATACCGCAAGTTCACCGTTGACACTGCCGACTGAAAATTTCTCCGATCGCTGGTACTAACACTGTCACTACCGACATCAGGGCGACTGCCACCAAAGCCACCAAAACCTCCCAGTCGCAGGCCGTCCAAATGTGTGCGTCCGAGGAGTCCAGAAGCTGAATCAGGTTTCTGCCCCGCATTAGTGATGAATAGACCCGCACAGGCTAAGAACGACACCGCAGGCCATGCTACAGCCTACAACCCTCTTAAGCTTAGAGTAACGACAGCACACCCTCTCCTCTACACTGTTGCCATGCGTCTGTTTGGTCATGGGTGCCCTAGATTCATCCTCCGCGGCGAGATCGGGCCTCTCAACCGGTGTCCCGATACTGCTGTGTTCTTGATATCTGTGAAGCCATGGGGGAGGTAAGTTTGGAAAGAAGCCACGCGGCCGTGACGGCCTCTGGAAATCTGGTACAGAGACCTTGTACCAGTTTGTTTCGTTGAACAGTGACAATATTTGCCCCCCCAGGCGTTATTCAACTATGTGCTCGGAATGTAGATCATTGCTTCTTGGATACGCGGGAGAGCCAAACGGACGATACATGGAAATTTCGGACATCTTAAACTTGTCCCAGATCTGCTGAAAATAAGTGAGCAGACTTTTGTGGTGCTGATTTGGCCGGAAAATTGAGGGGCACATTGGGCCGGGCTCCCGACGGCAAAGTCAAATCCTATTCTTGGGAGTAGAAAGTCGTAAATCTGACCTTGTTCAACTCTATTCCGGAGGGGCCCTTACTCCACGTCCGTGGGCCCCGATCCCTACACCAACCCCCGATATCAAAGGCATTCCAACCCGCAACCAGTGCTTTCCCGATGGGGTTTGCGAGAACAGGAACGCAACCCCGCACAGGGGGACTTACTTATTCCGTCGCTTGCTGCGCGTTGATCCCGCCGTGATGGCGTTGGTTATTAAGATTCAGTGCACTTGCGAACGAGTCTGGTTTTCGTTTTATTGTCTCTCTTTCTCTTGGGGCTCACTTGGATACCTTACAACAGAGTTTTTACTCTGAACGTTGAGATTAACGCAGCAATTCCTCCATTCCTACCCCGATCCAACCGGATCCATCACACCCGCACAGCGCATTATAGGCTGTGCAGCGACGACTCCAATCCAATCAAATGCCAAAGCGGACAACTACATACCCTAACTGCGCCTGGAGGCTGGGTGCCAGACCGCGAATATTTCTGGTGGATCCCACGCTCGGAGGTCTGGTCCAGCGGTCTAGCCGTGTGCTCTGCCATCATCACCACCGCCTCGAGCAACAATGACAACGTCATGCCCTTCGCGTTTCCGTCCGCGCAGGGAATCTCGTCCGATGGCCGGTCGGTATCTATCCGCAGGCCCGGCATCGTCTGTCAAGCGATGCTTTGAGCACGATCTTTCCCTGGCTGCTCGAACGAACTGGACCAAAAAAAAACGTCGAGTCGAATGCGGGGTGCTGATTCGCGCCAAGGGGAACGAGAAGCCATTTGACGGGGAAGCACATATGACAGGCGAAGCGGGGAGACTGGTTTCTTTTTTGGTGCATCAGGGTTCGTATGCACAGCCTGCGGCATATCTACTGCGCGCACAAGGAAGGACGGAGGGACAGAACAGCCTCGTGGGCCGGGCGCAGAGACTTGCCTCGCGACGCTGTGTCTAGGGAGGTGCGTAGGGGGGTGCAACTGAGTATACTACGAGGTTCTGCTGCGGTGAATTAGTGAAATCCCACCCGAGGTTCGCTTGGACCTGTCGTCGCGCTTGCCAGTCCGGCCCAGTGTCCGTGCATTGTTGGCGTCGAGTCCGATTTCCAAACACCGATATGGTACATGTGATATCATCACAGCCACGAGGTGGATCGTCACTGCCACGGGCTGCTTTCAGGTGGGATGAATGGATCTGACCACAGCCACGAACAGGCCTATAAATAGATCTTCGATCTCCCAGCCTGACAATACCACCCGCTGAAATCCCCCCCTTCACTACCACTACCGCTACATACCACCACCGCCATGTCGACCCCCGCCAAAGCCACCAACACCTCCCAGCCGCAAGCCGTCCAGATGTGTGCGTCCCTTGCGAATCCACCCGCGTTCTCTCCGTTTGTGTGCTGAATCGGATTCCTCCTTCTCCGCAGCGGTGATGAGCACCCCGTCGCAGGCTGAGAACGGCACCGCGGGTAAGCACGGGCAGCACTGCGAGCACAAGTCCTCGCGCATGCGGGGCGCCGGTGCCGGAAAGGTGCGTTGGGCCGACGTCGCTTGTGGTACGATCTCACACGAAGCTTTGCTGCCTCCTAGGACTGCCTGATGGGCATGCTCGGCTGCTTCCTCTGCTTCGGTGCGTCTCCTTAATTGCTTACTCGTCCTTCGGTCCGTGGAATGCTAATGCGGCTTTATTACAGAGTGCTGTGAGGTGTGTTGCGAGCGGCCTCGTGGACTCCGTCCGTGCTGGGCGCTGTTGATACTGACGCAACGTGCTAGGGCTGCTGCGAGTGCTTTGCTGATATTATCTGTGCGTAGTCCCATGATGTCGCTATACTGCCGCCGATGCTGATTGCGAACATAGGCTGCCCCTGCGAGATGTGCTGCTAGAGTGTTGCTACGACCGTCTTATCCTCGAATCCGTGCCTCGTGTACCCCGTCCGACCTCGTTAATGTACCGAGATGGACACCTACGTCGGCTCCTGTAGTCCTGCTGCAACCTGTTCCATCGAGTTCGTTGACTGTATTGGCTTTGGTCATATTGATTGCGCTGGTCCAAGGCTATTTTAAGAACGTATCTGCGTGCGACCGACGCCCCTGCTATGAACATGCTCATGACATCATGCACGCTGATCCCTCCTCGAGCCTATAAATGTCTCGTTCCCTCCAGATCCCTGCACCTCTCCACCTATCTTCCTGCACTCCCACCATGTCTGCTCCCGCGAAAACCACCACCAACGCGCAACCACAGGCGACCGAAATGAGTACGTTCTGAGCACTGAGCCGAGCGACTGTCGGCTGTGTGTCAATCCGCCTTATCAGGCGTCCTCCCGAAGACCCCAGCCCAGGCTGAGCATGGTGCTTGCCAACACCACGAACGCAAGACTTGGCGCATGCGGGGTGCCGGTGCGGGCAAGGTCTGTCTCGATCACACATGGCCCGCTCGCCTCGCAGAGTCTGACCTGCGGCGACTCCCACCACCAGGACTGCTTCCTCGGCGCGCTCGCCTGTTTCTTCTGCTGCGGTACGTCCCGGCTCCGAGCCCTTTCACACTCGATCCGCGAGGGGACGCTGACGGACTCCGGGCTCGTGCAGAGGGATGCGAGGTGCGTCAGGCTCCGATTCGCCGACGCCGGTGGAGCGCTGATCTCATGGGCCCCCGTAGGACTGCTGCGAGTGTGTCGCCGACATCGTCTGTGCGTACCACCACCCATCCTGCTTACCTGCTTGATCCGCGCGTCGTCGGCTGAACGCACTTCCCACCAGGCTGCCCGTGCGAAATGTGCTGTTAGAATGCTTGGTGCTGTAACAACTTGTGCCCTCGTGTACCATAGGATCCAAAAAGAACTTGTAGTAGTAAAATATGACAGATGGCCGAGACTGCACTCGTAAAGTGCTGTGTGGACGTTAGCTTTGCCTTGGAAGTTCTGTGCAGCGAGATCATGAAAGCCTCGACGGATGACAGCGTCGTGGTGATTGGGTAAATGTAAGGTGACAAGGTGGACAAAGTGCCCAGTCCACTTTGGGAACACACTTTGAGGTGCAATGATTCCTTAGCCTTATATGAGACTCTTAATTATTATTTTGTTTTTACCTCTCACGCTTTCATGGCTCAGTTGGTTAGAGCGCCAGTCTCATACTTGCCTATGAGTGACCCTTGGTCATTTAATCTGGAGGTCAAGAGTTCGACCCTCTTTGAGAGCATATTTTTGGTCGTGGTAGCACTCTCTTCTGCTTTGACATGCCTGCCCGTCTGTTCCATTGGCTGTCAAACTTGTACTTTGGCTGCATACTTCTTTCCTTTTCTACGACATGCCAAGGAACCCAGTGCAGGTACTGTCCCACTTGCAAGCTACGCATGCGCACTTAGTTTGGAGGATCATCAATCCAGATCAGTAACATCGCTTCAACGTGCTGATCCACTTGACTCGTCAAGGACGCCGTCTGCTCCTCACACCAATCGTGCCGCTCGTCTTCCAGGCTCCCCACATCAACCAGCCGCTCCCTAACGAACGCGACGATGCCCTCCGAAGCGGTGCCCGGTCTCCTACCCTCATCGCGGAGCGCTGAAAAGTCGACGTGCCACCGCTGAGTCGACGAGGGAGCGCTCCTGGTGGAACATGTGCACGAGGCCGAGCGCGGAGAGCGAGCGACCATCCGCTGGACCTGGGAGCCGCGGCCGCTTGGAGGGTGCACACAGGGCGATTCGACGCACCGAGCGCGAAGTACACGATGTGCGCGCCGAACACGAGCGCGAACACGCCGTTCACGAACGTCCAGAACCCGACAACGTCCAGATGTCAGAGAACGCAGATTTGTCCGAGTGGTCCTCCAGGATCGTGGCGACGAACGGCTTGGGCTGGACCAGCGTCAGCCGCGCGGACCTGCCAGGGCTGGGGATGGGGCCGAGTGTCTCGTCCGCGGAGAGGTTCTGCTGCAGCGCCGAGATGGAGGGCACGAATATGTACGAGTTTAGCGGCAGCCCCTTTGAGGTGACATCGCGTCGTGTCGTGTTGGATGGAGCGATATGCGATATCTGAACGACGATTCACCGAATCCGAGGAAAGGACTGTTTCGGACGCGCGGACCAGCGTCCGACTGTGATTATGCCGACGAGGCGGGACTGCGCGAGGAGCAGGATGACGTCGTCATTCGAGGGCTGCACGCGCATGTCCTGCGACATCACAGTCAGAGTCAGATAGACGCATCCGAGTCCGGTGGAACGTCGAGCGAGATGCTCAAGTGTTCCATATCCGCCCACCCCACCCGAAAAGGCCTGGCGGTGATGTGAATCGGCCGCATGCGTGGGCAGCTTTTGCAACCCACATTGGACCAGCCAGCCCGGCTGTTCAGCGCGATCGTCTCGCAGGTCATCGAGTTCTCTGCGCTGGGGTCAACGAACGGGGCGAATACTGCAGCGATCGTAACATTCTGGACAGCACCATCCTGCGACTCTGCATTGCCCAGCCGGTACCCGATGGCAAGTCGGTCGGGCAAGCGTTGGGCGCCCTCTGCGTGCACACCGAACTCGGAGAGGTCGGGCGGCGAGAGGGCGACGACACGCGTGACACAGGGGATGGCGATCACGACGAGATGAGGACTACGGCGCGTGCGGCAGCGATGCATCTCGACTCGCCGCTACAAACGTGAAGAGAAGGTCAAGCAGAGGAGCAGTGCGAGATGTCCACGCACTAGACAAGTGGCCGGTGAACGGATGGACTGAGGACGATGCCGAGCGAAGAACGGGATCTCTCGCTCGATCAGGAACGCCAGCCTCTGCCGGTAGGAACGCTCCTTGGTCCGGACTATGTCGGCGAGGCGGAACGGGACGGTCAAGACGAGCACGCAGAGTTGTGGCAACATGAAGAACGACGTGGTGCCGATGGCGGACCCCGAGGACAAACGAAGCTGCTGGCTCGTCGGTGCTTTGAGCCGCCGCATTCTTGCGGCTTCCAGGACAAGCAACACGAGATCCGCTAGCGCTATTTCCGGGACTTTCCACTCGAACAACCTACAGTATGGTCGACCGAACCTGTTCCGAAAGACGCGACAGAGACTCAAGCTAGATAGTGATCCAGCACAAAATACACACCCATCGGCACAGGCACAATCTTCGGCAGAGTCGTCCCATAGCATGTCACGAATAGCCCGCGGGAGAGCAACGGGCAGATGTGCGAGACGATCAGGAGTCGCAGGACGGTGATTCTCGCGACGGGATCGAATAGCCAGGCCTTGCGGACCATGCTGGGATTTTTGGGAGCTGAACGGGCTCATTCGCCTCTTATGCATGGCCCGTCGATAACTCGGTCCAAACCTGGACGAAATGAGATAAACATCTCCTGCGAGTTCCGTGGCACGCCATCATTGATGACACGTGACCGCGTTGTCCGCACGTGAGTTTTTCTCACCAACAACAACTCTTGACATCGCGAGCGGCATTTGCTGGCGGCCAACTGGTTTGCAGAAGGCGATCGATTACGGCACGATGTTTTTGATCTCGAGGCTTTTCGGCAGACTTGATGTGATCGATACTAGAGCACGCGGTCACATGCTCAACGAGACCCTACTACGCGTCCTCCGGGCATGGCGGCCTTTCGCGACGATTACGTCAACGGCATCCCGGGACCTGTTCAGTACTTCGCAGAAAACGAAGATGAGGGCATACCAAGTCTTATCCGGGCCGATACTGGCACGCATTGTCTCTGACGGGGCCGCGATCAAAACTCCAAAGCGGCGGTGCGAAGCGAAGCAAACCGATTCTCCATTGTCCCTCCGGTTTGGGATGCCGTTTCCAGCTACCGATGCGCCTTAGCAGGCCATGCGCGGCACATTGTTGGTGGGGCGTATATAAGGACGGTGGCATACGTTCGGAGGGTTCAGTTATCCCGCCCAGCGAATATCAAACATACGCTCTTTGCCACCGTCGGCTCAGTCCTTCGACCAACCAGCCTCATATCAAACGTACCTTCCTTACCATGCCTGCCCCTGCCACTGTTCCTTTTATCGTCGTCTCTCTCCTCGCGTCCCTCTTCTCTCCCCTCCCGCTTTTCTCCGCGTTCGAGTTGTGGAACGTGGGGAATGTGGGCTTTATTTTCTGGGTGTGCACCGTGTGCTTCAGCCAGTACTTCAATTCTGTGGTGTGGATTGGGAGCATTGATGACCGAGCACCGGGATGGTGTGTGATTTGTGAGTGGCGGTGTTTGGTTTGTATGTTCAGCTGGATTTCTCATTCGATAAAGCTACCGGCATCGTGCTGTCTGCGTCATTCGGCATCCCTGCCTCCTGTCTCTGTGCAAGCCGCCGTCTGTGGAGCATTGTCAATCCGGATCCCAAAGTTGAGGATTCGAAAGACGAAGTGCGTTTTCTGGTTTTATGTGTTTGATTTTTGCTGACAGTTTCTGCAGCGCTCCTGGCGAGCGTTCAACGACAGTGTCATCTGCTTCGTTCTGCCGATCGCCTTCGCGATCATGAACATCGCGAACCAGGCGCACAAGTACAAGATCGTCGAGGACCTCGGGTGTGCGGTTGACCCCGTTGCCGGCCTCTTCCCGCTCGTGTTCATGTATCTCCCTCCCCTCTGCTTCTGCATCTCATCTATCCTGTTCTCTACATCGAATCTCTGGGTCGCCTACAAGCATCGCGCGTCTCAGGTCCTGGATGTGCCGTTCAGCACACACAACAACCTCACCCTCGACCGCTTCATCCGCCTCTCGCTGCTCGCGCTCCTCACGCCGCTGCTCGTCTCGGGCCCGCTGCTCGTCTTCGGCATGGTCCAGAACAACGCGCTCGCCGCGATCTCCGCCGCTGCGCTCCGCCTCGACGGCGCCTCGGGCGCGATCCCGCAGCTCCCGCTCACCCTCTGGCACATCCGGTTCAACACCGCCGCCGCCGCTTACATGGAGTTCACGCGCTGGTCCGGGCCCGCGTGCGCGCTGCTGCTGCTCCTCTGCGTCCGCCTCATGGGCGACAAGTGGGAGTCCCCGCTGTGGGAGAACTTCCGCCGGCGCGTGCCGATTGTGTTCTGGGACACCCTCGCGCACATGGGCTACACGCGCCCCCTGCCGCCGCTCCTCCCGCAGCAGCACCAGCAGCGCGGAGGCCGCCGGCCGTCGAGCTCGTCGTCGTTCTTCGCCGGCTGCGAGGAGGATCTCGCAAACGACGCATTTACCAGCCCGCCGCGCCGCCACGCGCGGGGCCGCGGTCACCACGACCGCTTCAAGATGGCGATCTCGAACCCTGTGCGCCCCGCGTCGGGCACCGGCTCGTACATCGACTTGTTCGAGCACACCCCGGCGCCGCTGTATCCCCCGCCCCCGCGCCCGGCTCCGGCTCCGGCTCCCGCTGCCCCCGTGGCGGCGCCGAAGCCCGCGGCCAAGTTCCCCTTCCGCCGCGCCCGCACGCCGCGCACCACCCCGTCGTGGCTCCCGCCGAGGATCCCCGAGCAGGGCCTCTCGTTCGTCGCCGTGCAGCCGCACGCGACGATCCCGGGCCGGTTCGAGGTGGTGAACCGGAACGACTTTGGGTGGCACCGGGTGCACAACCACGAGCTGGCGGACAAGCTCGTGCTGGGCAAGGACGGGGTGTACCATCCCCGCGCGGCGGGGCTGCCGGGCCGCCGCCTGGTGTAGAGGGTGTATGTGATGTGAGACAGTATAGGTAAGTATGTATTTCTAGCTGCAGTATGTATCGTTAGCGAATAAACTGGTGTTATTCCACCCTCTTGGACTTTGCGAGAGATCTCGACCTGGCGTAGCTGCTTGCTTACGCGTCTTGTCTTGCCCATAGTAGAGCTCCATTCTTGGACACTTGCTCCATACAAGGCAAACTTGAAGCGGAAATTAGACGCTGCAGCTTGGAGCTATGTTCACTCTCAACCTGCCCATTATCTTTTCAATGAAGTAAATGAAACACAGGCCGCACATGTAGGAACTGATGATTTTCGTACATAGACTGAGCACCGAGACATTACGGACGACCGCTGCTATGGATCCATCTCCAAAGCCCTGATCGAGGAAGCGGTTGTCCTTATGCACGAAGGTTGTTGCCTTGCGTGACGGGTCGAACTCGGTAGTCTATCTCTCGAGTTCAGCGCCCAAGAAAGAGCCGGAAGATCCTTCCCTTCCCACACATTGCGTAACGCTTGCCGCCCCAAACACCGAAGATCTTTGCCAGGTGTCTCGCTTACTGCCTCTCGCTAGCTTTTGTTTCAAGGTGAACGGCAGATCAGATCCCCGACACATTTGAGTTTGCGCCGGAGAGGCATTGGATTAGGCCGGAGCTCGAGGTCTTGCGCAGATCAGCAGGAAAACAGACCAGCCCGCCTTGAGATAATATCCAGCTGGCAGCGTGAGGTGAGAGTACAGCCGGAGCCGTTTCACGGCTCGACAATCCGCGAGACAAAGCGTTCTCCCAGCAGATTATATGTATTTCTAGCTGAAGCTCGTAGATGGCTCTGTGTTGCGAATGCTTCTTCGAGTCGTGCTTGACGGTGCTGATGATATCCATCTGGATAATGAGCTCAAGTTGCTGGAAGTGGATGGGTTGAGTGTCATGCCTGTCTGCGCGTGTCCGCTAGCTTATCGCTTGTTCAGTCACCGAGCGAGACATCCGCGGTGTCGTCACTTCCTCTCCGGCTTCTCCGTGTGGAAACCTCTTCAAGGCTCGACCGTCACCGACAGTATCCATCACACGCAACCCGGTCTCCATCTCGGCACGCTACGCGAGACCGCGAGCAAGATTAACGCATGCCGTTCCGTCCAAGATGTCGCGAGCAGTAATCACGGACGGTCCGAGGGTGCAGACTTGTTATACAGGCGAAAACGAAGGTGGCGGATCCTGGGCGACGAAGAGTCCGATACATGAAAGTGGGTATCCGCGACATCCGCATGCAGTCAATTCTGCCTTTAGAGCAACAAGACCTGAAGCAAACGAGCGTCCGAGCTCGAAGGTGGTTTCGAAGAAGTTTGATTCTGCCAAAGAAGGCGAAAGTGGATGTGTAGTCGAGCGTCTTGTGGGATAGCGTCAGCGGTGCTCGAGTCATCGCTGTTGTCCTCGGCAGTTGCCGTCCGGTGTTTCGGCCTCAGCTAAGCTTCTCTTGTCGTCGAATAGCTCAGGAGATCGGGGAAGGAGGTCAAGATTGGCACGGCGACAGAGTCTTGTGTGCTTATAGATCACTTAATTGCATAATCCCTTCAACGCGAAGACGAACTCACTTACCCACTCAGTAATAGTAATACTGTATCGCAACGAGTTCTCACGTCGGATTGCTTGCCGCGGAGATGACACAGTGTGCACGGTGATCCTCTTCAAATCTTCTCCGTCAAAGCACCATTTCATGTAGTAACCGACCTGCCTCTTTATGGCAAACTCGAACCACAGATACCACCGACGTCCGGCGAGAAAGATCCAGGCGGCGCAAGAGGGGGATAGACCAATACCTCCTGTGCTAGTGAGTGAATCAACAACGCGTCAGGCGGCGTCGCGTGCGAGTCTGAACGGTGTAGTAGTCAATAAATCCACGTGCAACCCTAGATGCCCACAGCCGAGTAGACCCGCTCCAGAACGCCACGTCTCCGTGTCCAAGCGTCGTTTGGTCTGTTTGAGGCGACCATCCTTGCTTCTGAAGCCGCGGATCGTGTGCGTACAGTCTTGCAGAGCTCAAATGCACGGGCGGTGGCGCGCTTGTTTCGGCGTGGGTGCGAATCCATCGAGCCTGGCCAACATCAGGTTTGAAGGGACAGATACGTCCAGGGCATTTTTAGGTTGAACGTGTCACGACTTCAGACTCATAACCCACGGAGGCGGGCAGACAAGATCAAGGGCACAGGTGTGACAGCCAACCAGGTTCGAGTTGCCCGCCAATCAGACCAACGACCATAAATAAATCTCGGGCCGAACTCAATTACTTCATTCCAACCTTCACCCCCGCTTGCACTCTTCCCTTGTCACTTGTTTCTCGCCAGCTCACTCACTCTCGATGGCCCCGGCACTCAACCACCCCGCGGGCGTCACCTTTGTGGAAGACCAAGCATTGAGCTCGAGCAGTGCCCAGACTGACGCCTCGATCTACTATGGTGGAGCCGAATCATTTTCGCGCTCGCGCACTTACAGCCAGGTTCGTCCCGCGCAATACCTCCGCTGCGCCCGGTCTGACACCTTTCCGCAAAGTCGCACCTGCACGGATACAACCCCAAGATCGCCCCCGCGTTCGAGGAAGACTCGCACTACCGCAAGCGGCGCATGTCGCACGACGAAAAGGGCTCCGCACCGCGCCGGTTCCTCATCGACGTCGAGGAGACGATCCGGGTCGTGCTCGAGCAGGAGGACACGGACGGCGACTTCCAGATCAGCGTCACGGACGCCGGGCCCAAGATGATGGCGCTGGGGACGGCGACGAGCAACGGGTTCAAGACGTTCGACATCCGCGGCACGTACATGCTGTCGAACCTGCTCCAGGAGCTCGCGCTCGCGCGGGACCACAACCGCAAGCGGATCGTGCTGGACGAGGCGCGCCTGACGGAGAACCCCGTCGACCGGCTCTCGCGCATGATCAAGAACTCGTTCTGGCACTCGCTCACGCGGCGCATTGACGGGGACGGGCTCGAGATTATCACTGCGGACCCCAAGAACCGGACGGGGCGTGTCAACCCCAGGATTTACGTGCCCCACGGGGAACCGGCTATGGCGGATTATTACCGCAGGGTTGCGAGGGAGAAGCCGCACCTGAACCTTGACGTGCAGGTCCTGCCGGAGAAGCCTGATGACCCCGCATTCGTCAAGAGCCTAAACAACAAGCCGGGGATCCTTGCGCTCGCGATGAAGGAGGTGGACGGGACGCTCAAGGGCATTCCGTTCATTGTCCCGGGCGCCCGTTTCAATGAGGTGTGTGTAGGGTTTCCCAGATCGGCTTCATCTTCTCACGGCTGCAGTTGTACAATTGGGATTCGTACTTCATCACGCTCGGCCTGTTGGTTGACGGTCAGGTGTCGATGGCTCAAGGCATGGTCGACCACTTTATCTTCGAAATCAAGCACTACGGAAAAATCCTCAATGGCTCCCGGTCGTACTACCTATGCCGGGCGCAACCACCCTTCCTTACTGACATGGCACTTCAAATCTACAACCAGCTCGACCGCTCGGATCTCGCTGCCAACCGGGCATGGCTGAAACGGGCAATTCAAGCCGCTATCAAGGAGTATCATTCGGTGTGGGTCGCCGAGCCCCGTATGGATCCCAAGACCGGACTTTCTCGTTTCCGACCGGACGGGCTTGGCATCCCTCCGGAGACCGAGGCGACGCACTTCACGCACATACTCGAGCCCTATGCTGCCAAGCACGGCATCTCGGTTTTGGAGTTCAGCGAGAAGTACAACGACGGAATCCTGCACGAGCCGGAGCTGGACGAGTACTTCCTGCACGACCGCGCCGTGCGCGAGAGCGGGCACGACACGACGTACCGGTTCGAGAAGCGGTGCGCGAACCTGGGCACGATCGATCTGCAGGCGCTGCTGTACAAGTACGAGATGGACATCGGGACTGCGATCCGCGAGGTGTTTGACGATGAGCTCGAGATGGAGGAGGACTTCCCGCTCGCGCCGTTCCCGGTGACGCCCGAAGCCTACGCGCGCCCGGAGAGCACGCGTCTGCGGAGCAAGACGCGTCCGCAGACGAGCGCCGAGTGGTTCGCGCGCGCGGAATGGCGCAAGGGCGTCATTGACAAGTATCTGTGGAACGACAGCAAGAGCTTGTACTTTGACTACGACACAGAGAAGGAGGCCCAGATCTTGTACGAGAGTGTCACGTCGTTCTGGGCGATGTGGGCTGGTTGTGCGAGCGAAGAACAGGCCTGGCAGCTGATGTGCGTGGTGTGCGGATATGCTCGCTGTTAATGCTGACTTGTTTCCAGGACCAAGTCCCTGAAGAAGTTCGAGGTGCTCGGTGGCTTGGTTCCTGGAACTGAGGAATCACGCGGCAAGATCTCCCTGGACAGGCCCAATCGTCAGTGGGACTACCCGTGAGTCACAGCCCTTGTTTGTCTATGAAATCCTCTCTGACGGGCGCTCAGTTATGCGTGGCCGCCGCATCAGATCATGGCATGGGTCGGTCTGGAGCGTTACGGATATCTCGAAGAGGCTCAGCGTCTCGCATACCGCTTCCTTTACATGTCCGTCTGCGCGCTTTTTTATCCCGTGCTGCGGATGCTGACTATCCATCTAGGATGACCACGTCATTTGTCGACTTTAACGGCGTCGTCCCTGAGAAGTTTGACGCCGTCAAGCTGTCTCATCTCGTTGACGCCGAGTACGGAAACCAGGGGATTGACTTCAAGATGGTGCCTCGGGAGGGCTTTGGGTGGATGAACTGTGCGCGGGGCTATTTTTTGTGCATTCGAGTGTTGACTGACTAGCGATTGGTTGTCGACAGCGGCCTACCAAGTCGGCCTGACGTTCCTGAGCTCGCACATGCGGCGTGCGCTGTCGACGTGCACCTCGCCCGAGGTGTTCTTCCCCAGCAGCGCGGTCACTGCGACGAACAACCAGGGTGCGACGCACACCGGGAACCTGCCTGCGTCCGATCCGCTGGGCCTTGCGATGGAGGCTCTGTTCGTCTAGAATGATAACCACAACGTCATCGTCGTCGTCGTCAATCCTCTTACACTCACGTCCCTGCTGCTATCATACGCCTTGCTAATCTGATATCTCTCGTATCGTCGCGCGACTGCCCTAGATAACTAAAAAAGCATAGATCCTACATCCATCCATCCGTCCATACTTGTACGTGTAAATAGTCTGACCCACTGTGCACTAGTGAATAGCCCCACCCGTACGGTACATGTACATAGCGCCATCCGGAATCTTGTTAGTTTTTCTGCGTTTTGTTTTGAATCGTTCGTTGCTTTGACTGTTCGATTCGCTCGTTTTATGTAAGTACATGAGTGGATTGTAGGATGTGCTCGAGGGTGATGAACTGGGCTTTTGTCAGGCTCCGACTAATACTATACTGTCAGTGCCTTTCTCCGTGTTGCTTCGATATTAGAAACCGGAAGTGAGCAAATGCGGTTCAAGATGACCCAGAGGCCGCACTGAATTTCAAGGACCGCGAGCTAATCTATTGACCATTATGCTGTGTTCTGTATATCGTCGTACACAAGACAATTAAATCCTACTGGCCTGCCATCATCCATGCGACGCCCAGATTAGCCCGAGCACAGATAGCTGTCGCACGTGTATAGAGCTACATGGGTATCTTACCTACATTATTGAGATCTGATTACAAACGGAGGATGCCCTGGAAACGAAACGAATGCACTGGTGCGTGTAGACAGGAGATGGAAAAACAGATGCCCGATTAAGGAGCGGATTATATGGTAAGCGAGTGTCGTCGAGCGCGGGTTAGAGCCATCAGGTGGGGGACGTCGACGTCGAGGGGGCTGCCGCCGTTGCTTCTGCTGCTGCTGTTGCTGTCGCGAGGGAGCGCCGCGCCGCACGCCGGTCCTGGGCTTCTTGGATGATCCGTTTGAAGGCACTATTTTCCACGACGGGGTGAGAAGGGGAACCAGAAACGGGACGGAAAGCAGGGGACGCACGGGAGCATGATGGGTTTGACAAGCACTTGGTCCAGTCCGGCTTTGAAGTACGCCTGCTGGTCCTCAGTCAGCGCGTTCCCTACGCGATGCGAGCGAGTGAGCACAACAGATCCCTCGAAAAACACGAAGATCGACAAACCTGTGCACCCGACGACAAAGTCATCGCGCTCATGGGCCCGCAGTTCTTTGACCGCTTGCTCCCCGGTCATCACAGGCATAAAGTTGTCGAGACATATCAGGTCGAAGGTATGCGGAGGCGAGTTGAGCACTATCTGCACACACTCCTGCCCGTCCTCGGCCGTCCGCACAACACACCCAAGCTTGCTCAACAGTCTGCGACGTTTCTTTAGCAGATGGTACAAAACAGAGGACTAGAACAACCACCCACTTTGAGGACAGCATCCGTGTAGTCACATCGTCGTCCACCACCAGCACCGAAATGGGATCCGCCCGGGTAGGCGCGGGTGCGGCCAACGGCGCGGGCGCGGCCAACGGCACGGGCGGAGGAACCTCGACCGGCGCCGGGTTGCTCTCGTACCGGGGAAGCGGCGGCGCTACTGCTTCAGATATCGCTGGCGTCAACGGCGGCGGCGGATACTCGAACGAAACCGACGATGACGGGATCCCAGGCCGATCGACCATTATGCGCGGCTTCGCATACGGGACGAAAGACCCCTCCTTCCAGATCGAGTGTATGGGCCTCGGCGACGCATTCAGCTCCCGGCTGGCTTGGACTTCTGCCTCTGACGCCAGTGGATACGTCAACTGCACCCAGAACTTGCATCCTTCACCAGGTCGGGAAATGACGCCCTGGGAAAATTGAGCATCGTATCATCCGATGAGTCACATCAACGCACCAGTCTCCCGCCGCAAACCTTGACGATCTGCTTGACAATAGCCAATCCCAGCCCCGTCCCAGATCCACTAGATTTGCCCGTCGAGGTCTGCGACCACGATCAGCAAACATGTCATGTAAACCAAAAGGCACTCGGGCACACCTGAGCAAACGGCTGGAAGAGCCTGTCCTTGACCAAGTCGGACGGCTTGATTCCCGGACCCGAGTCATGCACGATAAGCTTGAAAGTGAGACATCGCGTCCCATTCGCACTGCCTTTGCGTGACAGCGGCGGGGTGCTGTTGTGACTGGGGCTGTTCGAAGAGTGCTTGCGCGACCGTTCGGGAGCCGCACGGGGCCGTTCGAAGGCCGCAGCGTCGTCCATCTCGTCGTCCGAGTCATCGCCGTCTCCCGGCTGCTTTTCCCGCGTCGTGATCCCCAAGAACTCGGTCGAGATGCGGATGCTGCCCTGGCCCTCCGGCGTGTACTTGACCGCGTTCGTAGCGAGGTTGGTGATCACTTGCTGCAGCCGCAGCTCGCTGCCCAGGACCCAGAGACCCTCGGGTTGCGGTGCCGCCCCGTGCTCTGCGGTGAGCGGCTCCGTGTCGATCTGCTCGTCGAGCTGGCGCTCCAAGATGAGCCCTCGAGCGTCTGTCTGCACTTGGATCAAATCAAGCAAGTTGCGGATCGAGTGGTGGAGCGGGAAGGGCTGTAGGCACGTCTAAGCTGTCGCTCGCGAATAAAAAAGAGAACGACGCACCTTGTCGTTGGCCTCGAAATGGCCCATGTTCATTTCTAGCAAAGGTCAGCTGAGAGACTACAAAGATGGCAGGGCCACGCACTCTCGAAGTCCAGCACGTCGTTCAAAACGGTGGTCATCATATTCAGCCCCTGTTCGAGCGCGTAGATCTCCTTGCGCCTGAGCACGGTATCCTCCCTGAAAGCATTGTCCGCCTGCAGGATTTGCAGGGCAAGACCTGAAACGTGATTGATGGTGAGTACTGCGGAAGAACTCCAAGGGGCGGCACTTGCATGTGTTATTCAGCGGCACCCGGACCTCGTGGAAGATGTAGTTGGCGAAGCGGCGTTTCAAGAAGCCCGCTTTCGTCTCCGCTGACCGGGCTTTTTGTTTGGCCCTATAAGCTTGCTTCAGCTGCAAAGCCAGCAAAAACATCTTTCGCTTTGCCTGGCGAAACGTAGACGTCAGTGGGGAACGCCCGATCAGGGATATGTCTTACATTCTCTGTATTGTGGTGTACTGTTAGCGTGAAGACCCAGAACACCACCTAGAAACAAACCCCGTCAGTATCCCGCTAATGAGAGTGAGACGACAACTACGCACAAAAAGCACAATGTTGCGCGCGAAGATCGTCTGGTCGGGAAGAATCAAGACCACCTGCAAGACAAAGGACGCTGTCACAGCGATGAGGTTGTAAATGCGCTTTGAGCCAATAAACATCATCAGGGCCGGCAGGCCCGTCGAGTAATAGCCTGCGGAGTTTGAACAGATGCATCGTAGGGGGACGGCCAGAATCCTCACTCATTTCCAAAAAATCTTTGCCGAAGCACTTCTTGTGTGCCGGGACGAAGAAGTGACATTCACGCATTTCGACCATCTCGGTGAAGCCGCAGTACCAGGCGGCGACGCAGAACCAGATCTGGAATATCACAGGCGAGCGATAGGGCATGTCGAGAGCGACCATCACTGGAACCGGGAGGGTGATTGCCGTGAACGCTCCCCACTGTGAGAAGTTGGAGTAAATGACAACACAAAAGGATAATTGGTCACTGACATAGATAATCTAAAACAAGGGTCAGTGCACGGCTGGATAAGAAAGATGAGATGGCGTACTTTATCATACAAATGATGTTGGGTGCTGTTGTTGTTGAGGACCAGGTATAGAATCCAGTTGAGGACGAGGACTGAACAAAGTAAACGAACAAATCCCGACTAGCAATGGAATCAAACACACAAAGCGAACCGAGGCTGAGACAAGAAGAGTTCAGGTCATTCCGTCGAGCTAATGGAGCAGCACTCACAACGCCATGAACTTCATTGAATGCCATGTTTGCTTCTGGTACATCTCCTCGTGCGGGTCCGGGAACCGTGGCTCGAAAAACTCGACCACCTCCGGCCATCCGCGGTGACGGATCCAGGACAGAAAACCGCCCTGATAGTTGCTGGACGTCTCGAAGCCGTCCTCGTCCCGGTTCTTGCCGTTCCGCTGCCCGGTGCTGTTGCTACCCCCATAATTCGAGTGGCGCGAGCTGTCGGACTGCCGGGTGTCAATTTTATCAATGTGGTTCTCGACGGGGTCTTCGATATCGACGACGACGATGTCCAGGGCATCGGGATCCTCCTCCTCGGGCGGCTCGTCGTGCTTCTCCTCGGCGAACCCCGGGTCCTTGACCTCCGGGCGCACCTCCTCGCTGTCGCCCTCGCTGCTCTTGGGGAGCCGGAACGTCTCCGCGAGCGAGCCCGTCAGCGTCGTCGTGCAGATGCGCCAGATCCTCGTCGCGCCGCGGCCAACGGTCCCGTGGCTCAGCCGGCCCACTGCGCTAGCGTGTCACACCCGGGGAAGTCGAGAAGAGCCCGGAGGGACTCACCGAGCCTAGAGACAACGTGATTCCCGGGCGCACGGGCTTGCTCGACGCCGCTGAAGGCCAGCCGTTTGGGCCGGTGCAGCGGGAGGACGACGGACTGTTGCGCCTTCATGGGCGGCCGCGGGGTGCCTGTGTGCGTGCTGGGAACGCGGGCGACCGACGCTGTTTGTGAGGGTTGTGCGCAGACGGCCGGGAACGGTGTCAAAAAGTGGCTGCTTACCGATGTGTATGTATGATGAGGGCGGTGACGTCGATCGAAGTGTCACCGGGCCGGGCCGGCGGCTGCGATCGCTGCAGTTTGTACTAGATTTCCCACGCCATGACGCGTTTTTATTTTTAGTTCGGGGGCTGAACTTGCGCCTACTCGTCGCTCGCCCCAGGTCGTGCTTGGACTCGATCTCTGACTCCCATTGAATCTCGTTCACACTCGCTGGGGATCAAACTACCGCATTTGAAAGTGGCGAAGTTTCGGGCAGGACTCGAGGCCGCGGTGGTCTTCTGACCTGCTCTGGTCCCTTGGAGTCCCTTACGGAGAGAGAAGCTGGCTCGCTCGGATGTGTTTCTCGGATGACTCCATTTGCTCGCCATCATTTCTCGATGCCTCCAGCTGACTTGCAGGTGGACCGGTCACAGCTGTGGCGCAAGGAGCAATGTTGCAAGGATGTGACCTTCCACACACTCCTGCTTGATTCATAGGATAAGACTGAAACGAATTTTAGATCTTGCACCGCCAAGCTGCTGACTAGAAAGGTAATTCAAGCACGCAGAGCGTCGATCTTGCGAACGTAAGCTCCGGCCAAGCGTCAAGCAAATAAGCTTTCGCGTCCTGCAGACCGCAACCGCCGGACGGACTGCGATCCTGACACGGCAGAACATGACGGATGCACGACAAAGATGATAAGGCAGATCAAACGGGGCCAGACTCCGCTGTTGCCCCCGCACTAAAATCCGCCGGGTGTTCCTGCTGCCTCGATATCACTCCCGATCAAGCAACAGCGCAATCCCACCGCAAATCAATGAACGCAGGGAGAAAGCAACGCACCGCATTGCTTTGGGTGCGTGCATTCTGCGCGTCATGGCTCGCAGCTTAAGAGCTTCTGCGCCCCGCGTTTCAGCCCGTCGTCTGGTCCCTCGAGCATGCATCTCGGGCGATGCGCACTCGCTGCTCTCGCGGTCTCTCTGGTGCAGGCCCGTGTCACGGTGTACTCCCAGCGCCCGTGGCAGGGCACCAAGATCGGGACGGCCAATGTCGTCGCGTACACCGGTGCAGCCGCCTACGACAAGGCGACTCTGGTCCCTCCCCCGGTCCCGAGTCCACCGATTCCGACCCAGTTCGTCCAGCCGCTGAACGTGCAGCCGCCGCTGGGAGCATCGATACGACAGTCGGGGTCGTTCTACGGGTTCTCTATCGAATTTTCAGTGATAGATCAGATCTGTGAGTGGGCCGCTGTTGCATCTCGCGCTGGCGGTACTGATCTGGAGACCGACCAAGTGGGATTGAATTCGTACGTGCACGCGCATGGCCATCGCCTGCATTCGCTCACGACAACGCTCCACCGAAGCTCGTTCATCCAAGTCCCGTTCCTGAACCTCATGTCCCACATCCAGACGCACGGCGGATCAGTCCGCGTCCGGATCGGCGGAAACACGCAGGACACGGCTGCGATGGTACCCGCGCTTCCCAGCGGGCGAATGCTGATGAAAGACAAGCATAGCAATTCGGTGCGCTTCTGTGGCGTTACCGGTCAAATCCCCTTTTGCTCAACACTTGCACATTTCGCCAGAGCACGCCGCCCCTTCTGTACACTCCGGAAGTGATCTACTTGCTAGCGAACATCTCGTCGCTGGTCAACGTCGGGTGGTATCTCGGTGGGCACCATCGCTCCCTAACACAAGCAAACTCAGGCATCCTCGGTCGCAGGGATCCCACTCAACGACACGCAGCATCCGCAACTTGAGATCGCCGAGGTCGCCGAGCGCATTCTGGGCGACAGATTACTGGGCCTGCAAGTCGGCAACGAGCCGGATCTATATCCGGCGTAAGCCATACAGTCTTTTTGAGATGCACTTACGTACACCCAGCCATCGCATCGCAGCCACAATCGCCGCCCGCCGACGTACGGCCCCGTCGACTACGTGCGTGACTTTGGCCTCATTGATGCCGCGCTGCGGGTCGACCCGGCGGTGCCGCACGTGAACAAGAAGCTCGTGGGGCCCAGCATATCCGGGACGTGGAAACTCGAGGATGTATTCAATGCCAGCTTCTTGACGGACTACGCGCCTTCTCTGGCTGCCCTCAGCGTCGAAAGGTACGAGTGACGTCATGGTTGTCCCCGATTCCCACGGTTGAACTGGCGTGCCAGTTATCCTGATAACAACTGCGCAAAGGTCTTGAAAACAGGAGGACCGGTGGTCGATCCCCAGACAGTGTTCTCCAACTATCTCAATCATACTTCATCCCAGGAAATTATGAGAAAATACTTGAACAGGTGGGAATCCCGTGGGATGCCGACAGGGTTCAAGCTGACTGTCACCCTCTGCTAGCACACTTCTCGCACAGAGTTTGAACCTCCCGTTCCATATGCTAGAGACCAATACAGCTTCTTGCGGCGGCTTCCCAGGCGTCAGTGATTCGTTCGGAAGCGCGCTATGGGCGTTGGATTACGGGCTGCAGATGGCCCACAGCAATTTCAGCGGTGCGCTTCTGTAAGTGGCAGAAAAAACTCGCCAAAGATTTGAGAGAAGAAAGGCCTGATTGTTTTTGAAGCCACTTGGGTGGGCTGAGTGACTCGTACAACGTGAGTGCTGGCCGTACATTGGAAGAGCCTGATCTCAATGTGGTCTTCCACAGCCATTCACACGTGAGACGCGGTCTGCCCAACTCTCGAACTATCTCTTTACTCATATGCTCAGCCCCACCCACGAATCAGTCAACGTTCCGCGGCTGGACTGTCGGACCGGTGTACTATTCAGCCCTCGTTGGTATGTTCCAATACTCTTAGCCGACGCTATCCAGTCTGACTTACTCATGCTAGCGGCCGAAGTGTTCGGCAAGTCCAACCAGTCTCAGATCATCGACCTGCAGATGAACAACCAGAACATCTTCACGCCGGGATACGCGATCTACGAAAACGGCACGCTTGCCCGAGTGGCGTTGTTCAACTTCATCACCGATCCGTCCGGAGCGAGTGACTACTCGGTCGCTCTGCAGGCAGTCACTCTGCCGAAAGAGGTGAAAGTGAAGTGAGTCGCATAGCGTGGACGATTTACTCGGGGTGGGAATCTGAAACCATCAAGGTACCTCCTCGCACCGTCCGTGAGTACGAAGGAGAATATCACCTGGGCTGGGCAGGTGGGCGATCGCACTACCATATCTGATCCGGGCTGAATCACGAAACACCCCAGACATTCGGCGCAAATCTCGCGTCGGACGGCCGTCTCTCCGGGCAGCTCTCAGTCGCGAGGGCCCCGTGCGACGCCAATACCAGCAGCTGCACCGTCCACGTCCCCGCCCCCGGCTTCGCCCTGGTCAGCTTCCTGAACCCCGCCGCCAACGAAACGCCCGCACCGACGCCGGGCGCGTGGCCGACGACGGCGCACACGAAGACGATGAACACGCTGACGGTGGATCCGAGCGTGTTGGCGACGTCAAATGGTCATTGGGACGACGATACGAAGCTCGGGAGCACCAGTCCGGAAAGGATCGTTCCGGGACCACGCGGTGGACGTCCGGCGAAGAATGTGCGTAGCGGTGCGCTTGAAGGTCGTTCTATGAAGTTATGGGTGGTATGTGCATGTGTGTTTTTGGCTTGGTCCATGTGCACTGTAACATGATTATGTTGTCCTTCGTGGCAAGTGTTATTTTATTTACGATGTACGGACTAGAACGCTCCACAGTCACGTGGCAAATGCCATTTTGAATTCATTGATATTGAATTTTAGGCGTGGTCTGGCACTTTGCGTCAACTCTTCACGTTCCTGTCTATGCTGTTCTGCGTTAGACGTGTACTGACGCCAGACGCCTTCATCCAAGCCAACTATCAACTCAGATAGAGCCAGTGCTAAAGATCTGATGGGCTCCACCGATGACCTCACCTCGAAGAGAAAGCTCAAAAACGACAGATGCTTGCAGCGTGCAGCAACACACTTACGATCCTCTACGAACGACAGACATAATGCCTCTCTTCAAATCTCGTCCCGGCACCGACTCTCCTCCGACTGCCCTTGAAACTCAAGCACTTCCACCCGCTCGGCAACAGCCCACTCCCCCAGAATCTCCACCCCGACGGCGCCCGACGGGTGCATTCTTCAACCGAGCCCGCCCCGCATCCCCAGTTTCCATGACCGACTCCGACTTCCCACCGCCGACCCCCACAACAAGCGGGTGGTCAGATTACCGCTCAGCCCATTCTCGCGCAGCCAGCATCGGGAGCAGCTTCTTCTTCCGCTCACATCGAAGCTCTGGGGCAGCTGACGCAGACGCCGACGCCGCCTCCGTCCTGTCACAGCAGACGACCCCGACGATACCCTCCCTCAGATCGCGCCGGACCGTGGACCGCGACGCCGCATCGGTCGTGTCGACGCCCACGCTCGCGAGCAAGAGCTCCAACGTCTTCACGCGCTCGCTGCGCAAGTACACCGGCCACGTGGAGAGCGACCCGAAGGTCCAGATCGCCCGGGAGAAGATTGCGAACGCGGCGGAGGCGGAGCGGGAGGCCGACCGCGCGCTGATGCACGCGCGGGCGCGCGTGCGGGACGCGATGGCCAGCATCAAGGTTCTGGAGGAGGAGGCTGAGGAAGAGTGCGTCTTCTTTTGGCTTTTTGGGCGTAGTGCATTGCTGATTTTTTTTGTGACTGACGCAGAGCTCAACGGGCCCAGGCCAAATCCGCCGTCTCGCGTCTGATGAGCAGAAGCGCACGGGGATTGGGACGTCATGGGTAGTGGCTTGTAGTGACTGATCCTGTATACCCAGCCATGTGATTATTTATGGGACGAGAAATGCTGAGCCTGGTTTGATCGTGGGTGCTCAGTGCGCATGGGAAAGGAAGGGAGATGAAAAATCTAGCTCGTGCGGTTGCTTTTCCTAGTGGTCAACACGCGGTCTCTGAGTAAATCGGAGAACCCTGGGCCTGCGAGAGCAGGAGTTCGAATCCCAGTCAAAAAATCCACTATGCGGGAGGTTTGGTGGGTATTATCATGTGATCGAATCCCACACTGTTTGATCTTCGTGATCATTCGCGCGTAAACAGCGTTCCTACCCTTGGGGGAAGTCCTCGGACTTTCCAACTTTGCGGATCAAAGGGGCTAATCAATTATTAGCTGCCGGAGGTCGAAACCAACGCACCACCAAAAAAAAAAAAAAGAAAAAGAAAAATCTAGCTCGTTCGGGGATGAAGGCAAGGCGCCAGAACAATTCTTTGTCATTCCGATCAATTGCGTTCTCCTTTTTCCTGCCTTCATCTTGCACTCGCCACCATGTCCAATAAAATCGTCGTAAGCGCCCCGTCGATCTGGTCTATGGGTGCACTGCTGACCGGAATAGCCGACTGTCTATCGAGCCATTCTTGACGATGTGGAGGCTAACATCCGTTCTTCCTTCGAAGACTACGGCGTGGGCGAAGATGTCTTGAAAACCCTCATGCAGGTGCGCAGCCCTCACTCCCCCGTCCTCTCGTATTTCTCAATCTTTATCAGAGCTGGCAAGATAAGCTGCAAAACTCGCGCGTGGCCGAATTCATCCCTGAGCCCACCCCGGCTGCACAAGTCCCGAGCGGCCATCTTCCTTACCCAGGTGGCATGGCCCTCCCCCCGTACGCCATGCCCCAACGAGCCGGCCCCATCGCCACCGGCAACGCATCGGGTGTGAAAACCGAGCCCGGAGCACCGCACATGCCCTACGCCACTCCCTACGCCATGCCCATCCTGCCTGGCCCGCAGATCCCAGGGCTCACGCTCCCGCCGGGCACCGCGCCCCCGAGCGGCCTCGGCATCCTGTCCTCGAGCCTGAACACCGCGCAGCTCAGCGCGCTCAACCAGATGATGACCCAGCACATGTTCCAGCTCCCGCAGGTCGACGGCGCCCACACGGACGACGACGAGGACGAGGACGACTACGACGAGGTCGTGCCCGGTACGGCGCCCCGCAGCTCGCATCCGTCGCTGCCGCCGGCGCCGGCGCCCGCCCCTGCTGTAGCCGGCCCCAGTGGCTCTTCTGCCCGCCCACGTGCGCTTGCGCCACCTGCTCCGGCCTCCACGTCCAAGCCGACCAGCACCGATCCGGAGGATGCCATCAACAGCGATCTGGATGACTCAGATACGGACAACGAGGGCGACGGCGCGAATGGCGGGGACGATGCTCTGGATGGAGCGATGGGCGGGGAGGCGGATGTCATCTTCTGCACGTACGATAAGGTGTGTATGCGCGTCTTCCATGACGCGATTATGCGTTCTGATGGTTTCAAACAGGTTGCCCGAGTGAAGAACAAGTGGCGGTGTGTTCTGCGCGATGGAATCGTCCATGCCAAGGGCAAGGACTATCTTTTCCAGCGGTGCACAGGGTATGTCTCCATTCTCCATATGTTGCTGGTGCCCATCATGAATGATGTACTTCGCAGAGAATTCGAGTGGTAGTCGTCTGGTGGTGCCATCGGCGGCTCGCATTTGGAGCTTCTACGCCCGAAGCCTGATCAAAGAAAACTGTATCGACTCAAGAAGACATTGGCCACACATTCTCCTATTCATATATCGCATATCCATTCCCATCATCCGTACATTTCCCCGTACATAGCATGTATAACCCACATTCCAATCTCATTCCCTCACACATGTGCGGAAGGATCAGCCCGGGACGTAGTTCATCCAGATCCTCAGACCGGTCAGATGCTTCGGATGCTTCTCCGCGTCGCAGCAGACCGCGCATTGGGGCTCAACAAGTCGTACTCCTGCACTGCGAGCCGAAGGCAGGGTTCACGATATGCAACAGCTAGGTCGCGAATCGTCACAACACGTGGACGTTACTGATCGAGATCGAGAGAATGGATCTGCAACTCTTCGGGACGAAGATGCGTTTATTTATCCCATATATGAGCAACGCCCCAGAGCCTGTAGGTCTGGCAGCAAGAACGCTGTCGTTCATGCTTGGTCACATTAACCACTATCCTGGCATGTGATTCTGTATTTCGTTCGTTCGAAAGCAAGAGTCAATAATACAAAAATACATCGGAGGAAAAGAAACTACTCAAACACTCATCCGCAAGGCATTCATGACCTGCTGGACCCTAGAGTACTCCGCCCGCAACGAGACGTTCTCCGCCTCGAGTGCCTTGATCGCATTCTCCTCTTCGTCCGCACTAGCCTCGAGTCCCCGCACTCGGGCCTGCATCCCGGCGAGCCACGCCTCCCGCTCACTGGCGCTCCCGTCGAGCGCCGCGATGCGCGCGTCCAGCTCGGCGTTGCGGGCCTGGAGCGTCTTGAGCTCCGCCTGCAGCGCATCTCCGCGCGTCTTCTCCTCGGCAGCCAAGCCGGAGACGACGTGCACCTTGTCCGCGAGCAAGGCGAGCTCGCGGCGCAGCGCATCGGCGCCGAGAAGCGAGCGGGAGAGCTGCGAGAGCGCGAGGTGGTTCTGGGCGCTGTCGGCGACGGCTACGACGGCGTCCGAGAGCATGCAGGTGACTTTGGCTTCCGCGACAGAGAGCGCGGTGGGGCGGGGCGTGGGGGTGGTGGTGGGCAGTGTGGGGATGGAGAGCGAGAGGGACAGGATCTCGTCAGAGTCGGATAGCTCGTCTTCTTCCTCCTCATCGTCGTCGTCGTCCTCCTGCTCTGACGCACGACCGTCTTCGTCTTCGGTGCCAGCCGAGTCAGCCTGCTGCTGATGCTTCCTTGCTGACATCGAGCCTGACGCATGGGCATCGAAAAAGTCCGCGACGTGTGCCGGCGCCGTAGACCATGTGAGTCCAGCGGAGATAGAACCGTTTGCCTCGCCCTCGTCGAGATCTTGACCCTCGTCGTCCTGATCTACCCACAGGTCCTGATTCAACTCCCCGCCGAGCGAATCATCTCCTCCCTCCGTCCCCGCCTCCGTGTCGCCCTCCCCTCTCAGAGCAATCTCCAGCCCAGCCAACCTTCGACTGCTCCTTGATCCGGCCAAGTTCACGCGTGCCTTCTTCGCATTCTTTTCGTTTGGGATAGACACGCCCTCTGAGGCTTTACGTTTTTTCGTCGATGTAGACGTCGATGCCAACATTGATCAAGAAGGGTGGCTTTCACTTGCGGAGACACTTTACGGACAGAAAAGTATGCCCTCGCGAGGACTGCGGGGAGAGGGCCGAGCACTTGACTCCGGTTGAGTGGCAAGACTAGGGAGTGCGCTCGGAGTTGATTGACAGGTGGCTATGCTGCTCTGTGTTGCCAGATCATCATCAGCTTCAATGCTACAGCTCTTTCACTGCGGACGTCGCACGACACAGAACGTTTGCTACAACCCGCTACTCTATCGATCACTGGAAAGCGATGAGACAGTCAGAAACCCTTATTCGGGAGCCTCTTCGATGTCGAGAACAACCCTGCACTTGGAAACCCAAGCTGATTCTAGGACAATTACTTCAAGAATCTTTTGAATGGCCGTGCACAATTCATGGATCCAAGTGTGTCTTTTGATGCGTCGTCGACATAAAGAGGGCCACGATTCCTGTCCTCCATTGTCCGGGCTCTTCTTTACGCCTCTCTGAGATCAATTTCGCCGACTTTTAGAGAGCCCTCCGCCTTGCCACTGTGTTCCAGAACACTCTCCCCTTCCACAACCATGAGCTCTCTCTTCATAACGAATCGTGGCCTCACATATCATGCTGGCTCTGCCCAAGCGAAGATACCCTGCGAAATTTGGTCAATGATTTTCGTGCGCTGCCTGCCACTTCAGCCCCCACTCGCACCCGGACCGAGGATGGGACCTCGGCGACGTCTAGCGCCTCTCTCTCTCACTGCTGTCTGCCGACAGTGGAGACTCGTAGCGCTGGACACGTCCCAGCTTTGGCGTTATCTGCACATCAATCTGTGCTCGACACCCATGCACTGGGACGACCGCACATTGATGGAATTCGCCGTTGTATGGTTTGCACGTTCGGGTAGTCATCGCCCTCTTGTCTTCAGCGTGAACAGGGTGGGAAGGCGCGACCTGTTGGGCTCATACGCGGTGCCGGTGGTGCTCCTCTACTTTTCGTCGAGACTGCAGCACATCCATCTTTTCTCTGACCGGCCCTGGATCTTGTATCCTATATCCGCGAAACCAGACGCGTTCCCCGTGCTAGAATCAACCGCGTTCTCGTCTGTTCCCATGCCATCAATCAACTCAGTCGCTGCTCCCCGTCTGAGGACGATGTTCATTGATCGTATCCTCCAACTCGACTTGGCCGGGTGGCCAGCACTCACCTACCTCAACTGTGGCATGGCAAACATCCATCACCTCCGGCTTGTATTCAAGAATGTACCCACTCTCGAGAGATTCTCAGTGGGGATTTTGGCCTCGAACATGTGGCTCCCGGTCCCCGGGACTGTTCTCGTGCATCACAATAGGCTGCAGCAGCTGATACTACGCTCCCGTAGCAGTGTCTTCCCACTGTCCTATTTTCGCTTTCCGAAATTGCGTGTGCTGGCGATCAAAGATGACTTGAACTATGAGCGCGAGCTCTTCGGGGGTTTCGTTCAGGCAGCAATGCCAGCTTTGCGCAGTCTCTACCTCGATTTTCCAGCAGGATACACGGCCTTCTTACTGCTGCAGAAGTTGCCGTTCCTCGTGGAGTTGCATGTGTCGAATCCCGACGTTCTGTTCACGCTAAACTTTTTCCTCGAGTTGAACGGACGCAACCTGTTTCTTGGGCATCTTCTCCCTCGTCTCGAACAGCTCACCTTCCGGGATTGCACGGTGCAGCTCTGCTCGACATGGTTCAGGGCGTTGGCGAATCGCTCTCGTGATACCGCCAAGACGGCCAGGCTGCGCTGTTTCCGGTTCTTTTGGCCTCATGTGTGGATCGATAACAGGCTGGACGATAGGACACTCGACTCCGTGACTGCTTTGGGCCGGCAGGGAATGAAAATCTTCGTTGGGGCCGTACGTGAAAATCCTGACTGTGCCTTTTTCTATCGTTCTGAGCCTCTCGTGTAGCCAGCTCACCATGTCCCGTGGGAGTGAAACCGCCGACGTTTGCTTGGCAGAAAATCAAACCATGTTCGTAGCACAGTACATACTCACAATTCACGATACCTCAAACTACGTTGTACTTCGCTCTAAGGGACACATGTTGAGGAAGCCCGACTTGTTGTACGGCGCAACTTTCTCGTTGATCAGCCGTGTCTGGTCGAAGGACAGTCTCTGGGACAATGGCACAGTGAGATCCGATTCACGTTTGTAATCTCGGCTGGCGTCATTTTGCATGAGCTGGAATGAGTCGTTCGTGAAATTCCATGCGATACACCTTCGGATATACCATTGGGCGCTCTCACGTGGATTAGGCGAATAGAGGAGGACTGTGAGACCTGGACTGTCAACTTCTCCCTTGCGGGTATGGTCGCTAGACAGGCGGTAACATAGCGATGAGACAGTAGTCCGACGGGAGTCCGGATTGAGATGCCACAAGCAAGGGCTGCGAGAGCGTATACATACTACAGCAAAGAAAGACAGTCTAGTCGGACACGTGTCGACTTAACATTGCTACTGGATTGAAGCCGCAAACCAAATTATGTATGCGCACACCCTAGCAAAGTGAAGCTCTCCAGTGGACGTGGAAGACACGCCTGTTCATCATCATCATACTTTTGAAATGGACGATAGCGAGAATATCTACGAGTAAAAACTGCAGATCATTTTCTCCCGTAGCTTCGAGTCTTTCTATCGGTGGGTTCCGGGACCGCCCTCGCCCTCGCTTTCTTTGCCCGACTGGGATCGTCCTCAGGACCATCGGTCACCTGCACCTCCTCCTCTCTGCGCTTGCGTTTGTGAGAACTGTCCGCACGCGACGCGTTCAGGTCAGCACCACCATGTCGTACTGCCGATTCCCGCGCCTCAACGCCATCCGGGGACTGCATCTGACCTGATTGCTGTCGTTGCTGCTGCTGCTGCATGTCTGACTGTCGAGCGGAGGAGCGAAATTCATCGGCATTCGGGGGAGGAGGAGCGATGTAACGTTTGGCCTTGTCCGTTGTGTGCCACACGAGGGTCTGGTCGGCGAAGATATCTGAGAACATCCGCAAGATGGTATTAGAGTCCATGAGCACGGACTCAGCCTGGATTTCTCCGAGGCGTTTGCGTCGTTCCGAGATTTTGATAGGATTCTGGGCAACGACTTTGCCGTGGAAAGTGTCCAGTATTCTGAAGAGTCCGTCGGAATCGGTGTCGTATTTCGGGCCTGGTGTCACAGGGTTTCGTAGATAACCGGATTTTCCGCTGCCAGTCTTTCTGTCTCCGAAGATGTCCTGGACAGCCGAAGGGGTGTGGTGTTCTGTATGACGAAAGACCATCCACACCAAAAGCCAGAAAAATGACTCTAGATCGTGGTGTAGCGCATGACGAAAGGCCGCAACGTCGGCAGGTCGGACACCAGCGACCACCAGATTGAGTTTACCGTTGTAGTCGAGAATATCGAGTGCCATGAAGGGCCATGTGCCCTGCACAGAGGCTGGTCAGGACGAGTGCATAAAATGAAGGGGGAACATACAGTGAGGTCTTTCAGGCTTTTACTAACATCGATCAAGTCTTTGACATGGTAGCGCTCGGGCCACAGAGCTTTGAATCTCTCGGCTCCGGCCTCCGTGAACTCTGCATAATCCCAGTCGAGAAGAAAAGCACGAGCTTTCGCTTTGCAGTCCCGTTGCTCAACGAACATCACATTGCCGTCACTTACGTCTCGGTGACTCACACCAGCTTGATGCGCGAAGCACAAGTCTGATGACAGGTCAGGACCATTACCATCACGGTGGGCAGCTAATCGAAACAAAATAGCTCACGTTGGGTACCGTCGTATGCTGCATTCGCCAAATCCATCGTGCATTTGAACTCTTCCAGCGGTGTGCCGATTGGGGTGATGAGAGTACGAGTGTGAAAACGATGGTGGGCAGCAGTCGTTGAAGAGTTGGTCTGATGTCCATATGCACGCCAGGGCACATCCTCGTCCGGTTTGAGCTCGTCGGGAACAGTCTCCAGTGACATATCGATGCTCCCGGTGCATCGCGCGAGATGCTCGATGTCAATTCCCGCCTGTTTCGAGAAAGCTTTCCCCTCGTCAGATGTAGCGAAGTACCAGATGGAATCGTAGTAATCCAGCTCCGGTCGTCGACAACGCTGACGCCAAGAGTCCTTTAGAGCGTAGAATTTGACCAATATGTTGGAATCTTGTGCAGCTCTGACTAAATCGTCGTGGAGGATGACCCGCCGCACTTTCGTCGCCCGTCCGAACAAGCTATGCGAGTGCCACAAGGTTTCCCCAATTGTATATGCCTTGGTTGGTACAAGCCTACGATGTGGCTTCGCTTTGGGGTTGAGCTCGTTGATGTCATCGAAGACAGCAACATCGATCGCTTCACTCGAAGACACCAATCGGGAAACAGGGCCAAGTGACGCAATGTAAGGATCGTCCTGGCGATCGTTCAGGACTTTCGTCAGAAGCTGCTTCGCATCGCTCGGAGCCGCCGTGATCGTTTCGTCGTCGCCTAGCATACGTCCGATTCGCCCAGTGTCGTAGACACATTGAAGAAATGTCGCCAGATACTGCGGCTGTTCCTGCCAGTTGAACGGATGGGTGACATGCCAACCCTCGACGTCGAAGCGGTAGATGCGTGCGTTCGTTTTCATAAGAGCGATCACGAAGACGAATAGTTTGTTGGTGGTCATCATGATATGTCGAGCGTCTTTCGCGAGCTGTACCAAGGCCTTCTCCGGCTCGTTGGCTTTGGATGGTTTGTTTTGTTTGTCGATACCATCGATGGAAGTCTTCAGCTGGATAGTCACGCCGGTCGTTGCCCAATCTCCGGCTTTGGTTAGTCCAGGTAGGCTCAATGCAACGTCTGGGCAAGTGCCGTGGTGGTCGACATCGGGGGATACAAACATGGTCGAGTGGCAGTCAGAGGCTTTGGGTCTGTTCGAGCGGGGTATAGTCCCGACGAGCTTGTTCAAATATTGACACTGACGGACAATGTATCAGCGTCAGTATGTCATAAGAATGCAGGCGAACGCACGACAGGCTTGACCATGTTATTCTCAGTGGTGGTCGATTGGATCTTGCTTTTCACCTCTTCGAGAGCTGTTTCAGAGTGAGCCAGCATTTCTCGAACACTTTTCTCTCTGGCTTTGGTGTAGCCCACGAATCGGTTCAGGAAGTCTTCTGGAGGAAGAGAGTGATGGAAATGATCGTGCACCAGGGTCTTCCAATACGACATAGGAAGGGCGGCGTTCTGCTTCTTCATGTCCTTCGTAAAGTTGGCGTATTTGTTATCGGCTGGGGGAGAGACTTTATTCGGGCTACGGCCGATTGAGAGTTCATGCAAGGCTGTGGGGGGAAGAGTGGTAGCTGAAGAAGACATGTTGGTATTAGGGCAATACGTGTTCCATAGCCTAGGCCTGACTCACGGTATTTCTACCCTCATCTAGCTGAAAGCGGACGACAATGGAGAATGAAGCAACAACACTCGTCACGCACTGTGACTTGACGCGCCATGTTGTCCCGATTTGGGCAAATGACCGTGCCGACTATTCATCAACACTTGATCGCTCCGGCTGAGTCTTGACGAAGAATACCGGGTACTAACATCAGTGTGCCATATATTCCAAGAGGTCATGGGATTAATGCGGTATGTATGAGGAAGACGAAATCCTCCCACTACGAAGGCAAATGCATGAAAGAATAAGAGCCTGTTCGGATGGCACGAAGGCAAATGTACTTTGCCTTTAGATTTCCTTTTATAGTAGTCCCATCAAAGTGAACGCGCGGCGTAACATCGTGACTGATAGTGACCTTTTTGTGACAAATGCGTCTACTGTCGCTCTTCCGCTGCTGATAACACCGCACATGCCCCGAGTGTCTGCCCACTCCGGCGGAAATGACAATAGTGCACCTGCCGGCAAGCCGCCGATGGCCCAGTAGACTGATGCCAACATTTGAGCACAGCCGCAGTGCTGACTATGTACCAGTACTGCACTGCAATCAACAGCAGACATTGCTGTTGCGTGAGCTGGGTCATGACCACACAAAGAGGAGGATGTGGATACGCGTCGTAGAAGGAGATGAGATTGATTAGTCCATATAAGGCAGTCACGCTCGGGACAACTTCAAATTTGATGGGACTACTATAAAAGGAAATCTAAAGGCAAAATACATTTGCCTTCGTGCCATCCGAATGGGCTCTCACGTGATGATGATCAACCGCGCAAATGACATCCAGAAAAGACTCTTCTGATTCTGAGCCAGTTGTACAACAGTTGTATACTATTTGCTACTTGAGGCCTGTGATAAGGACCCCAAGGCTTGTTCGTCTCTCTGAACACTGCACACAAACTGTTCAAAGTACATACGATAAATCTATACTTAAGATCTGTGCCAGAGACGTCGCGCCATCAATTGGAGTAGAGAATCTGCTGTAAAAGATAATCTCTGACTCTGGGAGATACCAGATCCTCCCAACTGTCATTATCTCCTCTTCCGAGAGCGGTACGAACCGCTGTAGAGCTGTATGTCTGCTCTGCCACCCCGATATCAATGAACGCAATCCGATCGGACTTCAAGTACTTTTCAGCCAATCGTAGGGTTGACTCCTCCGCATCCGACGTGGGAGACCGTCGCGCACAAGCGACTCGTGCGTTCCCGACGCCAGGCGAGAAAAACTCGTCCAGCGCGGCAAACATCTTCGCTTCCGCCTCCGTGCCATCAGACGACGACGAGTAGTATCGTGGCGCTACAAGACGCTCCAGCGTGTCGAAGCCCAGGATGAAGGTGAGCTCAGGTCGGATGAGGTTGTTGGCGCCGAGCGCAGACAGCCGGCGTTTCAGGAACGTCTGCAACTTGGTGGCTTTCCCGACAAACGTAGGCTCATCGACGATTGCTACAGCCACGTTGTCTTCATCTCCAGCGTCCTGCGCCAAGAGCCGCATCATCTCGAGCCGTTGCAGGTAGGTCGCGTCCGTCGACTTGAGGGTCTTGTCGGCATTCTTGATGGAGAGCAGATAGATCTTGGCATCATATCCACTAGATTCGACAAACGGGCGCGGCGCATTCGCTAACGCCATGTGTGCTCGCGTCGGGGGATTGAACGACGAGTCCATGATCGAGATTCGCAGAGCTCTGGGAGTCCGGGAAATTTCGCTCTCAGAACGCCCCAGCGGCCATCGCTCGTATGGGACATGGACTAACTCGAACTGAGATAGGCCTCGTTGTACAGTGTTGATAAGATTAATCGTGGAAGCTGTCCGTGCCATGGCGGGGATGGATAGTATGTGGCGGCGAGGCCGGGCCGGGACCACGACAGATGTCAATCAGATCCATCAATCCCGAAAAAACTTGCTCTCGACCCCCGACATGAGCAGCCTCATCTCGGCTGTCTCATGGGTCAAACGTGGTGCCGCGATTAGGCACCCGGAAAAATATGTCCTCGATGACAATGAGCTCCAGCGCGTAAGCCAACTCGCGCGGATCGAGATCGAGGATGCGAGAGTAGAGATGGAACGAGCCCACGAGGCTGCAAAGGCGATGGGGATGGGTGCAGAGGGCGAGGAGGCGGATGACGCAGGGGATAACGACGACGAGGCGAATTGGGTCGAGTACGCTGGGCCCCTGCTGTCAATGAAGCCTTTCCGCTCAATCACGAAGTTTACAGTGAGGACGACGATGCGATGGACGTAGACTCGGAGTCGAAGCCCAAGCCCGGTAATCTCGAAGATCTATCCGAGTATAATATGGACGATTATGACAACGACGCCAAGACGATATGTGCGCGACTTCAGTGTGCTTCATATGTTGCGACTGACACACTAAAAGCTACTGGTCCATTCAGTAACATCAAAGGACTGACATACTACCAAAACGACGAAGACGATCCATACGTCACATTGAAGGAGGTACGCCATCTCAGTCGCGTCTTTTGCCTTCTCTTATCCTTACTATGTAGGATGATACCGAGGAAGAGCGTGAACAACTCGAAGTACTCCCCACCGACAACCTTCTCGTCGCCGCAAAAACCGAGGACGAGATCTCTCAACTTGAAATCTACGTGTACGACGAGTCCGAGGAGAATCTCTACGTGCACCACGATCTCATGCTACCCAACTTCCCCCTTTGCCTCGAATGGCTTGACTTCCCCCCGACAACGAGCCACGCCACCTCAACATCCGCCCCCACAAGTAATGGCTTCGGAAACTTCATCGCTGTCGGAACGCTAGATCCTGAGATCGAGATCTGGTCACTGGACGTGCTGGAAGCGATGTATCCGACATCTATTCTCGGACGGCCAGACGAGACAAAAGCACACGTGCCGACACCTCTTGGAACCGGCAAAAAGAAGCGCAAAAAGACCAAGCATCGCACAGCAGTGGACGCACACCACGTCGACGCTGTGCTCGCGCTGAGCTGGAACAAAACCCAGCGCAATCTGCTGGCGAGTGGCAGTGCAGACCGCACCGTGAAGCTATGGGATCTGACGCGGGATCCAAGTGCTGGAGAGGGTGCGATCCGGAGCTTTGATCTGCATAAGGACAAGGTGCAGGCTGTAAGATGGAACGAGCGCGATCCCAGTGTGCTGTTGACGGGCAGCTACGATCGGACTGTGCGGACTTTCGATACGAGGGCACCGGATGGAGGTGTTGGTGCTGTAGTTGGGAGCGACGTGGAAGCTTTGCGCTGGGATCCCTGGGAAGAGTACGGCTTCTACGTGAGTGCTCGTGTTTTCGTTTCATTTTCGGATGCTAATGTGTCTTTAGGTCTCCCTAGAAAATGGTTTGGTGCTCAACTTTGATATCCGAACACTGCCTACGAATCTCAACGATCCGTCGCCGGCCAAGTTCACCCTCTCAGCACATGATGGAGCAACGTCTGCACTGGATATCAACCCCCACATCCGGGGCTGTATTGTAACCGGGGGCAATGACAAGCTAGTGAAGGTATGGAACATCGCTGGCGACGATGCATCGCGAAGTGTTAGTCTCGTCACTTCGCGAGATCTCGGTGTTGTGAGTTATTCTACACGTTCTCGCGCTTTCCTTTGCTCACTATTCATAGGGCAAGGTCTTCTCGGCTGTGTGGTCTCCCGACGATCCGCTTACTCTGGCCGCCGGAGGCTCACATGCCAAGCTACAAATCTGGGACGTGGCGGCCAACGCGGGTGCCCGAAAAGCGTTTGGACCCAAATTGAAGGAAGCTGGTCGCGTTTTGAAGGAGAGGCAGGCCGATGGCGACCATGGTGGACTGGTTGGACTTGTTGATGATGACGAGGAAAGCGAGGAGGAGGAGTGAATGTAGCCATCGGTTTAGATGAATGCTCTGGCGAATGTAACACGCTTTGCCCCTGACTGTCGCGTGGGCGTATACGGCACTGCCACTGGATACTGTGCATGCACTTCCGGTCGATCCGTGATCTTGATCATGAAGCTTTTTGAGTTGCCCGCTCTGAACCCTTACCATTGATTGCCTTGCAGCTCTTTGCAGCTTCCACCCAATAAACTGTTCTGACGTGCATCTCTGTTGCATCTATCCAACCTCCCGTCGTGACGGCTCGCATGTCCATGATGTTCCATTCAATCAAGTCAGCCGACCTTCGTCACAAGCAAGCTACCCACGCCGGCAACACGGATATTCTATCAGGGGCCCGACAAATAAAAGCAGAATCATATGCTACACGCACATAGATCCTCCATCTTCCTCTTCTCCGCATGGAGACACTCGTGGTCAGACTGCGCACACTCTTCGCTGCGTACCCCCGGCTGCTGTGGAGCGCCAGCGCAGTCGCGGCGTGCGCTGTGCTCGTGCGCCTGCTGTCGAAATCCCAGCGGCGGGGAAAGTACATTTTGCGTCTCGGGCTAGTGGGATCGGCGGCGCCGGGCAAGTTGTGGGAGACGTGCGCGTACGATGTCATCATTGTCGGAGGAGGTATGCCGGTCGTCGGTGGCTTCGAGTTCTTGGTCTGATGCGCTCAGGTACCTCGGGTTGTGTGCTTGCTGCGCGGCTGAGCGAGGATCCGTCTATTCGCGTGCTGTTGTTGGAGGCGGGAGGGAGGTTTGTTACTTGACCGGCCGACCATCCTTTGGCGCATTCTGAACTCTGCACAGCGGCAGCGCTCTCATGTTCTCTCGCATCCCGTCTGGATTCGGCAGGCTGTTTTTGTCGAAACACACGTATGGGATCAAGACGGAACCGCAAGTCTTTGCCAAGTCGCAGCGACGCGTCTTTCCCAGAGGTGAGCACTTCCTCTCTCCGCCTTGATGTACGTCCATCATTACATGAATCCCGTAGCGAAGCTTCTGGGAGGCTGCAGCAGCATCAACGCCCAGATGGCTCAGTACGGTGCTCCGGGCGACTTTGACGAGTGGAGTGCCTTGATGAAGGACGAATCGTGGTCCTGGAGGAACTTGCAACAGTACTTCCAGAAGTTCGAAAAGTACCTCCCAGATGCAGCGTTCCCCGACGTGGAAACGGCAGAACGCGGTTCGAGTGGACCTATGCGAGTCGGCTATTTCAATACAGTCTCTGCCCACTCGAAGGCATTCTTGAAGGCGTGCGAGCAGGTTGGGATACCGAACATTCCGGATTTCAACACGTCAAAAGGTCCTGTTGGTGCCAGTCGCGTGAGTGACCCTTGTACAACCAGATCCGTTTTACAGGCTAATCAACTCGGCAGCTGAGTGAGTTTGTCGGCAAGGGCGCAGTGTGGGATGAAACTGACTAGTGCCCCAGTGACATACATTGACGAAAAGGGAACGCGAGTGTCCACCGAGTCGGCCTATTTGACCCCGGAAGTTCTCCGCCGACCTAACCTCAAAGTAGCCATTCACGCCACCGTGACCAAGATTATATTCGAGCAAGTTAACGGCAGCCCCCGTGCAGTTGGTGTCGAGTTTGCTTCATCCTCGACTGGACCGCGTTACCGTGCTCGGGCCAGAAAAGAGGTTGTCCTCTCTGGTGGTGCGATTCATTCACCTCATGTCAGTGGTTTGACCAGTTCTCTACATCCGATTGATCGTTTACCAGCTCCTAATGATCTCTGGGATCGGACCCGCAAAACAACTCCAACAGCACGGCATCCCCGTTGTCCTCGATCTGCCAGGTGTCGGTGCGAATCTGATCGATCACCCGGTCGTCGACTTGTACTTCAACGATAAGAAGCAGTCCTCTGTGAGAAGCCTTGTTCCTTCGAGCCCAGGCGACGTCGCGCGATTGCTGCGGTCGTATGTGCAGTACTCTATGTATGGCACCGGGCGACTGGCAACGAATGTGCGTTGGCGTTGTTGTCCGCAGGTCTCTTCTCTTGTTGAATGAGGTTGCTTCTAGTTCGGCGAATCAGCAGCTTTTGTGAGAACAGACGACCCCGTTCTCTTCCCACCGAGCGAATATACGCAAACTCTCGCGGACAGTACCTCTGGAGCAGCAAGTCCAGACCTCGAGCTATTCTGTACCCCACTGGCCTACAAGGTTCCGTGCGTCTTTTTCTCCCTATCCGCTCTTCTGAACGTCTTTGCAGGAGCATGGTGCCATCATGTTTGACATGCACACGTATGCGCTGCACTGTTACCTCGTTCGGTGAGTGAGTTCAATCACCACTCCTTACTTTTCTGATCCCATCTCTTTCCAGACCACAAAGTCGCGGTGCAGTGCTGCTCACCTCGTCTGATCCGTTCGCGATTCCCAGTGTCAACCCCAAGTGCGTCTCATATGATGAATCGACAACACTCAACTGAACCCTGGCTAGCTACCTTGAAAAGGCGGATGACCTCGAAAAGCTTGTGCGTGGATACAAAATCTTGCTCAAGATCGCACACACGACAGCGATGGACCCGTATCTGGACCACGCGGACACCAACCCGGAACTAGACCATTTCCTGCACACGAAATCCGACGACGAGCTCAGGGAAGTCGTCCGGGAGCGGGTCGAGACCGTCTACCACCCGACCAGCACATGCAGAATGGCGCCTGCGGAGATGGGCGGCGTCGTCGATGCTCGATTGAAGGTTTATGGCGTCGCGGGTCTGAGGATCTGCGACGCTTCAATATTCCCAGATATCATCTCTGGCCATACGGTATGTTTCGTTCCTGCGGCCCGTCTGGATAACAATTGACTTTGGCGAAAAAGGCCGGCGCGTGCATCGCTGTGGCTGAGAAGTTCGCTGACGATATGAAGAGGGATCTTGCTGTGGAGGTGTGAAAGCGTTGTAATATTTAAATGTACTAACTTGAGAAACGGGCACCCAAAGTTGACGATGAATTGCGTACAGATTACTGTACATGTTCTCACACCGTTATCATCGCCCGTTTCTTGAGAGAAATTCCGTAGTATCAATGCACGTTCAATCAAAGGACTTCGGCTTGTGTGCGAAACTCTGGCCTAGGAAGATGGAGTCGCTTCCCCCAGCTCAAAAAAGTTGCCAGCAGTCCAAGGACAGAACAAGAAGCCGTTTGCATTACTGCAGGCCCGACGAGAGATATGGATGTCAGAGACACCCAACGTACTTCAGAGCCGCTTGCAGATAGCAGAAGTTCCACAGGCAGGGAACCTGAAGAACAGAGAACATACATATGATGATAAGCATAGACGAAGACACTTGAGGGCATCACACCAGGGTCGTAGACAACTCTATGTGATTCACGACTCAGGGGATCTAGTGTAAGGGGTACCCAACAATCTGCCTGCGTCCGATGATTTCGCCAATCTGTAGCAAGATATCGTAGCCATGAGCGGCGCGGAATTGGTCCATGGAAGTAAGCGCACGCACCTTGTAGATACCGTACGCCTCGGCAGCGTACAAACCCACCCGCGCGATTTCTCCGCTCTGGATGATTCCGCGCCAGTACGTGGGGTCGATGGCGCGCTTGTACAACGTCTCGTACGCGGCACGGACGGTGGCGAGGTCTTTTGGTGGTGTCAGCTCGGCGCGGTACACCTGCTTCACAATTTCGCGGAAGACGGCAAAGTTGTAGGTGAAGGAAGTCCGGGCAGCTGTGCGTGCGATGAGAGGGGGTAGAAGAAGGATGATGTCGGCCGGCCGAGGATGCTCACGTCCGATGAAGTCCGCTGCCTTTTTGCCGGCGGGGCCCAGTCGTTGCAGCGTAGCTATAAAGCACAAAGCACTCAGCTCCCGTAGTCCCACCACCGTAGCACAAGCACACACGTACAAGTAGCGAATGCCTCCGCCTTCGCCGCAGCCGGCCCCAGGGTCTTCATGGCCGAGTCGAGCGCCTGGCTGGCATTTTTCTGAGCGTTCTTGACAGCTTCCTGAGCCTTCTGCTCCGGGGCGGCCTGCGACGAGTTGAGACGGACCCGCTGACGCAGCGCGGGTCGGACCGCCTGGCGCAGCGAGGTGGAAATGAGCGACGACGACATAAGAGTGGTCTAAGAAAGGTTTATGCCAATGATTTTGGATCACCACCTCCGTTTTGGTCCGGGCGCCACGCACTGCCACATCCGGTCCTTTCTTTCGTCTCCGTCTGTCGCCGTTGTCGGGTCTTTGGCTGGATCCTCATATCAATGATCGGTGTGAAGATACACCACGACCAGCTGCAGGACTATTATGCTATGGACATTGTCTTCGTTCCAGTCTCCCTCCCTGCTTCAAGCCTGTCTGTCCAACCAAATTCAAGCGATGTCGTGCACTTCGTCAATAAGCAGTGTTCGCTGGACTGGCCGGAGTACTCCCCTTCTTCAGATCTCTCGGGCATATCAAGGAAGAGCACTGTCCCACCAGCGCGGCTGTACATATTCGCTTTTCGTCCACTCTCCACCATTGTTTTACATCTCTGAGGCTCAGTAACTGCAATCACCCAACCGCCACATCAACGTCCGCAATATATATCCACTTTCACATGGAAATCACGCATTGCCCAGTGCGGAGGCACTGTATACATCTCTCAGTCCACTCAATCGATCTATGCGCCAAGAATGGTCCTTCATAAAGAGCAGGGAGGGTTTGGATTATTCACCCTGAATCCTGCTTGGGTATCCCATGGCTATCGACCAGTCTCCTGGAGAGCTCCTGAGAATGCCACTAAGGCGTAGTCTTTCGGTTGCGCATGCGGGTTCCGTCATCTGAGCCAGTGGATCTTTCGAAACCAGCGATGCTCTCCCTGTTGTTCCATCGCAACCTACTAGCGCCGACAGATAATGGTATCACTCACTTGTATTAATGAGTGCATGTCCAGCAAATGCAATACCTCTTCGGACATTCACGCTCTGAGGAGTCATTTTCGAATGCCTCTGGCCAGATCTGTGACGCTGGTACGACTTTCTGGGCGTGAATACATGACATGATGGTACACTCGGGGCATCTAATCTGCAAACGACAACATAGAAAAAGCAAAAATACGCATACTTATCATAAGATCATCAGTTCATCTTCAACGGCTCAACCCGACGCGGTGAGGGCAACGCTGGGGCCTTACTGCGTTTCGTCGGCGAGCTCAACGCCGGCGTGCTTCGACCACTACTAGATCCAGCCTTGGGCTTGACGAGACCAGCTGGCGGCAGCCCGACGAGACGAGAAACAGGCCACGGCAACTCGTACCCAGCTCTCGCGCAGTGCGCGACATATCGGGCGAGCTCGAGGTGCAGTGTGGGATAGTACGTCGCGGATGCTTTGCGTGAGATCTGCGCAGCGAGATAAATAAGTCTTAGACGACGTGAGAGATAATCAACAAACCAATATGATCCGTTCAAAGCCAGATAAGAACAAATCTTGGTGGAAACGGAAGGCGGAGTGTTCGTGCTCTTTGGGCATGTTCAGCTCTGCGACAGACTTGCTGATAGCGTTGATCAGTCTCAGGTGTGTCGTCTGTTGAATGGTCAAGAAGCAGTGCGAGGACAGCGAAATGTGACCCACAAAGTACCCCATGGCCTCAAACTCGACTCCACCAGTCATCCCACCTGGCGCCCGAGGCTTCTCCACTCTTGCCTCGTCCGTCTCCGAGAGAATCCAGATCGTGTTGCTCGGGTGACAGAATACCCAAAAGTAGTCTCGGCATACATCCGACAACTCCTGCAAATAAGTCTTGTAGATTCGAGGCTGGTGCAACGATTCGATGAACTCGTGAGGCGAAATCGGTGTCGTCGGGCATTCAGCAGGTGGCGGTGCAGGAGTGAGCAAAAGCGCGTGGAAGAGTGAAAAAAGTGTCTTGTGAGGTGTCGGAAGAGTGATCAGACTGCTGGAGGGCAGCACTGTCGAGGGTGTCTCCCAGACTTCGCGTCGCGGAGTACCCCGGCCGCCCATTGCGGGAAGCGATGAGTTTGGATATAGCTCGAAGAGGACGAGCAGGAGATCGACGATGATTTGACGGGTAGACACGTCGCCGGGTTTCTTATCAGAGAACAGTAGCTTCACGAGTTGCGCGAAAGGTGTCGGACATGAGCTCCTCAGTGCAAAGCATCCGATTGCAGATGTGGACAGTGCTTTGAAGCAGCGTAGCAATTCGTGGAGAATTTGATCCCCATGTTGCTCCTCTCTGTGAGCAAATAAGTTCAGTGTGAAGGGTCAACCGACGGGCGATATACCTCCATTCGACCTCGAGAATTTCGTTCAGGCGCGTCAGCAATGCTGAATAACCTCCCAGCGACAAGAACTCTTCCGACCAGCTTTCGAAGTCAATTAGTCGAGACACTTGACAATGCCAACATATAGCACCAACCTTGCCGACTCATTCCTGAGCATAAGCCTGAGCTTCTTCACAACCTCGATATCCAGCTCCGTACTCGACTGGCCCGTCAACACGCTACAAAAGCGCTGCGGAGAAAGATCCTTCGCCTTGGCCGCAGTGCGCGCTGCCGGCGGCCTGCCCGTCAAGTCGACCATGGATGCTGAGATAGGCAGATGCACCTGGCTCCGCGACAGCGACATCGACAGCAGTCGACTCGTATCGAACGATGGCCCTCGTGAGTGAGCACTGGACTTGCGCGACCCCGCGCCGCCGCCTGCGAGGGACGTGGAAGACGCGTTATGCGCGGACTCGGCGAACAGCGCAGGCGCGCGTGGCTGCACGAACTCAAACGAGTCGTCTGCGACTCCAGATTTCACGCGTCGTGGGGAGTCCAGTGTCTCGGTGCTGCGTGTGCGCCGCAGGGCAGAGGCGGAGCGGGGCGTGAGGGGGGCTACGGTAGGGGGTGGCATTGGAAGGCCCATGCTGCTTAGCGATGCAGGGGTGATGGTCTGAGAAGATTTGAGCATCGCAGCTTTGACGTTGGACTCCATGCCGAGAAGTTTTGGTCGCAGGGATGTCGGTATTTGCAGATCTTCCTGGAGCCCGGCTCAGTACGTCGTGATGTGGATGAGATGCATGAGTTCCGGAACGCACCAAGAGTTTGTCGAACGCATCCTCCATGCTCTCTTCAGGCTTGGGAATCGAGATATTATCTTTCTGAGTCGCCGTAGTAGCAGCCCTCTTCCGACTCTGTACAATCCCTTTCCCGCTGGGGGGCGGTCGCACTTGCTTCGCGACATTCACACCGGGCTGATTCTCCTTGTTGGGTGCATTGGCAGGAGCCTCACCAAGAGGTGTGACCATGGTGAAGTCGGAGGACGCGATGCGCTTAGGTAGTATACCTTTGAACATGGAGGAGGGAACGTGGGGAGGTTGTTGTTTTGGTTCCGTTTGCCGGTGGTTCATAGCATCACGTGTCCGCGATGTCAGTAGTGGCACGTGCCTACACATAGGGTGGCAGTGCACCAGTTAGTCATCAAAGCCATCCAGCTAGTGTCAGTGGCTGAAAACAAAGGTTAATTGTAAGTACTTACGACTTGGAAATCGAGTCGAAGCGTAAAAAAAAGAGAAGTAAACATCACTTGGCCATCGTGGGGATCGAACCCAAGACCTTCGCGTTATTAGCACGACGCTCTAACCAGCTGAGCTAGACGGCCATGAATTTCTATCAACAGTCCATGATTGGATTCTCAAAATTGTACGCCGAATCACTATAGAGTCTCTACCTTTCGAGTATGCTCTGAACGAACGCGACCTGATCGAAAACTTTTCTTTCCGTACATAATCGACCGAAGCCTTTACTCGATAAAGTTTCTACCTTGTCTCGGTTACCGACCATCAACAAATGATTTTACGTCCTTTCTCACCTGTGACCATGTCCACTGAACCCAGAAATCATGAAAGCAATAATTTGAAACATCAGGTCTATCATGACTCGCGAGCACACAAATTTGATGCCAACAGTCCTCTGAGAGACAAATACTTTTTGTTCCGACTAGCAAAGCAATATAAGCAATATAATACACATCCTATGCAGTATTACTACACCAGATTATAGCAAAAGGATCTGATCTATGGATGCATCAGTCAATTCCAGATTCAGCCTCAATTCCGAACTCAGCCAAAGCTTGCCGCCCTCGAGCAGCCCAGAAAAAAAGCACTGATCGAGTCATAAACCACTCGGCGGGGTTGGCGTATGGGGTCGCCTTCCTATCTTCTGCCGCTGAGGATAATCCGCCTGCACGAACCCAGGAAGCGACATTCCCCACGTTCCGCGAATGGGACACGATGCCAATGACAGCAAGAAGCGTGGGGTCAAAGGGCTCAGCGGCATCATCGCATGCAGTATGATCTTCGGCCGTTTTTTCTTCTGTGGAGGTTGAAGCTACGACGCTGGCCGCGACTTGGCCGTCCAGCCCACGCTCCACTTCATTCCCCTCCGTGCTGCGTTTGCGCTTCAATGAGGCCTGAGCTGGCGATGAATAAATATTCTCAATGCCGACGGCAGCTCGTTTAAAATCCGCCACACCCGTTTCTGGAGCAGCTGAAGTCCCTTCGGCCTCAAGCAGTAACCGCTTTCTCTCTCTTCTCTTGGCACGCTTGCTCATTCCTGGCACTGGAGCTGTAGAAGCGGTCGCACCCTCAACTATCTCTTCGGGCGGGGATGTGTCGCTTGACCCGCTCTCTTCCTTGTCCGAGCTCTCTGCTTGTTCATGCTTTCGCCGTTTCCGCCATCGATCCTTCTTCAAAGAAATCTCCTCCATGATGGGTATCTCTCCAGAGTCAGCCGCCCCCGTCCCTTTCTCCAGACCGTTCGTCGTAGATCCACTCGATAGATTATCTTCAGGCGTTTCCTCCGGGCTCAGTCCTGCAGCTATCCGATCGCGCCTCCTCGCATCAGGGTCGTATTCAGGAACACAGAGATGATTCCATTGTTGTAAGCGCGCCTTAAGAGGCGAATCGTCGACCAGGAATGTGGTTTCGGGGCCATGCGGGAAGAGCTCGGGCCGCAGTGATGAAGACGATTGAGAAGAAGAGTGATCCGAATCAAACGAAGGCTCAGCGATATGACTGGACGATGAAGAACCCAGAGCAGTCGTGTCCTGGTTAGCTGGAAGACAAGTGGTATCTGTTATCGGAGAAGAAGATATCGAGGGCGATGATGACCGCCTGATTGATTGGGGCTTAGCGAAGAACTCCCAAGGTTTTGCCAGATCTTTCGTCGTCTGTGATTTCTGGTCTACAGGCCAGTGGGAAGAAATCGAATAGAAAGAGGAAGAGAAGGTTTACGAATCTAATTTGAGCGAGGGCTTAAAAGCTGCATATATTCTGTCAACTCACGATACGCGTCCCTGGACAGCCCCAGCGTATCCCGCGCCCACACCGCGCGCAGGATAGACCCCTTCCCATCGCCCTCCGACTCTCCGAACACTTTTACCACCATTTCGCGCACATTGTGCGGCTGGGCGCTACTCCATACCATACAGTCCAGCCACGCCTGCACAGCCGGGTGCGCGAGATAGGCAGCGAGGCAGCGTGCATACGGTCTCAGAAAGATTCGCCGGGGGGAGTACCCACGTGCAGAGCGCAGCAGGAGCGTCCCGTTCAGATCAAATATGAGCAGCTTGCGCTGACCACGAATCGGCGTTGCAGGCTGCGGAGAGCGCGAAATCGCGAGGTATTCTTGAGAAGGAAGAGTGGGAGGCGGAGGTGGTGTCGGTGTCCGCCTGCGTGATCGGTAAGGCCGGTATTGCCGCTCGTCGTGGCTTTCTTCCTGATATCCGTCGTGATTGCGCTCGTCTCTGTCGTTGAAGAGGTGGTCTTGATACTGTCCCTGATCATGGCCGTTATACGAATCGATCCCGTATGGATAAGAGTTCAAGTGTCCGTTGTGAAAGTCAGACGGGTAAGGAAAGAAAAACCCTGCCATGAGGGCGCAGTCCAAGAAAGGAAGTTACATATTAGGGGCTGGTCCGAGCGAGATGAAGTTTCTCAGCTATGTCTTTTTCATGCCTAGACATTATTACGCGTGCTACAGATACCTGCTGGGCTGTATGACACTGAACTCCAGATACACCTCATATATTGTCTAAATAACGATACCCAATTTATGCCAGTTGCCGCCGACGATAGTGGATGGACTTCGGATCTTTTGGCATGAGTATCAAGGTCTACAACGAAATTCAGTCTGGAAAGGGAGGGATCAAACGCAGGCAAAACCCACATGGTAATTAGGACCTGGGACCGGGTTGGGCAAACGAAGCTCAAGGTGGCGAATCAAAGTAGCCAACACCGTGCCAATCTGCAGGTAAGCAAACTAACAAGAAGGTTTAGTAGGAAAGCCGACGACAGGCAACTCAGCAGAAGCAGACAAACCTGCTCGCCGATACACCTGTGCTTTCCGGCTCCGAATGGTTGGTAGGGACTGTCCGTTCCCTTGCTCACAGCACCGAACCCGAAGTCGATCTTCTCTCCACTTTCGTCAGTGTAGGTCTTGAGCGCTTCCATCGCAACGCCGTGCTCATCAGACCACCGAGAGGGCAGCCACTTGTCCGATTCTTTCCAGATGGCAGGGTCGATTTGGGCAACAAGGGGGGACGCAAGAACGTATGTGTCCTTGGGCACAACATAGACACCGTCTTTCGATGGGGCGGCCAGAGTAGGGGGAACGGGTACATCCTCACGCACTTGACGCATGATGCTGTGGATCGGGGGGTGCATGCGAAGAGTCTCACGAATGCAAGAGTCCAATATAGGCAGTTTGCGGAGACCCTCAAACGTCATGGTACGGAACGTTCCATCGCCGTTACCAAAGTTGGCGACTTGCTCCTCATAGAGAGCGTTCCTGACACTAAGTCAGTAACAAGACCAACGAGAAGTAGCACAGAACAACACACGCAGTCTCTGGCTCGGATGCAAGGTGTAGCATGGTCCAGGAAAGCGTTGCGGAACTCGTATGCTGGCCAGCCATAAGCAAAGCGATCATGATGTGCGCGAGCTCGTGATCCCGAATTCGGTCCCCGTTGCGATAGGTCTGGTCCAGCAAGGAGGAGATCATGTCGTAACTCTCGGCCTCCTCCGGATGTTCTCTGCGTTTCTTGATGATGTCAATGTAGAACTCGCTCATCTTCTTGTGCGCGCGATCACGTTTGCGATAACTCTCAAGAGGCAGGTTGGGGAAGAGGAAGTTGATGGGCTGGAATCCGCCGTCGAGGTCCGTGTAAAGCTGAGCGAAAGACTTGTCTAATCCCGCACGAACTTCTGGGCCTTGGAGAGTCCGTGCAGCGGTGAGGATGGTGATTTCGGCCATGGCTTTGATCGCGTCGAATTGGCCCCACTCGTTGATATCGTTCAGTTGGAAGGCGCTGAATACAGCATCCTTGTTGAGGAAGTTCTCCACCTCCTCTTCAATCATTCCAGCGTATGCCCTGAAGTTTTCGGTGGTCAGACCGAACTTGACGAACTTCTTCTGTTGCATGAATCGTTCGTTGGGAATGTCGTAGACGACATCTTTGCCGAAGACGGGCACGGTCAGATGCTGTTCACGGACAAAGAGGTTGAGGAAGGACCAAAATATGAACTAGGCACACGCACCTTGTAAGCCTCCTCAGCATTGAAAGCAATTGACTTTCCTCCCAGCACAAAGTTGCTACCCTTGGCAGACAACGCGACCGTCACCTTGCGACCAAGAAGAATGAAAGTGAAGACATTTCCGTACTGGAAGATAGTAGGATGAGAGCAACGCATTCTGCGGGGCACGTTCGACGCACCGTCTGTTGGCAGCTCTGGAAGAACCCTACGGGGTCGTTTCCATACCAAATAGCGGATCCGATGATAGGAAACCAGTGGAAGACGAGAGGCGGATCCGAAGCCTTCTTGGGAATAATTTTCTGCCATAATACATTGAAGAATATAGCAAGAAGGGGGGAGTTGATGAGCGCGAGGAGCAGCCAGCGAGAACGCGGGGCATCCTGTGCTTGGGCGAGGTACCCGGACCAGGCGTCGGAGATGTAGGCACTCGAGGCGTTAAACGACATGGTGGACGTGTAATAACAGGAGGTTATGGTGGCTGTTATAACGCCTATTCGAATCGAACGATATTTGGTGCTGATCACGAAAAAAACATCCGATGTCGATCACTGAATTCCCAGAACTTTCCCAGACCACGTCCCAAATAGACGCCGGGTCTCAGTTCCACACCCGCCTAGGCATCGGCTCGACTGCTCTCACTTCACGAATGACGGCGTCGTCGCTTGTCGTCCTATCTTCGAGTCGCACAGCATTATTATGTCATCACTGAATGGCGCCGGTGCTCTCAAGGTACGCTCAAGGTGCCGCAAAGCACATGCAGTGTCTCCCAGAGCTGGAAGCGCGAAAACCGCACTCGGACCGGCGAAATCGAGCACGGTGCTCTCGAAGATGATCTCGGCGAAGTGGCGCCCATTGGTCCCGGAGGAACGCATGCTGTGGGATGAGATGCCAAAGCAAAGCAGCGGAAGAGAGAGCACGAGCTGAGATACTCCTACTACGTCTCTTCTGGGCGTAGCGTGCGGCATGATCCAACTCAAGTCGATTCAGGAACGAGGGCGTGTGGGAGGAACCGGCATCAGCGAGGAGACGGGCAGAAACCGCAAGTGCTCGAGTTCGTCGTACTGTCAATGCCTCCAGCCCAGAATCATTCACCACAGCAGCAACAACTGATGTCTCCCACCTCGCTTGTCCCGACGCTTACCCTACAGGACCCCTGTGCGCAATAGGACTTCCAGCCGCAGGTCGTCAATGCACAGTTCTCCGACAGTCTGAGACTCGGAGTGGGTCCTCCGTCTGTGTCATCCCATGGGCTATCCGCTAACATGTTGTGTCTCTCCGTGCAGCCGTCTGGACTTCCAGGCTCGATCTCAGTCACTCCTGCCTTGGAGCCCTTCGCCGGCTACATCGAGCCTTGCAATCCTCCGGCTGCATACTTCGATCCGCTGCCATCATTGTGCGGCGATTACACATCCACCTGAAATTTGTCCTTGCCGTGGGCTACGGAGCCGGTTTTGGCGCTTGCGATTACGACTCGGACAAAGCTCCTAGGGGCACTGCTGGCTGGGAGTTTGCTGCCGATGCTCTCCCAGAAGGAGACGATGGGGCCCCCGTGATGTGCCCTGGGTCGGAATGCGCTGGAATCATCATGAGATGATCGCCTTCTTTCATTCTGCCCTTTGCGCTCTATCTATGGTACCTCTGGATTCTTCATACTTGATCAGTAAGTGAGATATCACTCAGTTTGCACCGGGCCTGAAACCTGTCAGACAACAAAAAAGAGCAAGAGAATTCTATCCGTTTCTTTGATATCGCTATGCCATGTATGCAAGGACGGGTACCGTAAATTCTACTCGTTGGAAGTACAAATCATATATGAGACTTGATGTACTGGTCAGCAAGGGAATATACTGGTCAGGCTGCGTATTTCTTGTGACGTGAAGTGTGCACCAGGTCAGAAGATACCTGTGAGTAGTACAAAGTCATTGGAAAGAGGCTAATCAGGGTGAGGCATAAAAAGGATTGGTTCGAGAGAGAGATGGACAGATTGGGGGGTCATCAATACGCGTGAGGTCACTGCATGTGACCTAGTGATTACGCTTTCCTTCATTTGATTGACGTCCACTGCAGCTCTACTTAGTGAATCCTCAGGCAGAAATAGGGTGAGCGAGAGTGGGATTCTCCTTTTTCTCATACCAACATGCCCTTCACAGCTACTACTTCTCCCCCAGCCAGTGCCGCTCTGCATGAACTTGGGATCGGCCGCAGCCCAAGCAAAATCTCGCCACCCTCTGACAACAAACACGTATACTTAACAAAGGACATGAAGAAACAGAATGCTGCCCTCCCCATGGTCTACTGGAAGGCACACATCCGTGAAAATTTCCAAACGATGCTCTCTGTCAACGAATTCTTTCGAAAGTTCATGGGTTACACCAATAGCATGGACAACGACATCGAGAAGATGGTCAATGAGACCAAAGAAGATTTCAAGGCTACGAAAAACAAGGTCAGACGCTCCAGAAAGGAAAATCCAATGGTCGAGCCCCTTGTGAGTGCAGGTCCTATTGAGCGAGTTGTTTTCATCTCCCTCCAGTGCGATTACTTCAATCAGCTTGTTGCCAACATTCCTGAAGCCAATCGCCCTGTGGCGTCAGATTGCCACTCCGCTAAGTTCATGTCCCCCGACGCAGACCACCACTACACCTGTCCAGACATCGCTATGAGTCTCCCCGGCATCGTCAACGCCCGAGACTGGAAGACGACGGGAACTACTTTTCAACTCAAGATCTCTGTTGATGCAATGGATGAAGGCACACGCAAGCCAGCGACTGCCGATGATCGAGAGAAGGCGTTTGTTCAGCTTGCAAAGGATGCACGGCACATCATGATGACGACCAACAAACTGTTTGTCTTTGTAGTGGCGCTCATGAAACAAAAGTGTTGAATCTACCGCTTTGATGTCCAGGGCTGGCATGTCAGCGAATCGTTCCACCTCAGGTGCATCTGTTACAGATGACACCCCCCCCTCTAAGGCCCTCGGAAGTGGTCAAAATTGGGGCCTAACAGGCCCCGTCATGTCCGGATGGGTCTGCGCTTCTGCGATCAATATAGTGACGTGAGCTTCTAGTACCTTCCTAATCCGGTAGCTTGCCATCAATTTTACTGTTATATTCCTCTCTTCAAAACCTCAATGGCTCCTCGCAAGCGCGCCGCTGCTCAGCTGCCCTTTGGTGTACCTAGCACCAGCCCCATGAAACGGAAGGCTGCTAGGGAGGTGGTTGACATACACCCACATAAGCGCACTCAGGCGGCGCATCTGCAAGCACGGCTTAATGCACTGCTTGCCAGGAAACCACTCCCCTCAATTCCCAGCCCTTCCCAGACACTAGAAGAGGATAATCCCTACTTCTCCGAGCCTCTTGAGCCGCCACAGACACTTCCTGATCATTCTGGGGATCCTAGCCAGCACTCAGAAGATGCATCTGTTCAGCCTTTGGTCTCAAACGGAAATCTTGACGAGCCAATGCCTGCAGTCAATGAGCGTGCTGTACGGGCTGCAGACAATTGGGAAACTCTTTTGCCCAAGTTGGAATCTGTGTTTCTCGATTTTCATCGTGCATACCATGGAGCAGTTCGACCAACAATTGCTTCTTCGCTTGATGCTGTATGCTCGCAATGCATTATTGGCATAAGTTCTGTGTCAATAAGCTGTCTATATCCCACCCGTGAACATTTTCCCGCTCCATAGTGACCAGTGAACCTGACTCTCAACAGATATCAGTCGGGTGCAGATCCGTCTGTGCCGATGCAAATGCCTGCCCGTGCTGCTCTTGGAGAATGGGGTATTTCCGGGAACTCCTGTCAAGCCACGGATAGGAGTTTCTCTCGACGTTTTGGACTCGTACCGAGCCTACTTCGAGCGATCTGCCGATGCAATCACAGCCCTAGCTGCCTCCTTGGCTACAGTATATCGGCGTCGGGGATTTGAGCTGGGATTTGATTCGGTAAGAGCACTCCATAGTACCATTTCTTTTGGCTCTTACTAGAAACATTGCAGACGGCTGTGGAACACATTGATGATCCCTTCCGCAACGTGCTGTCACATGCTGTTCTCTACTCATCTCTGGTTCGTTCGCGGTTGGAGAAGCGACTTGAAGTGTGTCTGAGAGCAACAGAAGATGTCATAGCAGTGGAGGAAAAAGGTTAGTTCAAAGCCCAGTGGATTGATGTTGATACCGACCCATCTGCAGTGGCAGCTGAGAGACGAGCTGAGCTTGAAAATGCTGAGATGCCATTGGCAGCTGAGCTTGATGCAGAATTTGGAGGTGTGGAGTCTGCGCCGTCTGGCGGAGCGGAGCAGGCACCAGCCTTGGATGCTGGCCACGTGTCTGAGGACCCATCTGCATTGACACATTTGACCAAAGGACGTGCCGATCGTGTATTACGAGAACGGTGTCCTGCCTGCTTTGCACTGGAGGAATGGGGAAGATCGCTGAGCGAGTGAGTGCATTTTCTCATGGCCATAAACGTCTCTGAACGTTTGGCAGAGGTGGTGATGTGCAGCTGGGAGGAGATGGGTGTTTCAGCCTACGACATCTTCGCTCCTCTGGAGATGGTCCCATTCCCTTCTCCCCAGCATACTTCCTGAGTGACGCAGAGATGAAAACTACTCGTGCGCGCATCACTGCTGCAAGAGCCAAGCCGCCTCGCAAATTCAAACCTGCCATTCCTCAGGCTGCTCTCGACTCATGTCAGAGTTCATTTGATGCTGCCAACGAGAGCAAGCAGAAGGCTGATCCAAAGCACTTTGATTCAACTGGTGCCTTCGTTCTCACCTGTCGCCACTCACAGGTGTTGTTTCTGGCAAACATGGATACCCCAGGAGAGCAGCAGTGTTATCTGGTTGCTCTTTTGGACAAAGTCGCATCTCTTCTTCCACCAGTGGCAACAATCTTACAGGCCTACGATATTGGATGTCAGATGGATCATTCGTGCCACTTGGTTTGTCTTTACAACAGTCAAGTCTCAATGCTGATGCATCTGTGCAGTACCCACTGCTTTCTCCAACTCTTCGGGAGCGAATCGCATTTGTGATCAACATCATGCATTCGTTTGGACACGAATGGGATTGTCAGCTGGTGTATAGTCCAAGATTCTTTGTCGGAATGGGCCTGTCTGACATGGAAGGTGTTGAACGCTTTTGGTCGCGGGTCCGGAAACTGATCAATTTGACCCGGCAACAATGGGTATGCTCTCTTTTGTGCATACAGGATGATGGTTTCTGACTAGTTCCAAACAGCAATCTCGTCGTATCTGGATGCTAGATGAATACACCGCATTCGTGAATCAGGAGGGCGCTGAGAAGCTCGGGGATTGGTTGGATCGCCAGCAGGCCAATCTTCTCCCCAAGTACCGACAGAGCATCAAGACATTACATGCCTGTCGTGTGTCAGAGAGAGAGCTACGATCTCAGTGGAGGGCACAAAAAGCGGCGCAGAGTAGCCGAAACATCAGTAGGCAAATATACCTCGTCTTTTTTTTTGGCTCTGATGTGTGCATACAGAGGCATCTGCGCGGTTCCGTAAGGATCTGGACAAAGTGATTACTCTCCAGAATCAGATCGTGTCTGTCGAGACCGCCATTCTGGATGTGAAGAAGTCAATTGGAACCTCAGGTGCATCTGTGGAGACGTTGTGTCATCTTGATGAGATGGAGGACACCCACATGGAGCTCAGTGACCGTGCAGATGCACTGTATGCATCGCTTAATCTGCGGCACACATTTCCCCAGCTCTCTGGATTGCCGGCAAACTTTGTCAAGTTGCTGCTTACAATGCATGACTTGAAAGTAAACATCCGGAAGCGTGCAGTTGGGTCATTTTACGAGATGGAGACTTTAGATCGTGCTGTAGGTGGGAAGAAGGAGAGTTTGGGTGCGCAATTTTCTGCGAACCTTCAGCAACCTACTGACTCGCTCCAGGAACAAAGTTTCACCAACAGACTCGAAAGGCAATGGCTAAGCGACATCCAATTCTCTATCGCCTGATTGAGCGTTTCAATTCGCTGTGCGAGAAAGCCGAGGAGGAATTCCCCGCAGGCTGTCATCTACCTGTTCCCCACCCACTACCCACACGATTAGCGTCTCTCCGAAATGACCTAACACTGTACGAGGATGTCTGCGTCACACCATCATCTGGAGCAATTCCGCGTTGGTTGGACGACTCAGATGTTCGGGATGGGATTCAAAACATGCACTCTGTTGATCGATGCACGGAGGAGATGCCACGGCTCAACCGAGAGCGTGCCAACCTCGAGCTGTATCTCCTGGCAGAGACAGCACTCGTATCCAGATGCATCCATGAGGCAGCAGGAGATCCACTGCTTCAGCATCTCCTTCAGCTCCGGGCCACGGATCTCGAAAGGTTGGCTAAACGGTGGCGGAAGTCCTTTGGACAATACACCTTGAGCCCTTTCTCTGGTGGAACAATATTCATGTCTGGGTTCTCAAGTGCAGCTGCATCTGCATCAAAACATAGCACGCAGACCAACATCAGCCGCCCAAATCTCGGTGCTGAAAATCATCGGCCTCTATCAACGCCAGAAATCGTGCCAGTTCCGCAGAGTTCCAGTCATCTTAACAATCCTGCTGATGCCATCATCTCATCTGCACGATCACCTAGCCCTGATCTGGATGCATCTGCTGGGAATATTGATGGGAGTGCAAGTGCTCATCTTCATCTTGCATCAGCGGACATTCCACTGGTTGAAGAAATCCCTGAAGAGAACCTTGATGATGACATCGAGATCCTTGAAATGCAGGATACCCTGCAGAATGTCGATCTTGATGATGACGAGGATACATCTGCATTCGCGCAATCAGATGTCAATGTCGCAATACATTGGGAATGTCCAGTAAGCCCCGCTCTAAATGCATTCCAATGTACTCATCCATGGTTAGGAAATCACATACGAATCAACCATGTTCATAGAGCTCGAGCATCGCAACAACAATCTTAACAAATATCGTGGTGATGTCCCACATGTTGTTGTTCGCGGTCACGAGCTCAAGAAATTGACAATTCTGGCGGAGGATCTGGCCAGGTTTATCAATCCGACTGGCCTTCTCAGTGGGCATGGCATCAATGGTGTAGCCGCCTCAATGCTTGCAATGTTTGGTCAAGAACACAGTCCATACAATGTGCATGCTCGTCGCTGTGCTTTGCTGTCAACTTATGAGCTTCCACGGATCCGTTCGGAAGCACGAGACAAATTCATGTGGGCTGAACTGTCACCACTTTGCTACTGGGAGAAGGATTTCTGGATTCTCCCCATCCATCGCGCCTCCCAGCAGCACTGGGTTGTTGCAGTGGCCTCTATCCCCGATCAGAAGATTTTCTTCTTTGATAGTCTCTCTGGGCGCAGCCGCTTCCGGAAGGAACTCCAGGTCAGTCATTCTTTCACTCGAATTCTGCTCGTACTGATGCATCTGCAGGAGTTTGTTTTGCTCATATCACGCATGACCGCCCTTGCAAACCGGCACGGGAAGCGGTTGAACATTTCAGAAAATGATTGGCACGCATATTCTCTGTTCACACCGGTATGTATTTTGGTCTCAAATCGAAATTCCTCTTGCCGACTCACAAATGTAGGGAAAACCAAAACAAACGAATGGTTACGATTGTGGGGTTTGGATCCTGGCAGTAATGGGTGCATTTATGAGAGGGCATCATCTTCCAGCACTGGCTGAGCCAGATCTTCAGAGGGCCAGGCACATCTTTGCAGAACACATACAGACATTGTCCATGATTTAGAATGTCACCTCTCTGTTTTCATTCAAAGACATTAAGATGAGGGATGAACTTTTATAATCATTGTGAATAGATCTGGGATCATAAAGACGTTGTCAAAGCTCTACAATCCGAAAACGCTCTATTCAAGGAATTTCAATCCATGCAGATGTACGATCGTTCGTGCAACCCAGTGACAATGATGCTTGAGCATGGACAGCTCACGAGGGTGCAAAACGGGATGATAGTGCTCATTCTGTAGCATAAGCTGGGCGGCCTCCCAATCCAGGTGCAGCCGCACAACCTCTGCAGTGAGAGAGCTCAATGCTGCTGTTCTCTGGCGTGTTCTGAAGGCTTGCCGAAGCTTGAGATCTCGTTCACGTTGCTCCCGGAGTCGAACACCATGCAGCACGGCAGAGAGAGATGATGTGTACGAGAGATAATCCATTGACAGACGATCAGAGTCATCGTCGTCTGCTACAAACGGCGGAGCTGACTTCCAGCGTTGAAGGTCAGACTCATCGAGAGCGTCAGGAGAGGCCAGAGCCTGTTGGTACAGATGATGTTCTTGGGGCAGTGGCAGAGCTGCCTCCTCGAGCATGGCAGAGGACGGAGGAGGTGCAGAGGACAAGGATGCGTGTTTCCGGGCACCTTTCCGGCGATGCACAGAGGTTGTACGCTCAGAACGCTGCTGCTTTACACTGCACATCAAAAAAAGTAAGTCTCTTCCAATCGTCCCAGAACAGAGGGAGAGCACACGAGAGTTTCTGGGAATGCTTGAGACTGCTCTGGCGACTAGCAGCTGCCTTTTCCGAGGCTGAGAAATGAAGGGCAGAACGGCCCATTGATCAAGGTGAGAGTTAAAGACAAGCTGCTAATGTGCTTCGTCTAGTCATCTGGGTGTTTTCGAGCACAGCAAATTCAACCGGTACTAGCAACTCTGGGTCTTTCATATGTTATGCGGGCAACCTCCCTGATCTCATCCCGGATATTTTCGAGTGAATATAAGGCTTGTATGAGTTGTATAAATTGATTCTGTAAATGTTGCTCGTTATACGCCAGCCCATTGGCTGCTCGGAAGACGTAATCCGGCGCTTTGACAAAGCGATCAACGAAAATCATTACATCATTGTGCCAGACGGATACATCTGTGTTGAAAAAGTGTTTGGATGCATCTGGTTTTTCTCACATCCAGACTCATCCGCGTCCAGAATGAGCGAACCCGACCCATCTGTACTGGCACTTAGCACTGAATGATCAATTGATCAAGTCACATGCACACCAATTTTCCCCCCAATCCACCCTCTCTCTTCCACTCCTACCACTACAAGCCTGTAACAAGCTCAGAAACAAAGTAGGTTATCATCATGAATGTCTGCTTTCGTTGATCGGTTGTTTAGAATCCACAGCTCAGAAATTCAGATCTTGCCCGGACAAAAAAAGACTTGTCCAACGCGTGTCAATTACGCGTCAAAACGCGTCAAACCACATGTGTGTATTCTCTAAAGCCATCCCGAGGCATCCACTCATTCTCGTAGGAGTGGACTATTGAAAACACCCGAGCCCATGGAGCCTGACTCCATTTTCCCGCAATCTTCCCCCAGCAGCTACTTCGACAACTCATACGATGACATGAACTTTGACGGCATTGTGGGCCTCGATCCAGACTTCCCGGCCTTTGAAATGCCGCAGTTCGATGCAGCGCACACTGAACAGATGCCCATGGTGGAGATGGAGCACGCTGATAGAGAGGAGTTTCAGATCGGGGGTGGGGCTGATCGTGTGCTGCGGCCAGCGATGGCTACTTCGCCAAACAAGTTCAATCGGCAGGTTATGCAGATGCAGAAGCGTCGGGAGGCTCGGGCAGAGCGGGAGGGGTGGAACGCACAGGTCCGTTGTTCATCACATCAATCTGACCACGGATTCTCACGCAAACTCTTTCTTCCCTCTCTCTTAGACAACCGTCACCCCCGCCCAAACCATGCTCACCTCACCCGAACGCGAAGAGACTCCCACTCCTGTTCCCAAAACTCCAGCCCCAGCTGCCAACCCGCTCAACCAGCGCACTCCAGACGTCTGGAAGCATAAAAGGTCGAAAAAAGCGGCCCAAACCGCTCCGCGTTCCGCATCCCCCATCCTTCCTGCCATCACCACTCTCCCCAGCGATTCCGAGGCTCAGGGCGGGGCACAGATGGATCTTGACGACGCTGCTGAGCAGGCAGATGATGTCGCCAGCGATTTGGTCATGGAGGACGAGGAGGAGGCTGAGATTGACAGTGAGGAGGGTGGAGAGGAGGACGAGGACAGGGACGGCGAGGAGGGCGAGGAGGAGGACGGTCAAGAGCAGGAGGACGAGAACGAGGAGAAGAAGAGGGAGAGGCGGAAGGAAAAGGGGAAGGGGAAAGAGAGGCAGGAAGGCTCTGGCAACGAGCTGGAGGTGGACGCCTTCGAGCCCATCAACATCGAGTCCCTTGTCACCGGCGAAAGGCTGACTGCGGAGAAGCAAAAGGCGCTCGACAACGACCTCAGCTGGCTCCTCCAGATGCTGTCCTTCATTGGAAACAAGCATCTTCTGGGCATGGACCAGATCTCCGACCTCCTTGCCAGGAAGCTCAAGCTTCCCTCGCTGCGCCCTGTGAACGACTTCAACACGTTCACGCAGATGTTCTATCTGAACGCCGAAATCCTTGGCAGACCCATCTATCCCGACTTCGACTTCAGCAAGGGCTTGCTGCCTGACGATCCGGAACTCATCAAGAAGTGCTACATGCACTTCATGGCCACTATGGACGATCCCAAGGAGGGACTTGCGACATTTCGACTGCTTCAGGCGGTGACACTGAAGCAGACGAACGGTGAGCGCAACAGGAAGTACGCGGATTGGGTTCGGCGGTTTGTCAAGTTGGTGAGTGGGACAGAGGCATCTGTTCATAATGCATTCTCATTAGTCTTTTCGCAGTTGGAGTATGGGCATAATCTGTTTCGCTTCGAGGGCTTTGCCGTCCTTACCGGCGGCCTCGTGAACGATGGCAAGCTCTCGAACGTGGTGGCAACGCCGGCATTGGAGAAAGACCAGGTGAGTCTGCTACAGCAGGCATCTGTTACATGACGCTGACTACTACAAGTTTGCTTCTCAGCTCCGCCAGCTTGATCAGGCGCAGATCACTGAGCTGGGCATTTGCAGTGCTGCCCGCGCTCTCGCCAGGTGAGTATTCATTGTGTATTCGAGGATAACAAGGCTAACTTCTGTCAGTGTGGCAAACGTCTCTGTCCGCCCTGATCCTCTCGCAGATCCATCTGTTCCAAGACTTCGCCCTCCTCCCCCATTCCCGCCGTCCACCACAGAGGACGATGGAGCCAACCTCTCGTTGCTCCCATCCTACCCTGCCGACAAAGAGCCGGATGTTGGCGCTGGTCCTGTTTCAGGTGTCCCCGATGGCACTGGAGGCATCCCGCTTGTGCTAGCCACTGGGCTCGACTTCCCAGACTACCGGGCGGGATACCGGGTTCTCCCAAACGGCGTCCGGATTCCCGTTCACAAGGGACCAGATCCCATTCGCGACCTTCACGTGCAGCCCATCCAGCCCGACGAGAACGCCGCCAAGGTCGAAAAGGATTTGGCTCGAGCTCCCGCAATCGAGCGCAGACTGGCTTGGCGGATCAATCTGGTCAGCCTCGCCTTCTTCGACCTCCACTTCTCCCTCATGGGATCATCGTCGAAGGTTCGTTGGAAAGAGTTGGCCAGTTTCTGCCTGCGCCTCGGTGCTCGCTGCAGGAACTGGCCAGCTGGGACTCGGACTCCGAACAAGGAGCAGTCATGCAAGATCAGCGGAGGACGGGGAACTGGGCAGATTGAGATGGGCTCAATCGAGGAGTTCGACCAGGTGATGGAGCCGCGGTACAGCTCGGACGTCAACGACCATTGCTTTGGGTTGTTCTTTGAGCGGTGTGAGCTGAAGGCAGGTAAGTCGTGAAGCTGATACATCTGTCCGCACCTTGACTCATTATCTGCAGATGATATTGCTATTGCCTCGATCGACCGCCGCCGCAAGCCTGCTGCAGATGCATCCGAGGAGGAACTGCTTGCCTACGCTACCACCTCACTTGGGGAGTTCGTTCCCTGCGAGCTTGCCAACGGTACCCCCATCCTTGCTGTCCTCGACTTCAACCACTCGAAGGGCCCAATCATGGAGAAAATGCCATTCCACACCAAGGAAAGCGGTGACCCCAATGAAATGTTCCGGCTTGCTGGCTCCGGCGTCGGCTACATCGAGGAGTTGGACTCGAAGGCAGCAAAGAAGAGGACCCGGGCGCAGACGAAGGCAGCAAGGGAGAAGGTGAAGATGGAGAAGGAGAGGGTGAAGAAGGAGAAGGCAGAGGAGAAGGTGAAGAAGGGAAAGAAGTCGACGAAGGCGGTGAGCGGGAAGCGCAAGCGCGTTTCGGACGACGAGGAGGAGTCTGCTGAGTCTGAGGATTCGGAGGAGCTGGACGCCGAGCGACACGCAGATGTTGTACACTCATCTCGTGTTCATCGCTCCCATACCGCTGCTGCAGCTGCCGCTGCCACCACTTCTCCAGCCACTCCCTCCAACAACCTCGAGCCCGCTGCAGATGTCTCTGCTTCCCCACAGCCGCCTGTCCATGAACCAGAGCCGCCCATGGATGCATCTGCGCGACCGAAAAAGAAGCAGCGCTTCATCTCTGCCCCGGTCATCACCTCGGATGCTGAGGAGCGTGCAGAGGAGGAGCTCCCAGAGCCTCCGGTCCCTTCTCCACGGCCAAGACGTGCGTCTGCTGCTGCTGCCAAAGCGAAGCTCAGTACTGGTGCCAAGGCAAAGCCTGCCGCTGCCGCTGCAAACACTTCCCCTCCCCCCGCCAAGCTGGAACGCCCCAAGCCCAAGCCAAAGGTGAAGGCGACCCCAAGGACCAGCAAGTCCTCGAAGCAGCAAGGTGGAGGAGGTCGACCGGTGGTAGAGATCCATCAGCAAGACGGTCCTGAGTCAGAGGACGTTGATGATGTGGATCTGCCTGGGCCTGACAACGCCGAGCCCTTCAACCCCAAGCCGCCGCACCGGACGCCTGCAGAGGAGCGTGCTCAGATCGAGGAGCAGCGTGCTCAGAACGAGCACCTCAAGGTCACGACTGCACGTTTGAAGGCCGAAAGTGCACATCTGCGGAGGGAGTTGCAGATGCCCGATGATGGTGGTGACTACTACCAGACTGTGGCTCGTGCTCCTTCTGGTAGTGAGCGGGTTGGCTCCGTCTTTGATGTCCATCGAGGGGAACACATCGGATCGATCCACCATGGACCCAACCAGGGTCAGTGGCTCACTCCAGCATCACCACAGATGCATCGACATTCCCATCTGCGTCATCAAGACCGTCAACCTGAGGCTGGTCCTTCTCACCTCGCACCTCGACATCTGCCCCAGCCTGAGGCTGGACCCTCCCGACAAGCGTCTCGTCCTCCATCTGAGGCTGGGTCATCGAATTCCAGGTGGAATGCGTCTGCAGATGCATCCTACCGTGACCAATTCGACTACCCCCGCCCCTACGACAGCGACTACGATTCTCGTCGCCCTCAGTACGGTGGATACGATGGATATGGAGGTTATGGGGGATACGGGGGATATGGAGGTTATGATCGTGGGGGGTATGAGCGTGGGGGGTATGATCGGGGGTATGAGCGTGGGTATGAGCGTGGACCTGGTCGGGGATACGATCAGTATGAACGCGGGTATCCTCCTCGTGGATATCCCCTGCCGTCTGGCCCTCCGGGCTATAGGTCTGAGTACAGTCCATCCGAGGACTCCTTCCACCCAGCTCCACCGCAGATGCCTCCGCCGACGAGAGCATCTGCGGCACCGCATCATGCACCGCTGGCAGATGTCAGTCCAGAGGATGCTGATGGCGCCGCTCAGCTCATCAACCTTCTCAAGGGGATGACCCCGGAGCAGCGCAAGAGGCTCGAGGACCAGGGACTGTTCAAGTAGGGTGCATTTCGTTTTGATGTTGTATCTATGGACTGCTGCATGACATTTGTATATACATACCTACATTATCTTGATTCACATCTAGCCTTTACACACATTCTTCGATGTAATAGGTTCCTGTTGCTGCCTTTTCAATGGCTACTGTGTTGCCTTTGATTCTAGGATATGATTCAAAGAGCTGATAGTAAATGCTGGCATACAGATGCCACTGCGTACTGGGTTAGATGCTTGCAACAACATCCTAGACAGAGTGATAGCTTATGTATTGCATGTACATAATATATAATTAATCAAAATTTATCCCTGAAGAGTCCACACAAATCACGGAGATTGTCAAAAACACTATCCTATGGCAATGGGTAGGCAATACAAGCTTATATAATGTATGTACGCAATACAGATTCATTTGCAAATGATGGAGATTGTCAAAAACATTGTCCTATGCTGATAAGTAGGCAAAAAAGCTTATATATTGCATGTACATGACACAGAAACAATTGCAATATATTCCTGAACAGGCCATGCAAATGACGGAGATTGTCAAAAACATTGGCCCGTGCAGATGGGTAGGCAATACAGTGATTGCAATTGATGGCTTGACAGGCCTCTACAATGGCCGGGAGCTGCAGACCCATCTGGGAATAGTGGGGCCTGTTAGGCCCCGATTTTGACCACTTCCGAGGGCCTTAGAGGGGGGGGTGTCATCTGTGACAGATGCACCTGAGGTGAATCGTTCAATTGGGAGGAAGACCCGAAGCACTTGGCTACGTTCTTTCATTGCCTGTACAACACGGGCATAGAGGGCTGTATGCTCGGCGATGACGAAACAATTACCTCGATCCCGACCGACATACACAATCTCTTCGAAACAGTCCTCCAAGCTCGAAACCATGACCCATACATCAGAGCGCTTGGCAGTGCCTCAGCACCCACATCCTCGAGCCAGGCAATTGACGTTGCCGTATTCGATGACATTGATGAGCGAAACCCCAAGGCGAACCCGAATCGGAAGCTCGTTGTGACCAAGGCGTATACAGTCGGGAGTGAGCTCTGGCATTCACACAGCTTGTTTGGTCGTGGGACCAAAGTCCAGCGGGTGATTCTGCACAATGATCTGGTTCTGGCCGCAAAGCATCCCGAGAAACCACTTCGATTCTTTGCTCTCAAGACATCTTGGCGACAACGTTGCCGCCGGCCAGAGCTAGACTTTTACGATCTGATCTGGTACATGGCCACATCGAAGTCGGAAGAGAGCATAGCTCTGAAGAAGAAGCTCCATATCAACCTCGATTACGTTGCTCGGTGTATCGGCAGCATCGACATGTCTCTCGAGACTGTTCCCAACTCGCTCAGACCTGATGGGAACGTGTCATGGGGCACCAACGGACATCGAACAAGCCCATGGGAGACGAAAAAGACAAACTACCAGCGCTTCCACACCCGCACAATTATCACGCCCATTGGCACGCCACTTGAGAACTTCAAGTGCACTCGGGACCTGGTGATGGGAGCATACGATGGTATCAAGCGTGAGTGTTTTCTAACTCTTGTTCCTCGTTTTTCAGTGGTTCAGCTGGCGTTGCAGATCTGACCTTTGCACACGAAGCTGGTGTGAACCATCGAGATGTCAGCGACGGCAACATGATGTTTGCTGAGAGGCTTAGCCCCGAGGAGATTGTCCACGGTCTCCTTCTTGACTGGGATTATGCTGAATTCACAGAGGCTGGGGCAAAGAAGTTTGAGGAGCTGTGGCCTGACCGGTTCCATGCGCCGAACTTGGAGAATGTTCACAAGAGCCTGAAGGATCTCACTGTGTGCCACACGTTATCACTTGTTGCTGATTTCTAACCGCCACGCTGCAGGGCACGTGGCCGTTCATGGCACTGGACATCCTCGACTACAATAGGAAGCTCGATATCATTGCCGCCGGGGGTCTAAAACATACAGACGTCAAGATCTTCCAGCATGCACTGCACCATGATCTGGAATCTTTCTTCTGGCTTCTGGTCTGGATGATCTTCCGACACACTAAACATGATACACCTCATGCTGTCCAAGAGATTTTTGGTGATTCCAGGACAGGCGGTGGCAAATTCAAGTACCTGCAAAGGCCCTCTCCCCTAGGCAGAGCTTATAAGCTTGATAACGACGGTTTGTCGTCTGTCCTGAACACATTTCGGGGGGCAGTCCTGCGACAGAATCCTGCGGCCGTGGAAACCGACACTGCCCCATCACTTCAGTCTGCTCGCCCAGTGGCCGGGGATGAAAGCGATGACGACGGTGACGAAATCCTTCAACAACAAGCAGTCAAGCCTGAAATCATGGAGTCGCGCAACATTCGTGCCATCTTTTCCCGCCATCTGAAGAACGAAAACTTTCTCTGGAACAAGGATGATGAAGCTATAGAGTACAAGCCGCCCCCTACTACTGCTAATCCCGATGGCTTCCGTTCATCTGCACGTCAATCGGATCGGCAGCAGCAACAGCAGCAGGAGCAGCAGCAGCAACATTCTGAGCAGATGCCGCCCCCAGATCAGATCCCGATTCGCCATTCAGCCGCGCTTAATCATGTCCAGGCCGACTCAACCCGGACTGCCAACTCTTTGAAACGCAAGCGTGACGGGGAAGCGGAGTCAGTTGAAGGCGATGATAGGGAAGAGGAAATCTCGGAGAGTAGGCACAAGAAGGCCAAGTTAAGGCAAGTTGTTGGATCTTCTGACAGGGTTCTTCGCTCTCGAAGCTCCAAGCCTTAGCCTGCCCTTGTTTCCAATCCAAGTCGATGCAATGGATGGCATTCTTTGGTTTATGAAAGACCCTCATGCCAAGGTTGAGAAGCCGAGAGTTCGAAATAGCTGTAGTTTTCAAACACATTGTGCCCTGGTAGCTCGAATGAGGTAGATCATCCGGGTGGTCAGAACGTAGCAAAGAGTGGCGGTGTGATAGCTCCCGTGACAGTGCGATTCACTCACCCAGACTCACCCAGTCCACTTTTCGTCAATACTTCCCTGCCAAATGCACACTCGCAATCCCTACGCAACGCCGCCTGATTTCCTCGACTTATCAAAAAGCTGTCCCAGCCTCGAACCATCGTCTGTCTTTCTTGACCACGTCCATCTTTCCGTCACTTCATCGAATCTCCAGTCTGATCAGAATCGGTGACACATGGACAATTGACTTCAAGAATGAGCAGTCGCAGCGGTCCGTGCTCGTTTGGCCTATCCGAGATATCTTCTGATACCTGTTCCTGCAGACGTCTGACCGAGGCCATCCTTCACCGCGACTTCGGGTTGTCGGTGCGCCTACCATTAGACAGACTTTGCCCGCCAGTAAGTAGGTGCCGTCACCGAGCACCAAGAACATATTCATGTCGTGGATAGGTACCTAATAGGTTCGGTGGCTGAAGCCATCCCGCCTTCTTCCGCTGACCACGCGCAGAATAAACTACGTGTTGTGGATCGAAGACGTCATGAACGCCTGTGGGTTCGCGGAGCAGGCGATCTGCGGGATGGATATGTGTGTAACCCATCGATGTGATTGACCGTGGCGATGCTTATGGCCCACAGTGGTACCGGCGCGTCGGCTATATACCCACTTCTCGCGTGTCGGATGAATACGACGTGGTCCTTCGTTGCAACAGGCAGGTCCATCCTCAGCTTTCCGGCAAGCCACTGATCTACTTGAGCTTTCTTGCAGACGTCGACTTGGTTTCGATCGCTTCAGCCCTGTCTAACGTCACTCAAAATGGGCTTGGTTCGCGCATCCAAATCATCCCGACCACACCAACTGCTCGTGTCTACGCATGGCTTCATGACAATCCTGAGGTGTGCGTGAAGTTCACTATGTGCAACCCACCTTTCTATAGCAGCCACGAAGACGTGCTGGCGTCTGCTGTGGCCAAGGAGTTCCAACCTCACGCCGTGAGTCGCAGGCCGGTTATACAGCTTTGAAAGCTGACATCGCGCAGGTTTGCACAGGCGCCGACGTCGAAATGATCACACTTGGGGGCGAGGTCGCATTCGTTCTTCGAATGCTCACTGAGAGTGTCCAGTTGCGGGAACGATGCAGGTCGGTGTACAGATTCCCTGATCGGGTTCGGCTCTTCCTGAAGGTAATAGCTGGTATACCTCGATGCTCGGGAAGATGTCATCTTTGGCGGACATAGTGGCTGTCTTGCGCAGTTTGAATGTGAGTCGATTGGCTCGAAGCGTTGCACGGTTGGCTCACAATGCAGCAGATTGACAACTATGCTATCACCGAGTTTGTGCAGGGCACGACGCGTCGCTGGGCTGTCGCATGGTCCTTTACGGATCAGAGACTGCCGGATGCAAGCACCCGCAATTATGAATGCATCTATCTCAACTCTGATATTTTCGCCAGGCGATCTCGCGGATCCCGAATGCCCAGCTGCAGAATCTGATGCCTGCAAAAAACGTCCTTCGTCAACCGCTCCATCATTCTCCGTCCGCCGACGACCTTTCTGCGATCTTGAGCGCGATAGAGGATATTGAAGTCGAGCGCGAGCCCGGCGACAATGCGTTTTCGGTGCGCGCTACACGGGTCACTTGGTCGCGGACCGCTCGGCGCAAGAAGAAGCAAAACATCATCGTCGACCCGGCGCCAACAATGACACCGATCCTCGTCTGTCGTCTGCGCTTAGAGCGACTCGTTCTGGAATCGCAGTGGGTCAGTGGTAGGAGCAGATTGGTGTTTGAGGGATTCACGAGCCATGTCGGACGGAAATTGGTCAAGGGAGACCAGTCTGAGGGCGCATCTTAGGCATGAATGGATGTTTCGCCTGTATCATCGATGATATTTCGCCACCAGAGACAGAGTCGCCGTCAGACACACCAAACAAGATCTTAATCGTCCCACCAGCTCTGGGGACCGTGCGGTCAATGCTATCAACGTCGAGATAGCTCTTGTTGTTTCGATGGTCCAATCGTACCAAGAGTAAGACAAGAAGTTGGTATTTCCTGACAAGTCTAGAACATTTTAGTGACCGTCTGAACTTGAGTGGAAGGTTCAGCTGCGAGGTGGCAAATGATCTGGTTGGATGTATCGGCTCCGAAAACCTGCCGTTCGGCAGTGTTTGTTAAGACTGCAGCTGTGACTTCAAGTTTTCTATCATCGGGTCCGCCATTTGGTACGGAAAAGACCCCGTAGGATTCTTACGGTACGTCGAACGTTCTCCTCAGAATGCGTGGCTCTCATTTTCGTGTACGATTTGCGTAATAGATGATCAGGCGCGGGAATGTTTCTGGGGGGTCGACCGATGTTCACGTGCACACTTTTGAAATAGCAACATCTCTTCTCCCTGAGGCCTGAGCCTCCATCGGACTGCTGGTGCAAAGTTTACCTGGGGCAAAGAACCGCTATGCCTTGCCTTGCAGTCGCTGCCAGGTCGGACCTTTTTGGACTGTTCAAAACGGCGGTTGTCGGCCTTTGCGTTCCCTGGTTTCATTCGCATACCCCTCTTGGATAGCTTTGGGGAAGCATCTGTTGAAAGAGCGACTTGGACGCGGTATACGAAGCAGGTCACACGCTTGTGACACATGGCAGACATACACCGTGAATCAAGCCTGTTGAGCACAGAGGAGCTCCGTGAGGTTGAGGCAGAGGACGACTGGGATTGTGATTGAATAATTCCAATGCGCTTGGAGTGCCCCTTCCCTCGAATCATGTGGCAGGGAGCAAAGAGGCGATAATGAGAGATGTAATCAGAATCGTGATGATCTATCACATTCTCATCACGAGCGCGTGCCGTCACACCTGTTGTTTTCATGCTCCCAAGCTATCAACAAACCGCCAGGCCAGCACCCCCCAGCCGAACAGCACGCGCCAAAGAGGTGGAAAAAGAGGGATAGAGGTGGAAGGATGGCTCGAAGTGGCGCAGGTATGCCTCTTTCATTCTCTTTTTCTTCATTTGCGGGTGGGTGAGCAATAAGACTCGACCTTGGGACTCCTGCGCAAGCCCACCCGCCCATTCTCCCGGACCATTTGATTTTTTTGTAACGTATATCCCGCTAACATTGTTTTAGAATGGCTTCTGCCTCGTACAACACGAACCGGGCGAGAATTCGGGGCATTTGACCTGACGGTCGGCCCCCCAGTCATCACCGCACCCCTCCACATCACTGTGGAGGATCTGTTAAGTCAACGACTCGCCGAACAAGATGCCTGTGGTCAGGTGGACGAAGATGCGGACGTATCTGACCCGGCGCCGCCAGGGTTCATTGCCACATCTTTTCCCCAGTTTCCGCCACATGTGGCGGCTGTCGCCTTGCCGCCTACAACCGCATCTATTCCTTGCCTACCCGGGCAACCTCCACTAGCCACCACACCTGGCCCGCCTTTGCTCCCGACCGCCACATCATCAACCGCCTCCGCGTCCACTGCCGTGTCACAGACAAGCTCTGTGAAGGAGAAGCAACGGCTTCTTTCCAAACAACGCCGCGCCAGGAAGCGCCTCGGAGAACAGGAAAAGCTGAGCTCAGACCTCAAGGCTGTGCAGCGGAAGCGACGGAGGGAGGCAGAGGCCGCGGTGTTGGGCAGCGCAGTGCCGACTGACGCTCTCCCACACTCAGCCCCTGGCTGGGTTGGCGATCGATTTGCTGAGTTTCAGGAGCCTGAGTCCGTTGATTTCCCTGACCTGAACGACGACATGCCAGGTATGGAGGGTGTTCGTCACAGTCAGGAAGCGGTGGACGCGTTTTCAGGCACCCAGGGCTACCGCTATGTTCGGTGGGATGGCCGGTTCGATCTTTGCTTCAAATCTCTCTTGCCCTGACTAACATTTGTTCACAGAACCGCTATCCCTATCGTTGACCGAAACCGCCGCCTTGCTGTCAACCTTGCAGGGCAACCTCGGGATCCTGCATGGGCCTCAGTGCCTGAGGAGTGTGCGGCAAGCCTTCGAGATAGCCAAGCGACCTTCAATACCAAAGAGCAGAATCATCGGCGGGCTGGGGAGCCATTTGGGGCTCTGTCACATGGGATCTCACATGGTGGAGGACAAAAGGCATGCACGAATCCACTGACACTGCCCTCATGCTCAGCTTTACCCAGCGCCCTGGCATTCTACGTCAAACTAGCAACCGCCAGCGCATACTTCAGTTGCTTGTGGAGGCCGAGTGCTGGCTTCGATTGGTGGGCTTTACGACTGGTCAGCACACCCCATCTACAACTACGCGGCAAGACTCTAAGCACGGTTAGGTGTTTTTGAATCATTTGCACCCAAGTTATTTGCATATTACAAGGGCGAGATGGCAAAGCTTCTTGCCTGGAATCCGTTCCTGCGACTAAACTTCACCAACACTGTTTTTGCCGCTTGTACCTTCAATTTTGGGCCACGAGTTGTGACACGTCGTCATATTGACTTTGGCAACCTGGTGTGGGGCTGGTGTGCCATAACAGCCCTTGGGTGGTTCAATGCTGACTATGGAGGCCACCTCATCCTCTGGGATTTGAAACTCGTGATTCGCTTTCCAGCCGGTGCAACAATCTTCATCCCGTCGGCGCTACTCTTCCACTCCAATACCTCTGTCCAAGCCAGTGAGACTAGGTACTCCTTTGTTCAGTATACTTCTGGCGGAGTTTTTAGGTGGACAAGACAGGACTGCAAGCCCGACGAAGAGTACTGGGCGCAGTTCCCTAAGTGTGACCGAGAGACTTTGAAGAAGCAGCGAGGTGCAGAACGGTGGTCTACTGGCTTGAGTATGTTTGAAGTCATTCCATAGTTGCATGTAAATTCTGAATTCAATTCTTTCTTGGCTATTCGTTCATCTTTGTCACTTGTAAGAGAATGGCTCCAGGTCGCAAACTCGTTCTCTACCGGTGTGCCAGGTCACGAACTGGTTGTGAACTCAGCATACCCCTCTTGGATAGCTTGGAGGAAGCATCGGGGAAACATCACCCATCCTTTTTACCAAGTGTCTCTCTCTGCTGAAGCTTATCCCAAAATCTCTGAAACAGACGACTGGGCTCAGCCTCAGACGAGAGATGAACATCACATATCATGATCAACATATTACGCTCCGTCCGCGACCGTGGGGTCCGTATGGATCACTATAGCGTTGTGGCCTCCATTCAGTACTGCTGCCCGATTTTTGTCCTCTAGAACCCTCGCCTTGATCGATTTTGGCTTGGTAAACCCCGAACCGACCGACGCTCTCATCATAATCCGCGGGACACACGGGACACAGTGGCAGAACAGATCGCGATGCAGGACTCCTGGTTACCGATCTTATTTGAAACATTACACATTGACTTGCTTCCGAGAATACAGCAGTAATGTCCAATCTGAATCGAGCAGATTTTGCATGCGCAGTCTGAGCTCAGATGCGGAGATCACTCACTGACGGGACTGACAGATATGAGCATCGGCTGAAGATCATTCTGTCATAGACCAGCCTCTTTGTCAGAGAATACGGATCGAAACCAAGCCCGCGACACACGGGCCTTGTGAGCAAGCTGACATCCCGCGAAACACCTCACACAGTCAGCCATCGTCTCATCTACCCATCTAGACACTCTCCTGTCATATCTTGCATCAGATCGTCTCTGCTTGGTGATAAACGGTCAAAGTCCAACGTTTTGTGTAGAATAAGTAGCGTGGGGAAGAGATGAGATAAGATGCGTAGCACCGCCACTGCGGCCTGTGACCTAATCAGTTGCCTTTCCTTCGCTTCTCGGCAAGGTCCAGTGAATGCCGCTGGATGAAGTCATCCACCCAGCCTTCTATAATACTATCGGGTCATACACAAGGGTATGTGAGCTAAAATACGCATTAAATCCGGAGTCCAATAGTCGTCTGCCCGTTCGTCATCGGTCCTTGGCGTTCTTCGCTTCCTCCTCACGGATCCGATTCATCTCGTTCCTCATCGCGGTCGAACGCTTCACCACATCGAGTAGACCTTGAACATGGTCGGGCTTCCATCCGTCCGGTAGCCTCTCCTCGCCCAACCACCGCCGCATCCACGGGAGGGGCACACCCTTGCGGCCCTCAACCGTCTGCTCCCACACGCCGAGGATGATCGCCATCTCCCCGCGCGCAATCTCCGCGTGCAGCGGGTCCAGCGGCGGCGAGAGCTTCTCCCGCCGCAGCCGCGTCTGCACGATGTCGTCGCCCGTCACAACGACCGCAGTCTCTGCCATCGTCTCGACCCCGCGCCCGACCTTGATCGCGGCCGACTGCACGACGTGGGTGGCAAAGGCGTTGACGAGCTCCGGATGGACCTTAATCGGAGCATCCTTTTGGTCCGGGGGACAGTCCTCGTGCACGACACTCGCGTCGTGCTCGACTCTCCCGTGCGCCCCGAGTTCGAACAGATTGATACGCACGGGGAGGTACTTCCTGAGGAGCACCCACCCGCCGGTAGTCAGGAAGATGGCTAGCGGGGAGGAGAGTCCATAGCACGCCTTGAGCCCATGGATCATCTGCCACGGACTGATGTTCTTCCCGTCGCGCGGACTGTCGGTGAATGAGTGACCGGGGCGCTTACAACAGAGTAGGATCTGAGAGACTTACATGTATCCGTGGTTTGCCATGGCGTTGATTGCAGGGCAGACGGAACGTATATCCCCCTCCTGAGGCGGGATAAATTCGTATTCCTGGCCCGTTACAGGGCATTTGCCACTGCCAGCATCGACGGGTGGATGGCTGGCCGGGAGAGTTTCGGTTGACGAGGACATATCTGAGGGTCGGATACCTAGATAACCGAACAGCGCCGCTCTTTTTGAAGGGCCGCCTCTTATGCGTGTGAAACCGGACCTGAAGATTGAGCGATGGCAGTCATGGGCGGCCAGGTACTACCGAGCCAATCCTGGTTGACAGATGTACAGGGATGCGGTGCGCTTGGATGGACGGAAGTTTGATTCTGGGCCGCAGATGTTTACTTTTCGCTCATCGGCTGCTTTGTTGTGGACTGCTGAGGAGCCCAGCGCCTTGGATTTCGCATGTGTTTTCTGCAAGCGTGCCATGAGTCCACGCTGTGTCATGGATCCACGCTGCGCATTTCGCTTAGTGTCTCCTTCAATGCGAGGTTTCAAACATTTAGCGCTCGCTCGAATTGAATCTCCGTGCAAGGCGATGTATATTTATGGCTGTGCGCAAGAACACCCAGTCCGCTTATACATACGTGCATCAGGCGCTCGGGGTCTTCTATCCGGTAGACGCCTATGATGATGATCCGGAAGAAACCGGCCGCCACGAGCAAGGGGATGATGTTATGACTAGAACTACAAATTACGATGCAACAGATAGAGATACAGTAGATTAGACATGTGTAGGTCACACGAGAGACAGCCTCAGCCCCGGTCGGACGCCGAGGTCGATCTGCTTGATCTTGACAGCAAAGCGGTCCCCGACCCTCGTTGTTGGCATGCGCCAGGTGCCGATATCCTGCAGTTGCCCAGAGATCCCAAGCCGCGGAATGCGCACATCGACGTCGATTTCGCCCGAGTAATTGTTGTGGATCGGTGGGTTCATCACCACGGCATCGAGCTGTTGAAGAGGATTCGGCCCATCCCGTCTCAACGAAGTCGTCAACATCTGTCGCTTGAGGGCCATCAGAGCCCAGAATCGCTGATGCAGTGATTCACTGCGTCGCTTGAGAATGTCGTCACGACTAATGAAAAGTCGCTGCCCCTCGATCCAGTCAGCCGAGAAAGGGAGCGGTTTTCCGAGCAGGTGGCTTTGCACTTGATAATGCACGAGCAGATCGGTGAAACGACGCAGGGGAGAAGTAGCTCTGGTGTAGCCATCCGTCGCTGGAATGCCCAACGCCCAGTGAGCGCTCGGCTCCAGACTGTAATTGCCGATAGGGAGCTGGCAAAGAGCCATGATAGTAGACGTGTCCACGTAGCCAGCCTCGTCTCGTGCCGCATACAATTTCTCCCAGTTTTCTGGACTGGCAACCATCTTGGCTGAAGCCCTACGTAGAACCGGGATTCCCCGGTCCCTGCACCAGACAGACACACCCCAGCACGCGAGTTTCATCGCTTCTCCGACGATCGCCCGGGCCCCAAAAGCATTCGCGCTAAACTTGTGCACGGAATAATCCAGCTTGGGGAATCCCCGGAACTCGCTGGGCTCAAAGATGGGGCTTGTCATGTCCAACGAAGGAGGCTCCGGCATGTCGACTCTGGATACTTCGGACTCCGTCTCGATCAACCCCATGTTGTACCGCCGCCGCTGCATCCGATCCCGTATCTTGCCGAGGACCCGCAGATCTTGCACACACTTGTCCGGGACCTGGGACATCGCAGGGGCAGGCGGCGGCGCATCAGATAAAGGATACCAACGCTGGGCTACGACGCCGTGGACCGCGAGATCCGCATCGTCGTAGCTCATCTTGATCACATTCCGCACGATGCCGGGTCGCACCAAGACCTCCCGAAGACTGCCTTGCTTGTCGATTCTCGTGCTGATTGTCAGCACCCGATTCTCCTGCCCCCCGACAAGTGAGAATCCGGGCAACGAAGAGTGGACGAGGCTGGTGGGAAGCAGGGGGAACGTGCGATGATTGAAGTACATCGTCTGGAGCTGCAGCGCTGCTCTGCGAGCTAGAATGTGCGTGTGCGGCAGTGTCGACGTGGGGTTTGCGATGTGAGAATGGACCCAGTAGCTGCCGGGTTTGCCGATAACCTCTTCGTACGAGACCCCATCGTCCAGCTCGTGAGCGTTCGCATCGTCCATGACATACACGGCGAGATCTCCGAAGTCATGACGGAAACTCTCCATTGGATCGGTCTTGTAAAGATCTTCCGGGCCAAGCGGACCGCTCGGTGCCGGCGGCAAGCTCATCGAACGCTTGACGATAGCCTCCTTCTCCTGGTAGCTAGGCGAAAGCGCGGGCGGTCGAGGATCAAAGCCTAGTTCACGTCGCAGAGACATCAAGTCCTGCCAGGGAGCATATACCCCCAGATTCACCAGCGTCTCATGAACCAGATCGTCCGTCACCTCGGCCTCTGGATAGAGCAGCCTTAGGATATAACTTTGCGGAAGAGTGTACGGATCCTTTTGGGTACTACGGCGAGTCCGCAGTGAGAGCTGGAGAAACCGCAAAATGTCGACTTCTTCAGATGTCCAGGTGTGCGTCCCGGGAGCCTGAGACGGAGGCTCGGTCCACGACTCTACACTGAGCTTGCGTTGCCGGTCGATCACCGCCAGTGCGCGAGTGGCGAAAGCCTTCAATAAGTCGGATCCTTGTCTTGTCCACCCCGACACGCGCGTTATCAGGGCACATTCTGAGCGCGGACGGAGGATGAAGGTCTTTGTTTGGATATAGCCGAGTTCAGGGACGAAGTGTAACGGGTTCTGCATCATATGACGATGTGCCGCGAATATGGTGACCATTGAGATGGTGGGTGAGAGACCGCCGAAAAGACGTGCCACTTCGGGGGTGGTAGTCTTTCCCCATGCCTCGGGATCGCGTGCGCTCAGAACCTGATACGCTCGCCCTATACCCGTAACATTCATTTTTGAGGCCTCTTTCTCCACAGCGTTAGCCAGCTCCAGAATCTTCTTCAAGACCGTAACACGCGCATTTTGCTGCACCTTGTTCTGTGCCGTGGCTTCGGTAGAGCAGCGGGCTGCGAGGTCGGGGGAAATGAAACCAGGAACAGCAAACATGACATCGTCCTTCAACGCAAAGAGGACCTCTCCTGAGGACGTGAGACCAACGATTCGGCGCTGACCAGCCACCTGAATCTCTTCGAGGACCACACACATCACCATCCCTTCATTTCTGTGCAGCGTGATCAGCGAACACCCTAGAAATATTGCAAACTGAACGCGCCTGCGCAACTCTACAAAAGTCCCAGGCATGAAACTTTCGGACGGTCCTTCGTCACCATCCAATCCTCCGAAGCCGGTTCCCGGTTCGGGAGCTTCAAACGCCCTCTTCTCGAGCGAGCCCACAGATGCGGACCTCAGCACAGGTATCGCTTGGCTCAATTTGCGATTTTCTCTCCCGGGATTTGTGAACACCTTCCAAGACTTGTTTGGAGGCTTCGGAGAAGACCCCAAGTCCACGAATCCCGCCGAAAACTCGGTCAGTTCAGCAAATTCCTCCGGTGAGAGTGACCGTTTGCCGGTCTCGGTCCGGCGGGTCTTTTGGCTGCGGTCATCGAGCAGACGAGAGGACGTGGAGAATGAGTGGTAGAGACCACTTCGGCTTGCCCATATCCTGCGCGTCGCAGAGCGCACGAGGGCAACGCGACAAGGGTGCATGCAAAAGCAGAAGAAGGCTTTTCCTAAAGGAGCTAATTTTGATCGTTTTTCTTCTCCGTCCCGTCGCCAAACCCGAAATGTTCAAACGCGTCGAAAAACGCCGTCGTAGACAGGAGGAGGAGGAGGAACTCGGGATCGACGATGCACTGAAGGATGTGCTTGGGCTGCACGAAACAGATTCGGAGGAGTCGGACTCAGATGAGTCGGATGATTCTGCCTCCGGCTCAGATGAAGTCGAGGAGGACGAACGAAGCGGAGAGGAAGAGGATTACGGTGACGAAGATGATGAAGACGAGGATGAAGAAGACTCCGACGATGACGGGCAGGAAGGCCAGGAAGACTCTGAGGACGAAGAATACCATCCCTCCATGACCATAAAAGATGCTCTCACGTATCCTATATACACGCTTCCCTCAGTCCCGGACGTCGAAGAGTGCATCGTGTGCCCCGGAAGGCAGTTTAAAACGGAAGATATCGTCAAAACACACGTCGAATCTAAGGTACTCATTAACATCCGTCGAACTACACGGGATCTCATTCAATGATGCAATTAGGCACACCAGCGCCGACTCAAACAGTTCAGGGCGTTTGCCGAGTCAACTGGGACCTCAAAAGACTCAGACGCATGGGAACTTGTCAAGCGGAGACAGAAAGAGATACCATCCGCCGTGGTACTCGCGTCCACCACACCGTCGACAACACAGTTGTCCAAACGGAGTCAGAAGCGTGAAAAGGTGAGTAGCAGTCCAGTGACACTGGATCTCGTGTTCTGAAGTTCGAGCAGCAAAGGGCGGATATCGAACTGAAGCGTAAAAAACAGCTCCAGAAGAAAATGAAACAGAAATCCAAGGCCGAAAAGAAAAAGGCCACAACTGTCCCTGCAGTCGAACCGCCTCGCAAGAAGAAGAAAGTCGAGCAGGGCGAAAGAGAGAAGCAGGTCCCTGTTGCTGCAGCTCCTTCTAGCGCATCTAAATCTCGAAAGATGGAACGCACAGCGAAACCAGAGCAGAACGGGCTCAAGCCCGAGCCCAAGCACAAGGAGATGCCTGCCACCCGAAAACGAGAACAGAGAGACGATCAGCCCAAATCGAGAAGCAAGGACCAGAAGCCAGGCAAGAGGTCCAAAGTCGATAGGAGCAATGCGTTGCAGATATTTGATTAGCTTACAAGCACGAACAGTCCCATTGTCCATTATAAATAGCCCATATAAGGTACAGGGTAGAACGAGCCAGAACGGCTGGGATCATGCGAGCGACTGTAGCACTCGGTCAGTCAGTTCGAGTACCTGTATCGTTCGCGTCAATTGTGGTATCGGGTGAGTGCGTCTGCTGTATTCAGACAGACCTTGTGGATGTCCGGACGTTGTCTTGGTTCCGGGTTTAGCATAGTATTAACAAGATCCTTGAATCCCTGGGAGTACACCGAGTTTGCCGGGTGCTTGTATTGTGCGTTGAGGACTGCCATCGCAATGCTACCACCCTGCTCAGTGATCTGCGGGTTTTCGAACGGGGAATGCGAATATGCCATCGCAAAAAGAGTGCAGCCGAGAGACTGCGAAAACATCGGACTTTCATCACTGTTCTTCAGTAGAAGGTGCCTACCCAAATATCGACCTTCTCGTCAAGAGTTGTGTCGTTTTTCACGTCATACAGTTCCGGAGCTCGATATGCCATGGTGCTTTGCTCAGCCGCGATATCCTTTCATTCGGTCAACGAACAGCAAAAGCATCGAACGTTATGCCAACCTGCTGAACGAGCGCTTGGGACCGATTTGTGATCGGTATCCTTGCCTTGATGCAACTTCCAAAGTCCATGACAATCGGGGCGCCTTCGTCCGAAATCATGATGTTCCTTTCGCTCCTTCAGCGCTGCTCCATTCCCTGGATAACTTAACAAACATACCCTGGCTTCAGATCCCTATGAGCATATGGGACGATCTCTGTAGGACCTCCACTCTTCACTTGCGACTGCACTGGACCAAGCTCTTGGTCGCCTTCAAACACAGTATCACCCTGCTCGACACGTCTCCTTGTGACCAACGGCACCGAGGCACCGTCGTATGAATATCCACCATCCTCGTCACCGTCAGGTTGCGGGAATCGTTCGTCATCCTCGTCGTCGGAGTGATTTTCAGGTTGTGATTGAGGAGGAGGTGGTGCCCGCGAGTTGGAGCTGGGATTGGGAACAGCAGCTCCGACGGGCGCTCGGTAGGTGTGCATGGCCCGTACAGCTTCGCACGTTCCCTTGAACAGTCGCATCATCTCTTGTTCAGGGAAATGTGTGCCATTGACTACGTGTGTGTTGATAGAGTCTTGGATATTCCCGCGCTGGATATCTAGTTCAGAGAGCGTGTGAAGCACAGATAGGCAACAAACCTTATAGAGTGGAAGGAACAGGTACACGATCTTGCCCTCCCCGTCAGGGTCCTGAACCACAGCCGAGTCCTATGCTCGTTGAGATGAAACCAAAAGAGATTCCGAGACGATGATACCAGAATTCGGATGATGTTTGGATGCCTGTCACTGGATTTCAGCAATACGAGCTAGAGCAAAATAGCCCAACGCACTTGAAACGGCGATAGGCCTCGACCTCTCGCATGGCTTCCTTCACGCCATCCTGACCCGTTGGACAGCGAATCTTCTTGAGCGCGAATTGTCGCTAGGCACGTCCAGAATGTCAAATGAGACTGAACCCGGCCGTACCTGTGACGTACCCCGCTATGTTCGTCCTGGGCCAGATACACAAACGAGAATCCACCTTCTCCCAGGACCCTTATGATCTTGACTGCTCTCCAGGTCAGCTAACTATCTCTTCTCTCAGACGGTACGCACAAGTCCGCCCGTTGATCTTCACTTTTGCGGATTGCTGACATACGCAGGAGGAGAGAGCATAGAGAGCGTCTTTGGCCTGGTCTTTGACGCTGTCAAAGACTCGTTGGAGTGAAGAAGTCATGAAAATGAGGGGATAGAGCACAGCGGCGTAAGTTAAAGTAGAACGTGTGCAATGAGGAGAACGGAGCAAGTTGTCATTAGGTAAGCAGCATTACGGCTTGTCGTCAACTTCCATTCGACTTTCATAAGCTTACAGGCTCTGGCTTTCCTGACTCTCTTCTCGTGTCCTAGGGGATGATTTTTTCAGCCTGTATGTCGTCTGTTCTAGCCTCTCAAACGAATCCCTCCTAGTGACTTGTGACATGTAGTCCCATTCTCTTACTATATATAGCTGCACGGTCCGCATCGTTAGCTGAATATATCATCCCGTGTTCGAGACTACCATCCTTTCGCTACTCAACCGGACATCGGGCGCACATGTACGCATCAGACGTTTGGGGGACGTCCGTCAGCTGGGTGGAATGACCTCAAGCGGCATTCGACGCCGAGAATGTGATATTCTCACGGAGCGGGCTATTATCTGTCTTCTCTGACTTTGCGCCGCATCCAATCTCGAGTACTACTCCAACGATATTTCGCCTATCCCGAACAGCTTGCATGCCAGTTGTCTGACATGGTCTACTCAGAGCGTTGACAGCCTTGGCCCCGCGTGCAATTGATCATCGCGAACTTCTCGATTCGCTCATCTTCGACCCACATGAGCGATCCCCTAGCAAACCCGCGGTTCCTTCTTTGATTCGCATCATTACCCAGCACAATGCGCGGTCCGCCAGCACCGTGCACCATGTCCCATGGTCGCATGACGTTCCGGCAAATCACCTATAGGCACCGTGCAGGATTTCCCTCTTGTCTCCTGCCATAGGTGAAAACTATGTGGAACTCCATTCTCGTCGCTCTGCTCGTCTTTGTATCCAATGCCCTTGGCTCGAGCTCGCATCATAAGTCGACTCTGCAATTGCGCAATTCGACTGGCTTAACCGATGTCGTCTCTTGGGATCCTTTCTCGCTCTCGATCATGGGGCAGCGGGTCTTCATACTTTCAGCGGAGATCCATCCCTGGCGACTGCCCGGTAACCCGGAGCTTTGGGCGGACCTATTCCAGAAAGTAAAAGCAAACGGTTTCAACACCGTCTCGTTCTACACGCACTGGGCACTGCACTTCCCGACGCCGACCACCAACAACTCACATGGTAAGACTAGGGTATCTCGTGCAGCTGGGACATTCGTGCTGATCATCGCACCCCTTACTCTAGGTGACTTCCAACCCAACACGTACCGGGACATGGAACTGTTCATCCAGGAGGCTAAAAATGCCGGCTTGTGGTTGATCGCTCGACCTGGACCTTACATCAGTTTCGTCCGCTTCGTCCTGCCAATTCCGCTTTGACTCACGCCCTTCTCATTGAAGATGGAGAAACTACGGGAGGAGGCTTCCCGGGTTGGGTCGGAAACATCGCAGGTGACACTTTCACAAGAGCGGCAGGCTACGCCATCAAGACTGACATAACTTACAGGATCCCTTCGCACCAACAATCCCAACTACACCCAAACGTGGATACCTTACATGACCGCGATCACACAGATCCTTGCTCGCAATCAGGTCACCCAAGGTGGTCCCGGTGAGTGATACGGTCCCTTCAGCCAGACGGCGCGGATCGACCATTCATTTCCGCCAGTCATTCTCATCCAGTCGGAGGTATTCCTTCCCACACGTCTCCGCTATCAACATACTGACCGGGCATTTCAGAACGAGTACAGTGCTGGCTCTACTCACTCACCGTACATGCAAGATATCATCAACCTGTATCGCGCAAATGGCATTGTGATCCGTCTGTGTCTTCTGTTTCAATCCGATTGCGTTACAGCTTATACTCCCAAACCAGCGATCACATTCAATGATCAGCACAGTGGAGCTGCCGGGTTGGTGGATATGGTCTCCAGTTTCTCCCTGTCTGATCTGAGGACAGCAACTTCTCACCGGACAAAGGAGGGGAGGGTGCAGTCAACATCTATTGGTTTGCTCGTTTCCGCAGATCAATCTGGTTGTTTATTGATGCTGTGTTATAGCGGGGATTCATACCCCCAGGGTGGAAACTCTTGGAGTCAAGTCCAGGCCATCTATTATTCAAATCACAAGGCTGTTGCGCAATCCAACCCTCTATGTTTGGCTGAGGTGAACCGATTTACCATGAGTTTTGTCTGGTGTCAAAGTATTGACCAAGTTTTAGTTTGGTGGTGGCTTTCTCATCAATTGGGGAGGTCCTGCATTTGGAGGCACTGGCTATGAAAAATTCAGTGTGTCATGTTTTCACATTGATAACCCTTGTTCTGAACTCTATCTATAGGTCTCAGCCCAGGTCTGACCAATGCAGACTACGGTACGCTTTTCAGTGCTACTTGCACATGATTTTGTCTCTGACTAGAGCTGTTCTGACTAGAAAATGTCTTTTATAAAGATGCAATGTGAGTGAATGCAGTAAGATTGTGCTCAGACAAATAACAGTTACTATCCAGCTCACAAACTGCTACCATTCTAAGTAATGAATTGTTTGAACTTTTACCACTGTGACTGACAATCAACAGATATCTACAGTGACTATTTCTGTGAATTGGATGTTACAGTGCTGATGTCTATACAGTGATATATGGTGGCACCAACTGGGGTCAAACTGCTGCACCAGTTGTTTTCACATCTTATGATTATGGTGGAGGCAAGTCTCCCTATTGGTTGTTCTTAGGGCTATTCTCAAGCCACTTCTTATCTAGGAATCAATGAGAACCGTGTGGCATTGACCAAAATGAATGAGATGAGACTGCAAGGTATGTGAATGTATCTAATTGACTTTTATTTGTATCCCATTTTATATAGGTGCCTTTCTCCGGGTATCCCGGGATCTTCTTGGAGCAACTCTACTTGGGAATGGGACAAACTACACCACATCCTCTCTGGTTCATGTAGCAGAGTTGAGGAATCTGCAGACTGGGTCTGCCTTCTATTTTACTCGTCAAAACAGTTCTCCGTGAGTGGCAATCTGTTCTGGTGGTCTCTGTATTCATGCTGAATATTGTAGATCCACTGCATTGGTTACAACTCAAATCAATGTTCAGACATCTATGGGCTCTTTGCTCATCCCCAAGACTGGCAGTATCACATTCAATGGCCGTGATAGCAAGGTAGAGATCTCCCAATTCCTACCTTGCAAATGCTAATCACTTCTTCAGATTCTTGTTATTGATTACAGCTTTGGAGCCAGTGCAAGCAAGATCTTGTATTCAACTGCAGAGTGTGTGATCTGATCAATCTGCTCATCTGGAAGAACTTATTTATGTTGCACAGAATTATGACCTGGACCACGTTAGTGATTTTCTCTCCTATACATGATAACTATCACTGACTTTGGGTGTCAAATAACTGCAGAATTGATGGGACAGACTATGTCATCATTTATGCTGCTGCAGGTCAGACAGGAGAAACTGCCTTCATCTTCAATCCTTCTGGCCCAGTGAAAGTCACACTATCCAACCCCCAAGTTACATCCAGCATTGTCAATGGTACTCTCATTCTCAACTACACACTGAATGGAACAGTATTTGTGCCAATCACACATGGTACATCTCAGCTTGTAGTCATTCTGGTGGAGAAAGATCTGGCATATCAATGGCATGCTCCACTTATTGCTGGGACTGGGAATTTTGGAAATTATTTCTCAATTGGAACTAATTCAACGTCAGTTATTCCCTTGCACACTATTTGATTATTGATTTCCTTCTAGTGTGCTGGTTTCTGGGCCATATGTTCTACGCACAGCTACTATCAGCAGTGGAATATTGTCTTTGGTATTTCAGTCCCCCCTTCTACCCTCCTTTTGGCTCAAATTACATTCATAGACTGGAGATCTTAATGGAACAACTTCTATTGAGATTGTTGCTCCTCAAGCTGTCACTGGATTCAAATGGAACAATGCAACAATCTCAACTAGCAAAACCACACATGGGTCCTTTGTTGCTACTATTGGCACAAAGGTTGCCCTGTCTCTTCCAACACTTGGACCTTGGAAAGTCTCTGGCAGGTAAGTGACCAGGCCAAGCTTGTTGAATCATAACTAATCTTGTTGGTTAGCCTGCCTGAGATTGATCCCAACTTCAATGATTCTTCATTCACTATTGCAAACTTGACCACAACCAATGTAAATTCAAATTTTATTTGGTTTCATTTTCTGATCAACATGTGAACAGTATACAAACTTGCCACCACTTTCTGGATCGCAAGTCCTGTACTCTCAGCAATATGGGTAATTTTCACAAATACTACCTCTTGAACACTAAGTAACATTTCACACAGATTCTATGGTGGAAACCTTATCTTCCGGGGGCGTTTCCAGGCTACAGGTCAAGAAACTGCAGTCGACCTGACAGTCATGTATGGCTTTGCTGGAGGCTACTCAGCCTGGTTGAATGGGATTTTCCTTGGCTCCAGTCAAGGAAATGCCACTGTCAGCTCCTCCTCTGATGTTTGGGTATTCCCCAGTGGTGCAGTCAAATCAGGAAAGACTAATGTACTGGTTGTTCTTCAAGGTGGGTGCCTGTTCTTACTTTGCTTATCCCTACTGATTTGAAATTGTAGACCACATGGGGTATGTTCATTCTGCTACATATCCATCCAAGTTATTCACCAATACATATGAAATTTAGCCTTCCAGAGTCAAACAGTCAGTATTCTTCTCCTCTTGAAGTTTTACCAACTTATTCTATTTAGGCAATGGTGCCAAGGAGCCTCGTGGCATCCGGGGCTACGCTTTGATTGGGGCCAGTACCAAATTCACATCTTGGACTCTTCAAGGCAACCAGGGAGGTGCTGCTGGTGCACCAGATACCTTCCGTGGTTATCTCAATGAGGGGGGACTGTATGCAGAGAGAATTGGTGCTCATCTTCCTGGTTTCCCAGATTCATCATGGGCTGCAGGATCACCACTGACTGGTCTCACTACTGCTGGAGTCAACTTTTACCGCACCAGCTTTGATTTCCCAGTGCCTAATGGTGTTGATGCCCCAATCCGCCTTTCAGTAATCCGGAGCAGTGTTGTGCCACCAGCTAATTTCAGGCTCCAAATCTACCTCAATGGCTGGCAAGTGGGAAAGTATGTCAACAGTATAGGGTATGTGGATCAAATACAGCTATTCTCTGGTTAGTGTCTGACTGGATTGCATTTACTCCAGGCCACAGACTGATTTTGTACTGCCTGCTGGGTGAGTCTTATCTCTCTTTTACCATGTTGTATTGAACCCTTTCTCAGGATACTTCACCGCACTTCACCCAACACCTTGGCTATCTCACTTTGGGCAATGGATTCTGCCGGTGCTGCAGTGACAGGTCTCAAGATCATTTCTGATGGCATATTCACCACCTCACTGCCATTCAATGACTACCTGGCTCCTGTGTTCTCCCCAGTACAGAGAGCTGTCCGGCCAAGTGACCTGGGCCAGGCACCTATGTAATATCTTTTCTATTGTATCTTCAAAGTAGTATACAATGTTTGATATTTTGTTCAAATGCCAGTAACTCTTGTGCAAAGACATCATGAGGTGTGGGAAGAACAGCTTTGGAAGAACCAAAACCAAAAAAAAATCTGCTAAGATATGAACAAGGTGTAGCATATGTATACATGGCATGGAACATCATGCAAGGCAGACAATCCCCAATTGCAATTAAGGCAGGAAACAGCCAGCTCATCCAGAATGGATTCTCACGATTTCTCTACTCTTGTTCGGCCGTTCAAGGTTATTGGTCATCACGACCAGTACCGGGTTCCAGAAAACAATGAGAAATATATTGGAAACATGCGTCTATTATATCGATATGAATGTGTAGTACGGAAAAGCAGTAACAGGAGCGTCATCATGCCCCAACAGCCTGAGCGAACGCAATCGCCACGGTTTCGGAATGGCTCAAGGACACAAGCACGTTCTTGACACCCTTCTCGTCTGCCTTGGCCTTGGCCTCGCCGGACAGCTTGACAAGAGGCTTGCCCGTGCCATCCTCGCTGACGATCTCGATCTCGCGCATGGCCGCGCCCGCACCGGAGGACTTGACGCCCAGCGACTTGAACACTGCCTCCTTCGCGGCCCAGCGTGCGGCGAAGGACGATGCCGGAGACGGCTGCGAGCGACAGTAAGCAATCTCGGTCGCAGAGAAGTTGCGTGCGACGAATGTCGAGTTCGACGAGGGTACGGCGGAGATGAGCTCCTGGTCGACACCGACACCGAGCACGCCGGCGGCGGAAGACGACGAAGCGAGGGACTCGGCGAGGGCAGAAACGTTAGCAGTGTCCATCGGAATGGTCGTCGACGGCGCCTTGGCGTACTCGTACGACCCGGTTTTGACATTCATCGCTGCTCGGGACAGGGGGTTGAGCAGCACCGGTGCCTCGAGTTCCAGCGGGTACGGTGGATGTTCTTTGATGCGCACCAGCGAGTTCTTGATCATCATCTCGCTCATCGCCTTGTACGACTGCAGTGCCCGCACTTCATGGCGTGTCTTGTACGACGAGTAGGCCGACTCGGAGATAGTGGCAAACACGTATCGGGGGTTGAGAATGAGAGCGATACCACCAACTTGCCCGAAACCAAATGAGGACTGCAGATAACGGTGAGCGATCGATAAAGAAAACAAACATGAGGCTCAACATACCATGACACCAGCTTTGATGCCGTCGGTGTGGATGGTCTTTGACGGGAACATCAAGTATGTTCGGTCACGGAAGATAGCGTCGACATTGCTGTTTATAGGTCAAAAAATGAACATAAAACATGTTGCAGGCACGCACTCGCTGTTCCTGTTCCCGGGAATGATACCGCTTGCTACGGTTTGCACCAACCCAGCCATCTGCCAAGCAGCCGATCCACCCTTGGAATGTCCAACAAGACTCTTCTGCGCCATGATTGGCACGGCATTCGCTGGTGTCCTCGCCAACGAAGTGAAGATATCGTTCCAGATACGGGTTTCGTTCTTCTCGTTGGCCTTGGTGCTCGTTCCGTGGATGGACAGCACGCCGATGTCGTCGCCCGTGAGACCCCAGACAGCCAACGCGCGCCGGAGCGGGGAAACGCGCGGGTCGGAGCCTTCAAGCATCCCGTAAAGCCCCAGCGCATCCTTGTCCTGGCGAGCAGCCTCCTTCTCGATGTCCGAAACTCGGGAGGCAAAGTACTCTTCGTCGACAGCTTCACCTTGCTCCTTGCGGAATGCCAGCTCGTCCTGCAACTGGCCGTGCTCATGTTCGAGCCACTCCGAGATCTGTTTGCGCCGGAATGCGAGGTGCCGGGCACGGTAAGCAAGGTCAAGGATCGGCAGCGGGTTCTTGCTGGGGACTTCGCGAGCAACCGTTAGCGGGCCCAACCCTGGTGCGGGAATTGAGCGACCAGCTTTGTCGCTGAAGAACCGTCAGAGCGCACGCGTATAGCAAAGAACGACACGCACGTGGAGGTCGACGTGAACGCCAATATACCCCGGATCGGGCACCCGAGTTCCATTGCCGTCTTGGCGCTCATGACGACATGCACACCTGTTCCCTGAGACTCCATGAACCCAGACCGAGTCGACGTCGCTGGCCGCGACATCTCAGTAGGCTCGCGACCCATGGCGAACTCGGTCTCCGCGTTGCTCGTCGCCTTCATGTTGGCGAACTCGTACGAGCCTTCTTCGGACAGATCGTCAAAGCCACCAGCCAGCATCACCTTGGCTTTCCCGGACAGAATCGTGTCACAGGCGATTTCGAGAGATTGGAGGGCGGTGGCACTATATCCCAGATCAATGTCTTGACTGCATCAAAAATGTGAACACAACTTACCAAGCGCCGACGGGAATCTTGACCGGTCCAGACGAAGACAACAGTAGCAAGTTGATCCATCCAGCAGTGGTGTTGATGAAGCTGGAAATTTTTCAGTTCAAGAACGGAACACAGCAGATCACGCACGTCTCTTGCAAGATGTCATTCTGGATCTCCCTCTCGTCTCTCCGGTCCTTGAACATCTTTGCCATAGAAACGGTGCCTCCCATGCCACTGCCGATGCAGGTTCCGACTTCACTTGGGTGCATGTACTTGTACAGCTCGTAGGGGTCGGTGATGCCCGACATGTTGAGCGCCTCCGTCGTCGAGACCAACGCCCAGAGCGTCGAGCGATCACACTGCGCGATGATATCGTCCGGGATACCGAATCGACCCGCGTCCCAGCCGGTCGGGATTTGCCCAGCGACAGTCCGTGAGAACGAGAACGACTTGGGCACGAACACCAGTGCACCCTTCTTGAGCTTGAAGAACCACTGCTCGCCGGAACCGGAGGCCCAGATGTCACACTTATCGCCGTGCTGGAGCTTGAACTTTTGCGCCTCGGTTTCAGTGACCTCGATCGGCTCCAAGTCGTGCAGAAGCTCGATCTCCTGGTTGAAGACCTTTTTCTTAGGATCGTATCCACGGAAAAGCTCGGGTTCTACGTAACATATAAGGGGCTGGATCAAGTGAAAAGGAAATCACGCACCAATCAACCGTACACCGGCATGCTCCAAGATGTCCTTTTCGTATTTGCCTTTGATGTCCTTGTCGTCGACGGGCTCGCCGGACTTGAAGTCGACCCATCCAACGTACAACGACCCGTCCTTCAAGCGGCCGTCGAAGTGCTTGATGTAACCCATCAGCCAGGCCATCTCGATGCAGCCCTGGATCGTCAACTCTCCTCTCGCCTCCATCTCCCAACGTGTGCGCGAACTACCCCACGGCCCGACTTCTCCAAAGCCAGTGATGACCATGACTTTGTCGAGGTCGACCATGCCCTGCAGCTTGCTCAGATCCTCGTACGACTCGTAGGCCGGCAGCGTGGGGAACTCGTAGCGGAAGTTGGCGCGAGGTGTGACGTTCACGGTCTGCAGCAACCGCTCGGCCTCGACACCATTGGTAACCTGGAAATCGGCCGAGTTGTCGAGAGTGATGGCGCGCCGGAGTTCGCTCTTCTTGTTGAGCTCGGACCTGATGCGCGTAGTGATGTCGGCGAGATCCGGCAGTTTGTCCATACCACCGTTGAGGTCGGCCCAGATCGGCTCGACTTGCGTGATGCTGAACAGCAGAGGGTGCATCAATCCAAGGATGTTGAACGCCATCTCCTTGGCCGAGAACGTGCGGACACCATAAGACTCGAGCTCGTGCGCGACAATATTTGTCGGTGCCATCAATCCAGTTCCACGAGTCCACCTGCGAGACATGGGTTGAAGAAGAAAGGATTAACAGAATAGAAGCACTCACCCAATGACTGCACCAGCCAAACACAAGTATTCTCCCCAGCTCTCCGACGCCCATCGCTGGAACAAGGTCTCGAGGGAGATCTTGGACTCGGAGTACAACCCATCGTTGCCGAACAAGCCATGGTTGGGCGAAAGCGGCAAGATAACTTGGGTCGGGCGCGTCACGAAATGGCGACTGGCCTTCTTCTTCTTGACCTCGCCGAGGATGCGCAACAAGTTCACGAGCATGATGCGGTGCGCCAACTCCGACTTGTCATCCAGGCCGTCGATCTCGCGGCCGTTCTCAGGCACACCAGCGAACGGAATGATGTAGTCGAGATCGAGCCCCAGGTTGGCGTAGATGTAGTCGACGAGCGCCTCGACGTCTTGCTTCGAGCCCTGGTTGAACGGCACGACTGTGAGCGCAGAGCCGTTGCTGCCGTACGTCTGGTAGATCGACTGGTAGTACTCCACCGTCGACCGGTTGTAACGCGAAGTCGTGATCACAACGTGCGCACCGCCACTGAGCAAACCTTTCACGATCTCAACACCGATCGAGCCCTTGCCGACGCCCGTCAACAGCGCGTTCTTGTCTTGGAACGTCGTGCCGGACGTGGCGATCTCGTGTAGAATGTCGAGATACACGCCAGTGAGGTTCGAGCTGAACTCCCAGGTGTTGCCCACTTTGCGCTTGAGATGCAGCAGAGGGATCTTGTCCGCGGATACAGCAGTCGCGCTGGGGATTTGCGGACGCAGGAATTGGGAGGACGACCGACGCTGGCGGATCGTGCCTGATCGGGACCGCGGCACCTCGGGTATCTGGTTGTTGAGCGACTTGACGACGCCTTCGTAAAGAGCCTTGATGCGATTCTTCTGGTCCTCTGTGATCTCCGGGAGCGATTTAACGACGGTCCAGAGCTTGAGGACGTCGTCCTGGACTTTGTTGATATTGACCGAGCCAGAGACTTGATCGCCGCTGGCCATTTCCTCGACGTAGGCCTCGAGCTTGCGAACATTCTCGCGCACGACCTCGGAGTAGACGATATCACCCTTGGCAGTAACCTCAGTGTGTGGCGCGGTGGGGAAGGTCACTGATTTTTGCTATAATGAGCGAATGCAAAAAGAACAAATGATTGAAACCATCACACACCATCCTTGTACAAAGGAGCCGCACCAACGACTTCCCGGACGTTGTCGATCAGCTGTTGACCGAACTGCTTCGCCAGCTTGTACGTCTCGCCCTTGCTCGCGTCGACATTGGCGATGTAGTACTCCATGTAAGCCAAAAATTCGGGATCCGCTCTGTTC